TTAGTAATTATATTTTCATACACCAGGACAATACTTAATTCCAATTATAATTTCTCAATTGTCTTTTCATACTGGGTCAGGATTTTATCTGTAGCCCTTGGAAAAGTAACAATAGTTCGTTACTATTTTGAAGGTGAAAGGTTAAAAGCCTGAAAGCTAAATGTTTACTATTTGGGTACACGCTGTCTAATAGACCTCAGTGTACCTGAGAGTACATATTTCGCCATGCTTTTCGTTACATAAGCCATGCAAATAACAATAAGAGTTTACATTCCACAGAATCAATATTTAGTTATTATCAACGCAGGTTTTGGAGCTACATTTTTATGATTCTTTGTCTTTTTTATATCGTTTTTTTATTTGTTGATTGGGCGTTAAAACAATGCCAATTAACAACGGATTTGTTAATCATTGATATCGGTAATGAATGCAAATGTAGACGTAAAAAAGTGGTTACAAGTGACAGGGGTTTGCATTGTTAATACGATTCGTGTTCAAGTTCCATGTTTCTCTAAACACTGAAAGATAGGATTGGAAGTGAATTGGTCATTCAACAATCTAACCGCTAGAGCAATTTTCGTCGTAGTCAAACTTTAAAGGCCACTTCTATAATTAAATTCACCTGTGTTGATGGATACCTCAATATCAAGGACACCCGTTTATAAAGGTCGCGTGTGTTTAAGGTCGTTAGGGCCATCTGTATACAAAATGTCACTTGCGTATAAAGACCACTTCTATAAAAAGATCGTCTGTATATAAAGGTCGATGGATTTGGATACCACTATAACGTAATTCATACGAGTAAATGAACCTCTATATAACGACTACCTGTCCATAAAGACCACGTTTCTGTCCTTTTAATGACCTTTATAAACAGATTTGAATGTTTTTGCTCTTTTAAATGCCCCTCGTCGTGGTTTTCAAAATATATTGAAATGTTATGGAGTGATTTACAGAGCACTCAGGAATTTGTGCCATTGTGTGTGTTACGGATGTAAGCTAAAATTTGTAATTGATTGTTTTGTCCCTAGGATTTAAAAAAAAACATCACTTAATGTAAAGTGTCATGACCCATCAATTGACCACAATCTTGGATGTGACTAAAAGGGGTATAAACACGACGCTCAAAATACAAAGTGATTTGATTTACGTCTCATGTTACGTGTTTATCGTCAAGTATGGTGTACTGTACATCCACTTCTACAATAAACTTTGATAACTTGTTATCACTACAGACTAACGTCATTATTTGATTGACGGAAAATGAAACACAAAGTCAAACTGCGATTTGTCTTGACTTGCTTTTAAATTATCAAATCTGTAAAATTTATCAGCCGGCGTTTCTTTTTAAAGAAGCCGTATTTTATGATATGATTTGTTTTGAACATATCCCAAGTGTCTGTCAACACAGAAAAACGGGTCATCAGGACCAACATAAATGGCGGATAAAATATCTTAAAACTAAACATCGTACGAAAAATAGACATATATTGTTAAGTTAAGAAGTGATTATAGGGTTAGATATACATTGTTGAACACAACAATAACTTTCAAGTATAGTCTAGAATTTTGAATTTAATTAACTGTTTCAACATTAGATTTGAGACATGCGAGGCGCCAGAGAGACTTGTTCCAGATTTACCAACAGTCTGAATAGTTTCTGATTTTAGCAATATCAAAATCAAAAAAGTTTATAGTATAGAACCAAGACCCGTACTTAAGCATTGTGACTTGTCCTTGCGCTTCATTGAATAAGAATGTGTAATACATGAGCATATTAAAAAAGCGTGTGTTTCATCTAGTGTCAATCATTTAAAATATGTGTTTTTATTCAAATAACTGCCCAAGAGGTCTTTAAAAGTATATTACATTGTAACAGTTTCAATCCTTAGAGCCATGTCCTGTCATTTTTTTTATATTTAAATACATGTCAAGGTCATATCTAACGATTATTGAAAACAAACAACTTCCAATTTTAGGACTTTTAAACATCACAGATACAAATACAGATCACTGGTGTATATAACTAGTGTAAATAAATACTGGACACCACCAACAACTTAAATATTCGAAAATATCGTAAGGGGCCGTAACTCATGGAACACACAATGGAACACGCAATAGATAATCAATTTGATTTCGGTTTAAGTAAGAACTAAATTTGTAATGTTCGAAGTAGTTTACATTACAAACAGGACAATCGATAATTACAAAAAAAAAATCAATAATGTGCTCGTTAAAATTGTCAATGATTTTCTGCATTAAGACAGTGGAAAAGTAACAGAATGCATTCCCTTGTTATTACTGTCATATTTCTCACTCAGTTAATCCAGAGAACGTGACGATCTTCATGATTGTATGAAATGTCTATTGTACTATTGTGCATGTTTTTCTAACACTGGAACATGTTATGACGATAGCAATGCACAATTCTTTACGTGTAACAAAAAACAAAAAACAAAACAAAAATTCCTTTAAATCCTTACTTATTTTATTCAAGATAATTCCATAATCTACAATTCAGATATCATCCACGAAAAATCGGTACCATGATGCTAGATCTACATGTAAACTAACTTCGGCATTTCTGAAATTTACCTGCGGCACGTATTCGATTTTAACAGTAATTCTCGCTGATGATTAGAATACTTAAAACATGACTATGATCTACGGTCCGCCTGTAATATAACTGTATATCTTTATTTAGATATCCACGGTATAGAAGTAAATAAGGAGAGAATAGATTTGTTTCCATTCAACAATAATCTGTTATCATTAGGTAACATTAAAATCGCGAATCGTGTTTCTGACATCTTAATCTTATCATTGTTGTGTTCGTGGTCCGGAGGGGACATACCGATATTAAGATAATGACGAGGAAAAACGCTGTACCTATTGAAAATATAAAAGCAGACAAAGTGAAAAAGGGCGTACAAATGTCCCATGCCTTACAATTGAAATGTGCGTATCTCATCCTTATTCCAACCGTGAAAATATAATATTTTTGCCAAACATCAAATAGTAACTAAGTGTTTGTCAAACGTAACATAAACAAACCATGCATTCTGTAAATAGACATATAGAACGATCAAACCTGTCTTAACGCCCCTTGTTAATTATTTAAATGTTAAGTGTTCTACAAATATGACACTAGGTCAATCTAATATGAACCCGACAGACAGACTGCCATGGTAAACAGTTCCATTATAATTGTGTATAATTTCTCGCGAATGGGGGTTTAAATCATATTTGTCTGTATTTGGAAATAATGTTCTGATGATTCATTAAAAAATATATGTCCCTATTCAACGCATAGTGTTATGTAATATGAGGTTAAATTATGCATTGAGCATGTTGTGAAGCCAGTATTTCCCCTCCCACCCCATTCCCCCTCCAGGGGTTTCCGAGTGGAATGATCGCTACCGTAAATGTACGCATAAATAAGTTTTCAACAAAACTCTTCATCATGTACAAACACAATATTGAACAGGTTAGCGTAACAGAATGGAGAATATGAATAGCTCATATCAAGGGCGCTGCAAGGGATAGTCGTGCTCTTCTCCCAATTACTAGAACTTGGCACAGTACTTGCACAACCACATAGATATTTTGTGCACTAACACCACACCGACAAGGGATACCATGCCCGTAACATAGAGCACTATGGTGTTAAACAACCCATACATCCACGTAGACCCAGACAAAGTTTTGTGGGTATTATACAAAGCCGTGACCTTTGCAGGTGCATTTATTTACCATCTTAATTGTTATCACATAAAACACACATACCACATTCTTGAAAACAGAAGATTGATATAATAAAACCGACCACACCCAAACAAGACATGGTTTTGTGTGTACTTAACAGACTCGTCACCTTTGCAGGTGCACTTTTTTTATCATCTGAAGTGAAGAAGTGCATCTATACAGATACCAGGAACACACGATCAGTGAGGTAGATACAACAGTGTGCCCCTGTGAGGGATAAGATAGGAATTACACATCATAGGAATTAGGAATGGGAAGCATAGCCACCCCCCTCTCACGACAATAGGGCCCTACCCCACTTATACCCCCGCCCAATACCTATCGGTCCGTCTCTCTTACTTCTATCGCCCAACCTCTTAACACTCAACATCAAAACCATCTTATAGGACACATTCGGTCAACAGGTAACCTAACAAGTACACTCCCAATAGTAACCTTACTATCACAGATCACCAATACGGGAAACAGGAACAGTAAGGATTTACAGAAGTTTGGGCATTGTAAAGTGAACAGTTCACACAGTGACTTGCATATTGACACCAAAAAACATATCAGCATTAGTATCTTACTAAAACAATCAACACACAGTTTGTCGCATTGGATCTAAAGTATTGACCCGTGTGAAAACGCCGAACTGGAACGATAAAGTTCTTCGAAATAGAACAGTCGTGCTAACACCGGCCCACAAGTTGGATTAGACTAGCTATAGGGACGATTTATTAAGTAATTTTGACGGACTTCCAAAATATCATAAAGATATCGAAATTCTTATAGTGTAGGATCTTCTTCCTTTTCCTCTGTGTCCTCGTCCGGTCCTCTTGCTACGACGCGCCCAGATACACGTAGGTTAGGGCTATAATGAGGTCGGGGGGGGGGGGGGGGGGGGGGGGGGGGGGGGGGGGGTGTGTGTGGTCTTCAAATCCTAGTCTGGTATTATAGACTGCCTGTCACTACCCTATCTCGATATCCCATCCTCTCCCATCCCTAATACTTTTTGTCGCCCGCTGAAAGGCCGAAACGCCGAACTAGTGGACGAAAATCCGTTAAAATAAAAAGGAATAAACAGGCGGTTAGAAAAGTGCCTTTTCAACGCGTTGCAACCCTTACGGAAGCGGACAGTTTTTGGACAATAGCATTAGGCCTACATAACGATGTGAAAACTGCAAACATGGCCACTGACAACGTTTTAACAGTAAATGATAACCTCTACTGTACGCCATTGATATTTCCAGGCGGGCACGGTGGACGTGGTGGTTCCGTGGCTGGATCCTTCCTAAGTAGTTACGCCGAATCCAAGACCTATGGCAGTACGTTCGACCCCGGGGACGTCGGAAGTGGTGGCGGCGGAACCGGCGGTGGAAATGGCGGCGGGTACGTCAAACTCGTTGGTAACACAAAAATCGAGATGGACGGTCTCATATCTGCCAATGGGGATGACGCCAGCAGCACAAACAGCGGTGGCGGAAGTGGAGGAAGCATTCACATTACGACAGCCTTTCTTCAGGGCATAGGAACTATCAGTGCACGTGGAGGCGCCGGGCTTGGAGACGGGGGTTCCGGAGGCGGCGGGCGTGTCCTGGTCATCTCCGACAGCACAGTCTTTGCTGGTATCATATTGGCGGATGGAGGTTCAGTGGGTAAGTTAAAGGGGGGGGGCTATCACTTACGATTTTGGTTCTCGTCGTGACATTTTTTAAAAATATAACTATTCATTCGATTGTATAATACACAATCTCATTAAAATCAGATGTTAATGAAAATACCAGGTCATGACGAACATCTGTATTCATTCAGATCGTATAATAAAAAATACTTCCATGACGAATACATGATCATCTAAATTTCAGCTTCAAACATTGCCAAACTTTCCATCGGCTCCCTTACGGCGTCATCGTATTATTCCAACTACTACGCATCCTATGGGAACATCGATACCCACTCCTCCAAGTCCTGGGTCGCCAGTTCTAATACTGTGGGGCAGTACCTGGAGGTGACATTAGCAAGTACTAGCGTTGTTTACTCCATAGAAACCAGGGGCGATTACGGAACCAATAAGTGGGTCACTAAGTACAAACTTCAGTACTACGATGACGACATCAGCTCATGGGTAGGTTTGACGTCATATTTTACTTTTGAAGATGAAATATCATTATGATTTACCTATGTGGCGAAAATCTGTCTTGCATCCTAAAAGTGCAATTGTCTAATTTTGTGAAATGTGATACGCCGTCGAAATCGTCAAGTACATAACAGCATGCGAAAGTTTACAAACCAAGTAAGCTTGACATTACATTTTGAACTTAAAATAATGAAATATGATGAAGATTTCCTATGTCACTTAAATCCGCCCTTGGACATTAATATGCAATAATATGACTTAGTATGAAGAAAAAAACATCATCCTCAATACTACAGAAGTTACTTTTGCTCTCTACACCCCTTGGATATTTCATGATAAATCGTATGACAGTAGAAAAGCTAGCAAAATATAGATTAAAAGATGACACACCGTCAGTAAACATGATAATTGTGATGATTACAGAAGGAGATGTCCTACCCCTACCAAGGAATTACTGGAAACACCAACAGGAATTCAATTGTTTCCCAGACGTTGACGGTACCAATAGTTACATCTAAGCTGAGGTTCTACCCGCAGACTTGGTACCGTGGTATCGGAATGTCAGTGCGCATATACGGCCATCAACCAGGTATTTATTTGGTTCAGCGACACTGGCAGACATGTTAGACTCGGGTTATCGTCTACTAAAATCGACGTCTTTGAAACGCTTATGGTGGCCTTTCGTTTCAAACACGACAATGACTATGATTGATGCTCGAAGATCCGGTCGAACAGGTTGAATACGAAGAAGAAATGTTTAAAAAAACGATCTTAGTATTGCTTCCTGTATAGTTCGGAGGCATTCCCAGTGACCCTATATCACTTGTATAGACACTATTGGTTCACCATCAGCTATACATTACATCTAACGGCATAAAAGGTCCTAGTAGTCATGTTGTAAGAGTCCTGTCTGGTGCCTGACCATATTTCACGTCATTTTGACATTACGTAGGAAATGTATATTATGCTATCCGAAGTGCTGTTTTTGGTCAGCCGTGACAACATTCGCACTGTTTGCACTGATTTCCCGCTCATAACAAGCGTGGCACTTGCGGGACCATCCTATTGGTCTTCTCATCGCGAGTAACGTTGGATTGAGCATGAATATGTGGGTACGATGATAAAAACCTTCTACATTAATACATAGAGAATACATGGTCAGTGTTTTGAAATATCAGCTGAATTTTGGTGAGGTTGAAGAAAGACATCCATTTGGTAAATTGTTCCAACTGACATGATCTAATACATGTAAATTAGTCCAGTGTCTCCAAACTGTACCAGTTCCCAACCCATTATCTTATCACTTAATAATGTAATCTGATTTACAAATTTTATAATCCCGAAGTGTCCATACATCAGCCATAGATCCACAGAGCTTATGCATGTATTTGGGATATTGATTTGTTTCAGTTTGGATGTTCTCCGATAAGCAATTCTGCATTATTTTTTATAGATGTCTAAACTGTATTTTATCATTAATATTATTTTCATTGCAATCCAATCTGAAATGATCAGACTATGAAAGTGGAGATGTTTATATGTTGCTCAGTCTGCTGTGTACTATTATCATGGATAGGGAAACTAGAAGAGGCATTGGTTTAATAATTCATTACTCTGTATGGAGCTCAATACAGGGTGAAAGTTTAATAATCAGAATTAAAACTTCAAATTGCATTTTTTAACATTATACATAGGTATACATAATAGAACCAAACTTATTTCTGTAAATATTTTAATGTATATAAATATCTGCAGAAACGTACACAATGTTATATACATCTCTGATGTCTATAAACAATAAAGGGATGTCATAATTATAGTTGTACAACCATTATACTAGTATATAATATTATGATAAAGAATATAATCATATTTTGGCAATAGAGTGTACACAAATATATAACTTGAATACCTACAACTAGGATAGCCTTAAGAACCTAATTCAATTCTTGATTTTGTTTCAGAATACAACTTGCCTCCAGATTTCTGTACAAGCAACACCAATGGTAAGAAAACAACAATCAAACCCTTAAATAAATCAATGCCCAGTTCTGCCAGACAAAATAACTTCCCTTACAATGATAAATAATTAATAGGCTAATTGATTTTTGAGTGGAACTGCTGTACTTTGTCAGTAGATAATGTATTAATTCATGATTCGAGAACAATTCATGGATCATTTGAAATGATTAACAAACCTGGTGTTGACAAAATGTTTTGCGCAGTAGTGATACCCGGTACTTTAAAGCTGGTCATTTTCACACATCAAAATTTTCACAATTTTCTTTAAAGTGATCAAATAATAACAAATTAAACTTTGACAATCAAGATATAAATGGACATCTTATACACAAGTCTTATTATTTCTTGGATGAAATTTTTTTGGTCACTTTATTGTAAGTAGTTAAGTAGCAAAAATATCATCCCTGCGAAAATAATGACTATGTGGTGGTGTAGAAAGAATGTCTCTTTACACTATCAATTGAAAGTACATCTTGCAGTCATGAAATACTTATTCAGTAATATGTTTGTACTCAGTAGTATGAATCATAATTGCAGTGATATTTTGGGCTCAAATTTGAGTCCTGGACTCTTGTTTTTCCTGTGGGACTTGCTGGAAATATGAGAACCCATATATCTCTTTGTAACTGGGCACATCCAAATTTTGGAAATTGTGCTCTGGACTCAACAGAAAAGCATCCTTAAGAAAATCAGTGGATGTGTACATCTGATGTGAATTTCCATTTCTATTAATGTTTTTAATCTATAAATTCTTATGCCCCATGATTTTATGGGATATGGGGAGGGGAGAGGAGTGCATACAGTTATAGTGTTACCCTGTTTCATTTTGTTACATCACATTCTGAATCAATGTTATATCTTTAGAACCTCCAAACAGATTTATTTTATATTTAACTTGTCATGTTATCACAACATCAGTGTTAAAAACTTTACACATATGAAATAGAAACCAATGATTGGTTCTGCTCATCACATAACTTAGTTATGTTTGAAAACCTTCCTCAAACAGTATTTTATTGTAGGGATACAAAATCTAAATTGGCAATGTTTTCATTCTGTATCTCTTTTGATGACATCACAATGCAGATGACACGAGGTTATGATGGAAATAGATATATTAAGCCAATTACAGTTCCTCTGTGTAAGAGAAAATTTATGTAATGGATTCAGCCTTCACAGAGAATAGGGTAGTTATGTGATAATTATAGATGTTCTTCAGCTATCCTACTGAAACAGTAGGTTGTTTGATATGTATTTTTGAGCAAAGATCTGTCTGTTTCAATGGCAGAAGTTAGTGTTAGATAATCAAACAATGTCTTGTAATGATCCTTTTGATTTTAGGTATTGACATATGACCTACAGCTGGCATTGATAAAGAGGTTTTAAAACTTTCTGAAATTTATGAATTCAATGTAAATGTTTCAAGAATGATCATGTTGAAGTGCTTTTCAAATGAAAGACCTTTGCTAACTCTCATGATGATGTTAGTTATTGATGTTCTCAAATCGCTTTTACGAAATTCACTAGATTACAATAATGGCTTACATATGTCAAATTTAAAACAAATATTACCTGGTATTAATTTCATGTCTAATGTTGATAGATAAAAGTAAGTTTTATAAGCTTTTCAAAATAAAAGCTGAAAAACGATGCTTTAATGTTTGTGTTCAGCTGGTGCAGGTGGGCCTGGTACAGTGTTTTCTGGACAGACAGGAAATGGTATTGCAAGGCTGACCATAGACAATAGAGGCAAGAACCCTATGGTCAAGATGGATTCTAACTGCTTGGAGTTTGATGTAGTCACATCAGGTAATGTAATGTTCAGGTTTAGTCTGGGTTTGCAGATTTTGATAAACCTATTTGTGTAAAACAAGTGTAAAAAACGAAAAAGAGCAGGAAACTCTGAAACAGGTTTTTACTATGTTAAGTATAAACAGAGCAAAAACTCCTTCCTAAAGTATACCCCTACAGACTTCAAATCTGCGTTTCCATCAGTGCAACTTGCAGATTTACCAACTAAGTGCTCCTTTTACACATAAGTATCCTTTAAGAACTAAAATTATGTGGCATTTTGATTTATAACATAGTGGTTTAAAATTTTCCTATCCTCCTGACATATGAAAGGAAATGAGTGATAACAACATTTCAAAGACTTGAGAGATAACTAACTTCTTAGATTCTACTTTCTTTTACAGCTTGTTGGTGCTCTTCCTTTCTTTTATTCTTTAGTTGTAGAACATAAACATGTTGATCCTTCAGGTAGTCGTAAATGGTAGCACAGCTTTTGTATTTATATTAGATATTATTTTAAGTCTCAATATACAGAGACATTGTTTTGCAAGTTAGCAGTGCTTGTTTGAAATTACCTACCGAAAAGTTAGGATTGGTACTAAACATCATACTGGAAGAATGGTTATGCAGTCTTTTTTTGTAGTACCAATCTGTTTTGTTTGGTTTGTTAGGGGCTGCTGCCTGGGTCACTGATACAAGCGCAGATCTGGACGAGATTGTTTTGAGCAATGGCGGTCACCTGGTACTAGATGTGGATATGACCATGGAGATCACTGGAGATGATTATGGTGTTGTTCATTTAAATGAAACAAGGACCTTGACACTGTCAGCGCCTCTGACAGCCAACATGTACATATCATCTGGAGCTACACTTAGGCTGCCAACTGGAAGTGCTGTAGATATCCCAAAGTGGGTATTTGTCAGGGGTACTTTGCAGTATGATGCTTCAGCTGAACTTACAATCAAAGGTAACTTCTCCTTGGAGAGCCAGAATATTGATGTTAGTTTGCTCAAAATCGACACGGATGCATCAATGGTTGTGGTTGGCAACAGTGATTTTCAGCTTGCTACATCAAAATTCCAGTCGTATGGTAACTTCAGTGCTGGAATCGTGAACATGACTGGTTTAGAAGAGTTTTACGTTGGAACAGCAGGAAATGCAACATTTGAACCTGCATCATATGACATGTACTTAGGTAAAAAGATTCAAGTGCTTGGTGAGTTAAATTTGCTAAAGGCTCTCTCTATACGACAAGTCTGTGAAGAGTTTACGATTAATGGTGGAAAGATCACATGGCCAAATGGTACTATTATACTGGAATGTGACGTGGTTACTATCAATGGAGAGTTTGATGCCGGTACAATAGATTTCAGAAATGGCGTTGGATCCCTTGAAGTTGGATCATCGGGGAAATTCTATTTCACTGCTGATGGACCTATTTTGACAAATGCTTTAGAAGTTGCTGGTGAAATGTTTGTGCAAAATATAGCAGAATTCAAATCTTTTAACAGAACAGATGAGAGAATTGAGCTTGTGATTATACAGCCCACTGGAAATATCAAACTGAACAAGAACTCCATTCCTAAGATTGTCAGTGGAACCCAGGTAAGGTTGTAACTAATGTATATAATTTTCATGACTTTGTTGCAGCTCGGATATTATCCCTCACTCAACAAAGATTGAGATGTTGAAAGAGAGTTAGTACATGTGTTTTCCTTACTCTACATTTGATTGAAAATGTATATAATGAACAGTGATTGCTACATGGTTGATGCAAATGATGATTGCCAGAACACTTGTTAAAAATGTTATTCTTTTAAATGTAGTCATTCAGACTAGGATAAGTGAAAAGAATTCTTCCTCAACACCGGTATGAATCATCTTAATGGCGTTCAATGCAGTAAATAAAAAATCATGGAAAGATAAAATATAGCATCTGAAAAATTTGACAACTTCTATTGTGCATCACCATGAATTTTACAACAGCTTGTGCTGAATTAGGAAAATTCAGCAATATCTTCTAAGAGATTGGGAAGATTTTTCTGACTTTTTTTCTTTGTCTTCTTTTTTGAATGAATAATTTAACATTTGTTCAGAGGTGTGACTGTATCTGTGAAATTGATATAATTTCAATTCATGTGTTGCTGCTGGTACATAAATATCATCATTAGAAACCTGATACAGTAATAAGGTTGTATCTCTGAAGTTTGTTCCTGATTGTGCTATTTTCAGGTGAGTACCAACTACAGTCTCCTGAGAGCCCGCTATCTGTTTGTAAATGGAACAATGTCTGGGGATATTCTGGACATGACTCCTGGTATTGACACCTTGTGGGTGGGGTCTGCCGGTAATATGGAATTCACACCATCAGCTAGTGATCTTTTGCTTTCTGATGCTTTTATCGATGGAACTTTAACTTTGAAATCACCAACAGTCATAAGGGGAATAACTGTGGCTAATGCTCATGAACTCTACATCGGAGTATCTGGTGTTTTCACTCTTGATTCTACAGTTCAATCTACAAAGTCATGGACAGGGCCCTCAACACTGGCCTTCACTAACTTGTATGTGAGTGGAAGGTTGTACGCTGGCCTAATGAGGACGCATGTGGACTCTGTGACCAGTGGCTGGGACTATTTATTAGTGGGAACTTCGGGAGATATGAAATTTGAATCCGACACGACATCAGACTTTATCTGCAACACAGTTGAAGATAATGGTATTATAGATGTCTACAATACCATCCAAATGGTCGGAAAGACATCCATGTCCTTAAATTTGGTAATTGGAAATAGTGCCAGATTTAAACTTGATGCCGATTTATCACATCCAAATGGTCCATTTAGCAGTGTGTCTAATATCTCTGCCAATGTGTTGAGGACAAAATCTGGCAGTAATACCTATCTTGGTGACACAAATCTACATGTAGTGTCTGTAGAGGTGGACGGCAATCTGTATTGCATGCCGACCCAATCTGTAGACGTGACCTATCTGACAATACAGTCCAATGGTCATGGATTCTTCCCAACAGATGTTGTGTTTAATGGAAACACAATGGACATAGAAAGTGGAGGAAGATTGGAAGTTGACTATAAACTAGAACCAGATGATCCACTGGAGGGAAATCCTAATAGTAATATCAACTACCAGTCTGTTATTGTTGACGGGACGTTACAGGCAGGATCTCTTCAGGTTACTGGTACAAGCATGATGGTGTCAGGAACTGTGGATGTGTCTGGAGGTGGATACAAGTCACAGCAGGGGCCAGGTAAAGAAATCCATATAGAAATAAATAAAAATAACCTTTATTTTATCAAGTGTGATGTACAGTTTTTACTACAGCAAGGAAACCATGTAAAATGTTAAGTAGAAAGATGGTGCAGTGGTTTGATTCCTAAACAGGGTGTAAAATGTTATTGGGTCTCTTGCTGGACCAGGCAGGACTTTCTGGGTTTTTTGATTTCCTTCTGTTGTCTATTAGAAATATTGATCATGTGTGTAGGTGCTGGAAAGACCTCATCAAGCAGAGGAAGTGGAGGAAGCTATGGTGGCAGGGGAGGTAAATCCACACATGCTTCTGCTTCTGATTCCTACGGCACTATCTATACGACGGGTACCTGGGGAAGTGGTGGTGGAGACTCTGGCAGCTACAAGGGAGGGCGTGGAGGAGGACGACTGATAGTCCAATCTACACAGACGTTTACCATGAATAGTACTGGCTTGATCAGCTCTAATGGTGATGACCGTTCGGTAAGGATTGTACCACCTCTATATAGTATTTATTGGATTATTGAAGAGATTTTATTAAGCCAAAAGATGTTCAGTGCGATATTTTGATGACTACACAGTCGCCTTCATCAGACAAATGACTAGTGGGGATCATTGTCTGCAGTGTGTACAATATGTTAAGGATTCAACCAATATTTCCGGCTGTACTATAATCCTATATACACTAAGATAGAAAAGTGTTTGATGACTACTTGTTACCAAGGTTATAAATCTATGAATTGAAATCAGTTATCATAACAAATGATATATCTGTTAGCATAACAACTAATATTTGTGTTGCTAGGGTAACAACTTACCTTTATGTTGCTAGGGTAACAGCTATATTTATGTTGTTATGTTGACAGCTGATGTTGATGTTGCTCGGTAACAGCTAATGTATACAGTTTTGTTGTTAGAATAACAGCAGATATTTCTATGTTATATGGTAACAGTTGATTCTTTTGTTAATAGGGTAGCTACGGGGGTGGTGGCAGTGGTGGTTCCATCTCCATCACCTGTAAAACACTGGACATGTATGGACAAATGACCGTCAATGGTGGTGCTGGCCACACCAGTGGCAGTGGAGGTGGTGCTGGTGGCAGGGTGTATGTTAAATTCGAAGGTGGCGTGTATACTAGTGGCCTAGTCACAGCTAAAGGTAATTTTTTTGTAAGACAGAGAGTTTTGTTTGGTAAACTGGGAAAATTTTCATTAAATGAGTAGTTTCCATATCTATTACAGAAATACATCATCTGTAGGAAATATATGAAAAAAAGATTTCTTAAAATTTATAGATGATAAGATTGACAGAAAAATTTCATATCTTTTTAAATGTCAAATGGATTTTCAGTGTTACAAGATAGATTTTGCAATTTCCTGCTTTTTAAGGCATCAGTTGACTCATTTCATTGCAATGCATTTACAAACAAAGGTGTATGATAAAAAATCTGGATTGTTTTCTTGGTGACATCCTGTTTCACTTCTATCTGATTGTGATCTGCACACCTGTAATGTTTTGCTGTCTTTGGTGTACTAGAATTATGAAAACTTTTTTTTGTCAGATGCTCAGAACTATTATGAAAATCTGTTATTTTGTTTTTTCTTTGTTTCGTTTGAAAACCTTTTGCATTATTTTTGTTGTCAAGGTGGTGTTGGTTATGAGCCTGGAGGTCCAGGAATGATATATTTCGAGGGAGACCAGTCTCGCAACCTCAGAGTGGACAATAAATGTCAAAAACCAACAGTAAGTAATTTCTTCACTTATTTGGATATTTGTGCTATCTACTTCCAACCTTGTTAACTTCAATGTTGAAATAATCATCACATGGCTAGATGTAAACCAACTTTTTTTTGTTTCAGTCAAGTTTATTCATACCCCTGTTTTCTTCAGCTTTGATCAAGAGATAACAGTTCGGTTTTGACGTTAAAGATTTGTTGCCTGAACTAGCTAATGATGGACAGTGAATCATTTGTTCCCTTTAACAAAACTTTTGAGACCACCTTATGATGGGCTTTTCATTTTCGATTGTAAAACCCAGACCTCTTTGAAGGATTGAAAACTACTCTAGGTATTTGATATTCTGGCAAATGAGGTGAAACTTTGTGTTGTTATTTTATTTGTTCAGGTAACAGAACCCACAGGCAACACCGCAGAGCAGTCTCACTTCAATACATACATTAGCACAGGTAAGTGCTGATAGGTACATAAGCAAAGATAAGCTCCACTGTGTACAAAAACAAGGGGAGTTCTATTGTGTTTAAAAGCAAAGGTAAGCTCCAATGTGTACGAAAACGAGGGGAGTTCTATTGTGTTTAAAAGCAAAGGTGAACTCCATTGAGTTCAACTGCAAAGGTAAGCTCCATTGTGTACAAAAGCAAAGGTAAGCTCCATTGTGTTTAAATGTAAAGGTGCTCTATTGTGTTTTAATGTAAAGGTGCTCTATTGTGTTTAAATGTAAAGGTGCTCTATTGTGTTTAAATGTAAAGGTGCTCTATTGTGTTTTAATGTAAAGGTGCTCTATTGTGTTTAAATGTAAAGGTGCTCTATTGTGTGTAAATGTAAAGGTGCTCTATTGTGTTTTAATGTAAAGGTGCTCTATTGTGTTTTAATGTAAAGGTGCTCTATTGTGTGTAAATGTAAAGGTGCTCTATTGTGTGTAAATGTAAAGGTGCTCTATTGTGTTTTAATGTAAAGGTGCTCTATTGTGTTTTAATGTAAAGGTGCTCTATTGTGTTTTAATGTAAAGGTGCTCTATTGTGTACAAAGGAATAAATAAGGTCCAGTACGTGAAAAAGTAACAGGTAATATGTGCCTAAGCTTATATGGATGTATCATTTGATATAGCATAATTTTTCATGGTGATAATTTGATTGCCAGGTGCCATTGCATTCCTGTACCCACCGACGGATGACTTTGTCTATGACTTCACAACTGTTGAGATATATGGAGGTGCCCACCTTACAACCATTGGTAACAGGACCACAATCAAGGCAATAAAAGTGGTCGGGGATGACACAGGTCACTTACATATTCCTCCCACACACACCTTGGAACTTACTGAGACTACACAACATCGCCGAGCGAATGTTACATATCTACCATTCTTGTACAAGAATGCAACTTGGATTCTCCCAGATGCTACCGTGGAGTTCCGCGAGTCTCTTAATGAAGTGTCCCAGGGTATCAGTTCTTCAGCTTGTTCTTCTTCGTACCTCAATAGTAACACTGTGAAGATCTGGGGTACAGTTGTTGGAGACAAGGCCAACCTTTTATTGGCATCAGGTACAGTTACCATTATTATATGGCAATAAGCCCATGCCTGGTAATAATCCAACCCATACATATTACTTATCCTTTATTCATTTTACTGCAATAAGTCCAGTCACTGAGTTTGAGTCAGAATTTTGATGTGTTGACACCTGGGCTTTTTACAGGATAAATATATTTTGTTTTCAAGAGAGGATGCTATATGTTTTATCTGTAGTGGAACTTTAGCTGCTGTATTATAAAAGAATAATGCATCATTTTCAAGAAATAGAAAAACAGCTTGATTTGTAAAGCACAGAGATTCAACTTCCAATATATCCAGAGATGAAAAATTTCCACCGATCGGCGGGATTTCCGCCTTTTTCATGACAAATTGTGTCATTTTTGAGAAAATTTCAGGGATGGCGGGGTTAGGTATGTCTTGATGATGCATTTTATTTTTAAGCAATCTTCATCAACTCCGTTCTTAAATCTTTCGATTTATATGCCTTTATAAACTGTAAAATTAAACATTGAGCAGTTACGAGCACCGAGTTTATGGTATTGTCAAATCAATAATACGAAGGAAGATAACTCTTACATCAGTCGAACGTTTGAAAGCTATAGTTGAATTACAACAGAGATGAAAAATTTCTGCCGATTGGCGGATTTCCGCCTTTTCCAATGCCAGCCACTTTCATCTCTGTATATCTAAAGATTGATATTTGAAATCATGGTTCGGTTCACTTCTTGTCCTGGAAGGATTGCTATAAACAAATCAAGCTTGTTAAGCAGTTTAGACTGTGATAAGTAAGAATCTGAAAACCTATCTTGTATAAATTTCACAAGTAAATTCTTAACGTCAATGTCTCTCTTGTAACATCAGTCGTTGTGATCTATTTTGTCAGGAGTGACCCTGTCGTTTGAGGATTCTGCAGAGCGTAATTTGAAGTTTTCTAATGTCACTCTACAAAAGAATAGTGTTCTGGACCTTACGGATACTACTGATGATGAATATGATTCCTGGAACTTTGTGGTGGGTAGTGTGATAATTATAGGATTGTGTGACACATGTTTTCTCAGACATGGTGATTAATATCAAATTATCAATGAAAGTTCCTTTTTGGTATGTTCAATAAAAATAACTGTTCTACAAGCTTTCCATACTATCTTTGCTCTGTTTTTATATTCTAGGTGAAGAGACAAGGAAATGTTGGTCAGTTCCTTGTCGAGGGCGATGGTGTGGTCAATGCCAAGAATTTTTATTTAGAGACAAACATTTTGAAAGTTGACAAGAATGGTTTGATATCTGCTGAGGGTTTAGGTCTGAGACAAGGAGATGGAATGGGAACCTCCCCTGCTGGAGGTGGCTATGGTGGCCGAGGTGGAGCTGCATCAACAACAGGTACCTTGTTACCTTATATTGCATTCATTGATATGTTATTAACTTTATCCAGCAAGAAGTCCATGCTTCGTACTAGGGCTATTTATATCAATTGCTCTTCAGTAGAATTATTGTCAAGCCCAACCTTTGCCTCTGAAGGTAATACTTAACACCCTCCTTGCCCAATATTTACCATGTCTATATGTATAATGTTGAGCACTTTAACGTTAGAAGCTATAGGAGATTGAAGTGCTTCTTTGGAGATATTGAACCTGGGTTGTTGTTGTCTATGGGGCTGAAGACTTTGTGAAGGAGGGAGTAGTCTAGAAGTTGAATGTACAGGTTTCCTTATTAGCCCTGATTAGTAGATATTTCCCAATAGTTGAGAGGTAGTGTTCAGCTAGAGACTCAAGGGTCACAAGTTCGAATCTCGCCATAAGCAAGGTGTTTTCCATTACTCCTAGGCATTGCAATACTGTGTCAATGGATAAGTTAGGATGTAAATTGACTTGTTTTATTTTGATCCTTTCAGGATACTATCCTGGCGAGATCTATGGATCCTATTTGGAACCTAGGGCATTTGGCAGTGGTTCTAATGTAGCTTCAACTACCTATGGCAGTGGTAAGTAGATATCAGATAAATAGTTCCTTCACAGAAATAGATACTGGATCCACAGTTACATCTTTAATAAGATTTAGTGACAGAAAATTTGTTATGATCTATAATTGATTATCAGTTAAAATCTGAAAGACTTTTCGATGTAGTTTACCAGTGACATTAATGACTTTGTAACTGTCTTCACTATTCATAGAAAGTGAATACATCGTACATTCTTCATTGCAGTAATATTTTATTTTTTTGTACTTTCACTCTTAAATATCTCACTTGCAAAAGAAATTTTATTTGCATAGGCATCTTTATTATGCATAACATGCTTTTTTTGCAGAAATGCGGGAAAATATTAAGGTATCGATGATCGATTATGAAAAATTAAAATCTATCATTGCATCAGATGAGGTTAAATGATTAGATAATATGCTATAACCAATCATTGTCCCATCACTTGAAGGGATGTCTTATTGTCTAACATTACCTGTGATCATAAGAAGTGGCGGTAATGATATCGGGTATACGATTTATACCCATGGTAACTAAAGATATTAGGACTATGATCTTTCTAATGATGTTAAAAGAGAAGAGAAAGGTGGAATGGAGTTTTAGAAAGTGGAAAATTAGTTTGTAATATTTGTATTGCCAATGAAATTTTCAATAAACTTGATGAAAAATGAGACTTTCATTGATTAATGGTATCATTTTATTGGATGGAGGGGGTTAGGGTGCATGGTGTTGCTGATGTCTGTCCCATGTGTCCTGTTCTGAATCAATGTCATGCCTTATCTAAAGAACCTCTCAACAGATCTGGTTCATATTTACCCCATAGGGATCTAGACCTGAACAGAGACTGGTTTGTATAGGAGAAAGGCATTCATATCTTATTGGGCATTTTCTAGTTAAAAAAAAAAACATGTAGAATTATGATTTGGTCTGGAGCTTAAAAATAACTTTTTTGTCTTGCTACAGACATTTGCAAATCAGGGAAATGCATAAATGGAAAAGGGCAATTACACATGATTAGTGACCGTTATCAAATTTACAGGTGGTGGGATTCTGAACTTCGTGGTGACCAAAAGTACATGGATTGAGGGTATAATCCAGGCCAATGGTAAAGTTGGCACATCGTCTATCCCAGGTGGTAGTGGGGGCAGTATAATGATCAACACTGACCACCTAGAGGGCTCCGGGTCAATTCAGGTAGGATGACTAATCGGAACATTAGCACAGCCAATAATAATTAAGAAACTGTATGAGTATTGACTTGTCAAAATTTTGAATCTAAATCATTGATTTTGTAGTTTTATTGGTATTCTGAGTAAGAATGTTTATTATTAGATTGAATTTGTGGCTTTTACTACAATTCTGATTATAAATGTGAGCAGAGTAAACTGACTCAGTAAGTCAACATATGTGCTTTCAATGGTTTAGTTTTTAGGTTAGATTTATTTTTTGCTGCTTTTAAGGAGAATATACAATTGAAGCAAAAAGTTAATAACTTGGAAAACAGAATAAACAAAGAACAATGTTTATAAGTTCTGAAAAAAATAATTAAGTTTGTTGCAAGTTTTCTGTAAAACCAAAAAGATTATATTCATTGAAAATATAAAGCCTAATAGTGATTTGTGCATAATACGCCCTAATGATTGTTATGGACAGGTGAATGGAGCCAATGGTGTGTCCTCTCGTGGATCTGGTGGTGGAGGAAGGATGGCTGTTTCTTACAAAAGGAATCAGTTTTGGTATGGTGAGTTCCAGGCTTATGGTGGCACTGGAGGAGCTGGAAGTGGAGGAGCAGGGACAGTTTACCTTAAGGTAAGACATACACACAGGAGGGGGAGGAAGGAACAGGTGAGAAAAACCTACATTGAATGGAGTTTGGGGGTGAGTCATACCAAAGTTTGAATGGGAGGGAGGAGTAAGGAAAGTACATGCAAATGGTGAATGGAGAGTGGATTCAAAGAGTGAGGGATAGTGGGAGGTTGGTAAGTTGTACAAACCATTGGTGGAGATATGGGGTCATAACAATATAAGTTGGCAGTTGGTGAACAAGGGGAGGTAAGTCAAATACACAAACCACCACAATCTGAGGCATACACAAATGTAAAGCTGAAAGTGGAGATACAAGTGAACTGAACTGAAGGAAAATAATACTGCATTTTATTTTTCAAACATTTATTGTTCTTCAATAACTATATATAAATTGTCATTTTTAGGATACACTGTTGAGCACTGGGAATACCACTCTTTACATTGACAACAATGACAATACACCTGCCACCTCTACTGTGACCTCTACCTACACATCTGCTGTATACAGTCGTGATGCTGGACGTACCTGGCTCAACACCACTGAAAAGTTTGATAGGATGGCCCTCATACGCAATGCACACCTGGCCATCCTCCCAGAAATTATCTAGTAAGACACTTGCTCCATCACTTGTCGTTATTCTGATACTTTTTTGTTCCTTTCTCACTGCATTCCAGGCATGGTATTTTGCTGGTATGTTTCTAGGATGAAGCCTGACAAAATTGAAGAAAACAAATGACCTTGACTTATATTCAAGGTCACAAGGGCCAAATTTGCTAAAACATTTAAATAACTTCATCTCTTGAACTAAAAGGTCTAAAGGCATGATGTATATAAAACAGGTGAGTGCTGCAGGCCCATTGGGCCTCTTGTTTGTATTGTTGTGAAAGATTTAATAAAAGACAGGTAGATAGCGCCTTTTGATACAAATTTAGATGAGATACAGGAGGGCCAAAAAAGTAATTAAACTGCATCATCCAGCTGTTTTGTCCTTCTGGTACTCATCTGTGAAGCTTAGGGCGTAAATTCTAAATCTAGGAGGTGACTAATGAAATGAAGTGATAAAAAACGTCAAACTCTAAATTAGCCTCATAATTCAGTAAGTTTAATTGATTTCATATCTGATGACTTCAGAAGTATGTCAAGTGCTTGTGTATAATCTGAAATGTGCTACTTTTCTGTATGAATTAAAACATGGCATGCAGGTTATGCAAACCTTGGGAACAAATAGTTCACTGGCAGTGTTTGCCACCTGCAATCCTGAAGATTGTACAAAATGCACACAAGTGAATGGAACCTTTTAATACAAATTTATACAGAATGGCCAAACAATGAATTAAGCTGCATCATACAGGTATTTCATCCTTCTAGGATTTGTCAAGCAAGCTAAGTATCATTAAAATGTTTTAAGGGCTGTATAACGAAACATTAGTTGTAATTAATTTTGATTTGAATTTTAAATTTTCAGTCCAGTTGAATTTTCTTCCCTCAAATATGTTGGAGACAATACAGGAACTGTACACATTGGACCAGACCAGGTACTTGTTGTTGATCATGCTAATGATGGGGAATTCCTCGTCAATGTTTACGTATACGAGGGGGGCACCCTCATTCTCCCACCATCATTCCAGTGTTATGACATCAACATTGTTGTCTGGTAAGTCGTGTATTGTATAGTGCATGATATTCAAGGGAGATTTAATTTCACTTTATATTTGTGGTCATTAAAGACAGTGCAAAATTAATGACCTGCAAATATTTTATAATGGATCAATATTACAAGCTTTTTGCAGCATGAAAATACAGTATTTGGAATATGGCACTGAAAAAAAAGAGAAAAAAAACCAGTTTTATGATGTCTGTGATTTGAGTGCATGAAACTTAAGATGAAACATCGAATATCTGTCATTTTCTTTAAAACCATATTGATATAATTCACCATATTGTACAATCCTATTGCGACAATTATGTCATAGTATTATTTAATTTGATTGTTAATTACAGGGGTATACTTGGTGTTGAGGATGTGACAGTCAGTAGCGGATGTAAGCTGAAGCTTGGAGCTACAGGTACAACACGTACAGCCGTCACTCAGCCTGGAACCACAGGGGTGTATACATTTAATTCCTTGACCGTGACAGCATCTGGTGAGGTCACTGTAACTGATGACCTCACTAACGACCAGAGTGAACTTAACATTGTGGTAAGTCTTAGGTTATTTCATAGGCCTAGAAACTTAAAGTAATTTATAATAATTTTCTATGACCCCAATATTTTAATATTTTATTAGCAGTCATATAGTGCTACACACATTTGTACTGTCGTGTCAAACCCTGAACAGTTGCATTGCATCCAGAATCACTGTCATCACTCTTGCAACTTTAGGGATTTGGATACAACTTTATACTAAGAACAACTGCATTAATTCCTCAGATGAATAGATGTTTCAGGGTCCTATAAGGTTAAGGTCACAATTTCATATTTTTTAAATTGTCAAACATTTATATTAAAAATAGGTCAATTTTTATATCAGGCTAGCAAGCTTTGGGTGAAAGGTGACGGCCTTCTACACGCTGTAAAAGTCAACATTGATGCCGACATCATGATTGTGGATGACCTTGGACAGGTCACAGGAGATCTTCATACAAAAAGTTGTACTGTAGGTCAAGGTTTTCAAGCAAGTGGAGGATCAGGTAATTACATTTTCTATTTCAATTCATGAAAAACTCCTAAATTATAGACTTCTTAAATTGTCATATTGACAGTTTACAGTAGACTTAAACTCTTAGAAGTATTTCCCATTATAGACTTTGAATTTTCATGAAAGATAAAGCAAAAGAACAATATGGCTTCATGTAAGGGATTTTGTGTTAATTAAAATTTTCAATGTTCCCCATATTTGGTATTTAAGCAATATATCAGGTTTCCCTTACCAGGTTTTAACAAATGTAACTGTTTGTTGACTGAAAAGTTATGTCATAGACATTTAAATGTTCCATGTGTCTTAACTATTGTACCATGAATGGAATCAAAATTCTTCAGGGAATTATCATTGCCTCTTGTTTATTTGACTCGAGTCTGAAATTCTGAATTTTTAAAAGAAAAGATGATTTGAAGTGAAGAATTTTAAAAATGAAAGTTTTATTGAAAAAAGTCATCAAATATTGAAAATGTTCTAATTGTTCCAATTTTTCTCAGGTGCTGGACATGGAGGCACAGGAGGGCATGGAAAGAACCAAGCTCGGGTCGGACAGTCCTATGGATCACTTTTTGAACCTACTGATCTTGGTTGCCGTGGAGGATCAGGAACAAGTGGCACCACAGGGGGACGAGGTGGTGGCTCTATGTATTTACGTGTGAACACCACCTTGCAGAATGATGGCACCATCAGCTGTAATGGAGAGACAGCCACCAGCTATGCTGCAGGTGGTGGTAGTGGAGGTTCTCTTCATATCGATGTCAACAACATTAAGGTACCAAGCCATATTTCTAGTAAAAAGTTAAGACATCTTCTGATAGAGATAGAGGAAATTTTCTGAAGGAATTTATGATATATTTTACACACCTCTTGAATATCTGAGGCAGAACTTAATTTCAACAAAAGATATTTGTAGAAATGTGTATAAGCTGAGGTCATATGTGAAAGGAAATGATGTAATTAAAGTATTCTATCAAGCTTCATGTCATGCTATTACTTATAATTTTTGGTGTAATTTGGTATCAGTTGTAGACAATAACATCATTGAGTCAACTTTTTGACATATTTTTTATGATAATGTTAAAATGTGTTGCACTATCTAAAAGCAAGGGTATGAAATTTAGAAGAGCTACTCGTATGATGATTTAAGGATCTGTATGCTATTTATCTATATATGAGACAACCTCCCTTGATTAATGGTTAAATATTTTGATGATGGTGTATAGAGTTTCTAAGAAACACTTGACGCTGGTGAACAACTACAGTGTCTTAAAGTTCGGTGCAGATGTTGGTAATTTTTAGAAGTCTTTGATAGTAAACGCTTGTCTTTACATTTCTCCATTTCAGGGTTTTGGAAAGTTCCAAGTAATAGGTGGGGATGGTGATGTATACTCATCCTACACAGGTGGAGGAGGATCAGGTGGACGTATTGCTGTATACTTAGCCGAGAACAAGACATTTATGGGGAATTTTGATGCATATGGTGGTCTTGGTGGAAACAGTGTGGGAAATGGTAGTCCAGGCACAATCTTCTTCTTCCACACAGGTAACAAGTTAGATATTGATATTTAAACCTTGTTGAGTTGACAAATTCTAATACTGAAGTGAAATCAGATGTATTAATTCTACAGGAAGTCCAGAGAACAAGCAAAAGACCACTTTTAAAGGATATGGAAGAAATTTATTAGCCAACACAACACCTCTTTTAAAAAATATGGTAGTATTTTATCAAGCTTATTGCCTGATAGATATTGTACAGAAAGAGGAAAACTAATTACTGTGCTTTGAATTTGAATTTGAAAATATGCATTGTTTAATTTGATGATAGATGCAGGTTTAGTACCCTGTATATACATAGAAAGTCTGTTGATAAATTTTCTGTTGACTTTTTCAATATGAAAATGGGAAAATAACATGTTCGATGTTTTCTTCAATATTCAACTTAAGCTGCATTCTTGTATGGTGAAAATGATTCTAGTGGTATGGAATTATTTGAGGAATGTACCTGATGTCGAAAATTAAATGGTAAAGCTCGAAATTCAGAGTTTCAGAATTTCCCTTCAAACATAAACAATGAACCAATAATAAAATATTTTCCATTTTTATTTTTTCTGAATATCATATAATTTCCAGAAGTACATTTGGGCAGCAACTGCTGACCCCTCAAACTACATTTGCGGAATATACTGCAGTCTAACCTTGGTCTCAATCTGTGCCTGGTGTTTCTCTTGCAGGTTCAGACAGTCTAACCGTTTCAACCTCTAATACAAAAGTGACCTAAATATAAGTAAATTGCCCAGAAATTTTCTTTGCAGGCTATATACGTGTTACTGCTAGAAAAAAAAAACAAAAAACAAAAACGATGGAAATCCTTTGATGGAAGCACCTGAACTTGTGTGTCTCATTTTATGAATGTCTTTGATATAATTGTCTTTCAGCTCACAATCATTCAACTTTGTTGCTGAATAACAACAACAGAGGACCATCCAAAAGTGACGTTATTGATAATTATAGTGACCTTAGTGAAGATGAAGGTCGTGCTTGGTTTTTACCAGAGCATGGAAATCACAGATTTGGTTTGTATTCCATTTTATAACAAATATCTGTTTCAGACAATAAATTGAGACTAAACCCTTTTTAGTTTCTCGGAAAGCATGCTAATTTTAATCATAATCTGTTCAAATTAAAAATGTTCCATTAATTAAGTAGAAAAATATTGAAAGATTGGGTCAACTCATGACATACCATTCTGATTCTCCAATGAGGCAAAAAAAAATTATTGTATGATTTTTTTAGAAAAGAAAATTTGTGAATCAGATGATATCATTTGATAAGTATATATTTAATATTTTTATTCTTGCATTTTCTGAACAGCTTCAAACTCTGCCTTCCACTTCAACGAGCTTCAGATCTATGGTAAAGCTCACCTTGCTATCCTCACCAATCCTGTCAACTCGGCAGCAACCATCTACTTCGACAACATGATAGGTGACAGAACTGGTGTACTCCATATTGGTGACCAACAGGAAATGGATTTGGAAAGACAAAAAATTGACCTTCCATTTACTGCTCGTATCTACAATGGTGGCCATCTTGGCCTGGCACCAGACACTCATATACATGGGGTGGATATATACATGAATGGAACCATGTCTCATGTCCAAAATCTGACAATCTATCGAGACGGGAAGCTATGGCTGTACAGAGAAGGCAGAACGACTGGAAGTGATCCAAGCAATTATGAATTCAAGTGGGTACATGTGAAAGCAAATGGGTTTATTCACATGATCACTGACATTGTTTACCAAGTTGGGATCAACTTCACCACAATCGACCTACAAATTGATGGAGGCGGACTTGTGAGAGGGACGGCTGTGTCCTACTATTCAACAAACATCACTGTCGATGCTGGTGGAGTCTTAAGTGCAGATGAACTTGGGTATGAAATGGCTAATGGTTACAAGACTGACAATTATGGTGTGGACCGTACAGGAACCAATGGTTTAATCAATCCAGGCCGAGGAATCACTGAGTCGTATAGGGGAAGTGGTGCAGGTCACGGAGGAAGTGGTGGGAGATCTGAAGGTAATTCCCAACAGAACTGGGGCTATAGCATGCATCCTTAGTCTGTAGTTTTATTGATAATATAGTAATCTGTTTATTTGCGATAACTTGACTGGCTAAAATAATGACTCTAAAGCAAATTTATTATCATGATGTTTGTCATTAGTTTACAGAAAAATTAGGGTATAGCAATAATTTGTATATTTTTATATTTAGAGAGCCAAGTATGCAATAAAAGTATTCAGGGATACTGTAACACATTATTCAAAACTGTAGATTTTCAATTAGTTAGATAAAATCCTGAACTAAAATTTTGACTTGTTATAGAGTTAACTTAATTTCAAATTGATGAATGATTTATTTGTTAAAGGGTCTGCCCAAGGAGGAGGTGAAGCCTATGATGATGTTTATGAACCAAGTCTGCCAGGAAGTTGTGGAGGAGGTGTACTTGGTGGTAGAGGGGGTGGGCGTCTTTGGTTCAATGTCACAGATACTCTCTGGATTGATGGCACAGTCTCCTCTAATGGTGGAAGTGGTACAACATCAGGCTCCTCAGTCAGTGGCGGGGGAAGTGGTGGCAGTATCCTTATCCATACATATCGCATTACAGGCTTCGGTAATGTTGTAGCTGCTGGTGGCCAAGGCTCAACATACTATTATTACACTGTTGGTTATAGAACAGGTGGAGGAGGTGCTGGAGGTCGGATAGCTATGTATTTCCACCTCAACTCAACCTACAATGAATTCCGCTTCTTAGCTAATGGTGGTCTGGCAGGTCGAGTTTGTACAGACTGTGAAGCTGGAGGACCTGGTACAATTTTTGTATTTCACAAAGGCTATGAACACAGAACTCTCATTATTGATAATAATGGGGCTCCAAGGCCATCAACATTAACAGTGAATTGGAACGAACCAACAAAAGATGGTGGACGCGCCTGGATTCTACCACTTTCTGGAGATCATGACTTCGCAGGAGGAACATACAGATATACATTTGAGGAGTTACAGATTTATGGCAATGCTGATTTGGCATTTTATCCGCCCCAAACAAATCCTTCCTCTATCGTCTTTGTTCCAGGCCTTGGATCTGTAAACTTAAATACCTACACCTCTGATAATTACAATATGACAGTGTTCTTTAAATACATGATAGGAGACAGGACAGGAGCTGTACATTTAGGCGGAGGTCAGGTAATGGACCTGCATAGAGAAGAGATAGACCTACCCTTCAACTGTTACGTATACAATGGAGCCTATCTTGGTCTAGCACCAATGACTTATGTTCATGGAGTTGAAATACATCTAAGTGGCATTCTTGCTAATATTGACAACATTACAATCCATCATGGTGGATACCTATGGCTGAAACATGGTGGTAGAACGCTCAATGCTTCTCAGAGTAAATATGAATTCCAGTTTGTAAGAATTCAAGACCTAGGAGTTTTGAATGCTACTACAGATCCGATAACTGACCCTGGAATAGAGTTTGACACCAGAGCTATAAGTGTAGAGGGAGGTGGTCTCTTACATGGAACATACCTAACATTTAACACAGAAAACATCACTGTAGATGGAGGAGGTAAAATCTCGACCGAAGGACTAGGATATCACGGACAACATTCACAGGCCAGTCATGGTTCTCAATCATACGGTGGCAGGTTAGTGAATGTAGGACGTCCACAAGGCATAGGAGTGGGAGGTGGACACGGTGGCACCCCTGGTCAAGGCAGCAGGTCCGGACAAACTACAGGTACCCCCTATGGAAGTATGTATGAACCAGATGCCATTGGAAGTTCCGGAGGACCCGGTCCCAGTGGTCATCGGGGTGGTATTGGAGGTGGTGTTATTTGGATGAATGTGACAAAAATGATTGATATTGATGGAGAGGTCACTGCTAATGGTGCTGATGCTGATACAAATGGTGGTGGAGGTGGTAGTGGCGGCAGTATATGGATGTACTGTAATATCATCAGAGGATTTGGTAAAATAAAAGCACATGGAGGTCAAGGGTCACAAAATACCAATAACCCAGGTGGTGGTGGGGCTGGAGGTCGCATAGCCATCTACTTTAAAGTTAATTATACTATGATGAGCTTCAGCTATGAAGCCCATGGAGGCCCTGCTGGAAATGAAGCTTACTCTCAGAATGGAGGAGGTGGGACGGTCTTCATTTACCATATGCTGGAGGACCATAGAACTTTACTTATAGACAATGGTGGCCGGAAATGTAATAGTGACAATGTCATTGCAGATTATAGTGATCTGACCACAGACTTCTGTCGAACTTGGATCACACAGGAATCTGGGAGCCATTCATTTGCCAATACCAATAATGAATATCACTTTGAAGAGTTGCAAATATATGGGGATGCTCACCTGGCATTTTTGACTGATCCTGTCGGGGAGAAAGTAGATGTGTTTTTCTTGTATATGATAGGGGATAGGACAGGAACAGTTCATTTGGGTCAGAACCAGGAGATGGACCTGTTGAGATATGAGATAGATCTACCCTTCAGTGCACGTGTATACCCTGAAGCCTACCTTGGTCTGGGCAATTTCACTATCATTCATGATGTTCATATATGGCTGCAAGGAACGTTGGCCAACATTGAGAATGTTACCATGCACCAACGAGGACATTTAACATTGAAGTATGGTGGCCATACAGAGCATAAACCATCAGATGAGTATGAGTTCCAGTTTGTGAGAATCCAGGATGATTCTGTAATAGAATCAGTCATGGACCCAGTTACTGAGCCCGGTATCATTCTCACTGTGCATAAAAGTATGTACATTGAAGGTGGTGGTACAATGGTGGGTACAAACATCTCTATATTGGCCTATAATTTCACTATTGATGATGGCGGTACCCTTCATGCTGATGGGCGTGGATACAGACCAACAGATGCCACAACACAAGTGTACAACATTGGGAAGGGTGTGGCAAGTGGTAGCGGTGGTTCTGGTGGTGGTCATGGTGGGACGTCGGGATATGGTGCTGGTACCGCCCTGACAGGACAGCCTTATGGACATCTGTACCAGCCCTATGCCCTTGGCAGTGCTGGGGGTGGCAGCAGTGGAGGAGCAGGAGGAGGGCTTTTATGGCTTAATGTGACAAATCGTATTGAAGTGGATGGAGAAATGAGGGTAAACGGGGAAGCGGCAGGTCGAGTCCAGGACGGTGGTGGTGCAGGTGGTAGTATCTGGATGTATTGTTATTTGTTCCGAGGTTTAGGAAACATTACAGCCAATGGAGGAGATCCCTACCCAGTAAGTGGTACAGGTGGAGGAGGATCTGGGGGTAGGATTGCCATCTACTTCACTGTCAATGATACATATCTAGGCTCCTATAACAACCATGGTGGTGAAGCACAGACGTCAAATGCAAATCACGGCGGTCCAGGAACGACACTTCTATATCATCAGGTACATGGACATATCACGTTGTATGTCAACAATGACAAACTGTCCAGCAGGAAAAGTGACTACATCTCTGATTACAATGATATCAGTGAAGACAGCTGCAAAGCCTGGATCATGCCAAGTGCAGGAACACATGCTCTAGCCTTTGGCAATTTTGATTATCGTTTTGATGAGCTCAACATCTATGGTTCAGCCAATCTGGCTATTCTACCTGAACCTGTTTCTAATGGCGCTAATCTTCACTTTAAAAACATGATTGGAGACAGAACTGGCACTGTTCATGTTGGTCCAAGCCAGGTCATGGATCTGAAACGACAATTTGTAGATACACCTTTTAACTCTTATGTCTATGAAAATGGGTATCTAGGACTTGCCCCAGACACAAATATTGAACATGTCTTTGTCCATCTGGAAGGTACCATGGATCATATCATCAATCTGACAATGATTGGAGACGCGAAACTACTTCTTCAACTGACAGGCTCGACCAATAGTAGAGCTGCTCGTCAGTATCATATCAATGGAACAACCATCATTAAGGCTAGGTCCCTCATTAACTGCTCCAATCCACGGGCTAGCAGTGATCGGTATGATCTGGTGTTTAACTACCTCCAGGTAGAGGGAGGTGGGGACATCAAGGGTAGCTATATGAAGATCAAAGCTGAAGATTTCTTAATTGACGATGGTGGAAATGTTTCTGTCAGTAATGGTGGCCACTCTCCTGAACAGGGATCTGGTAAGTGTTATTTTTTTTCCCTTCGGATTGTTTTTCCATTTTCAATACAAAATAAAAAAGAAAAAATATTTATGGTCAGAAAACAGTGAAAAAGAAAATTTTTGATTGAGGGACATGTGATAAAAGCATTCGGGTTTTACTAAGGCCGTGGCAAGATTGTAGTCGACATGTATAATACAAGTATGAAGCTTTGCTTGTGTCTCTGAACCAGTTCACTTTTTCCAGAGTGGCACATCCTGATGTTGTGTGGCTTCATGTGACACATCATTGAGTTGCTGTGCCACATTGCCAGACTGCAAGACACCTGCCTGGTCAGAAAAAAGTTCACCCTATTTGTCTCCATATTAAAAAGGAATTGTTAATTCTCTTGAAATTTTAAGTATTCACAATGAATATTTATTATACCAGGTAAGGGTGAGACACACAGACTGGGATCAAGTGGGGCATCTCATGGAGGTCTGGGAGGTCGCGGTGCCTGTGATAATTACCTAGCTTGCCGACTGAAGCGGAACAATCCATATGGAAGTCTTTATCAACCTCTAGAGTTTGGCAGTGGAGGAGCTGGTAGTAATGGAGGGTCAGGTTAGTGTGAATTAGATACACAAGTTTTTTTGGTTTTTTTTTTTTTGATGAACAAATTTTACAATCGGCTCTCACATTTCAAAGGCTTGAAAAAGAACTGCATATCCCAACAAAACAAATAAACTTTTCATTTGCATTAATATCTCATGGTATTGAAAAACAAAGGATGTTAAAGGTCCATGGTTTATCTTTGTGGTGAACAAATTTCCATGCAGAGAAGATTCCTCTTGGATTTTGGAATAAAAGATAATGTAATGTCCCTTTTTGGTCAAGATAGCTCTGATTTTCTATAGGAACAGTGTGTTAACAAGAGAAATTCTAGAAATAATGTGTTGAAACCAGCATAAAAAAATTCTGAAAACCAAGATCTCTAGTTCATCTCTTCTTGCTCATTTTTGTTGAAGATAATCATGTTAATTATGTGTATATGTAAAGGTGGAGGTCGTTTGGAGATCGAGGTGACTCATACTCTGGCTGTAGAGGGATACATCATGGCCAACAGTGAGGATGTGTCAGGAAATCCATCGGACCTCTCCAGTGGAGGGAGTGGAGGCAGTATTCTTATAAACACTGTCAACTTCACAGGTAAATTAACACCATTGTTTTATATTGTCATATCTATTAAAAAAAAACAGCCAGTGCCTGAAAATAAGTCCAGCAGAAAGTTTTGGTATTAAGACATCGGCCCACTACTTTTCATCAGAGGTTTAAAAAAGATTTTTTAGTCACAGATATTGTTTTGTGTTGATTGGGTGTTATAAGATTAATCATTAAAACATTTATACATTTTCACACTTTCACAGGAAGTCACACAGGAAAGATCATGGCTAAAGGAGGCTTAGCTGATAAGACCAAAGGTGGTGGTGGATCAGGAGGAAGGATAGCTCTGTATCATTCATCAAGTTACAACATGCCACCATACCGTGGGTACTATGAGGTTGAGGGTGGAGCTGGAAACTCAGCTACAGGGTCTGAAGCTGGGGCCTCGGGCACTGTCCTCATTCAGAACACAACCTCTGGTCACACTACACTTCGAGTAAACAATGCTGGGCAGGCACAAGTGCAAGAAGGCACCGATATCAAAAATAAAGGTCAACGACTCGATCTCAGTTATTCTGGTATGTTTTCTACTTATATTGGTTTATTTACTTTGTTTTTGATGATAAATATTATCACTTTTTCCACATGATAATAGAAATGATAACTTTTCTGGAGAGATCAATCAAATTATGTATCTATATATTGCCTATCTTTTTGATGTCAATATTCCATTGGCCAAATGGCTGCTTTGTAGCAAAGTTTTACTGTATCATATATTATAGTGGGAGAGTAATATGTAGTTTGCTGATTAAATTTTCAGATATTGTTTGTTTCATTAAAACAAGATAAGGAACAAAAAATCATAATGTTATTAAGATTCGTGGTAATTACCAAACAAAAAAATAAAATATTCTGTGAAGAATAAAAGTTAAATCTACATGAACACTCAATCGTTCTCTAATTTTTTAAAATGAATTTTAGAGAAATAACTATGAGTAAAACATAAAACTTATTATATTAATGAGTAGGAGATTACTTTCACTAAACATACACAATGTTGAGACCTGTTATCTCATGTAACGATTGAAAAAATTGGGTTAGTTGATAGTAAGAAATCATTTTAAGGTTTTATTGACTTAATGACTCTTTTCCCCTTCCACAGGTACATATTCTAAGAGTTCTAGTTTCACGTCAGTCGGGGGCCACACAGTGTCCTCCTCCGCTTCGACATTTAACCTTAATCAGTATTACTGGAGTTCCTATGGATCTTACTGTTACTTCTCCAATGATGCCACGTCGTACTCCCTGATGAACTTGTTTGACCAGACACTGGCTAGTAGCCGATATCAGAGTTACCTGGCCCAATCAGGTTCATTCACATTAACCATCACTCTAAGCAGTGCCAAGTTTGTAAATCACATCAAAATTTACCCCAGCAGCAGCTACCCATCAAGCTTTAAGGTAAGAAATAATCGTAATTCAGAGATGGAAACTTGTGTATGTGTCAATGAATCAGCTGCCCCCAATTTTGAAAATTCATGTTCATTGGGAATTAATGACGTTGTTTTGTTTATTACGTATAGATCTTTGTGATAATGATGAATAAGTTCAAATGTTTGCAAAGAGGGGTAGGGGAAGACAATGCATAATCATAGAATCTAGCTGATTGTATGGTGGAATGATTCCAATGACACGCCTTATATAGAATTTAGATCTCTTATAAATATTACTGTAGAACTTTAATCTTTTTAAAAACAAAATATGGCAATAAAAGCTAGAAAACAAAATTAATATGCTCTTGATCATAGTTGTGAAGAAATTAAATGGTACTAACGAAGTTTCTATTTGAAAAAAAAAACAACAGGTGACAGGTTTTGATGCTGCTGGAACCTCGTTCCCAGTGACCTCCACCTTTGTAACTCTGAGAAGTCCTGTAATACAAGGCTCCTACCTAGTTCTGCCGTTGATGCAGACAGCCACTAAATTTACAGTGGAAGCAACTGGCACCAACACTGGGCGATGTAATTCTTACGCTGGTATGAGTGAGATAGAGATCTTTGTTGATGGAGAACAGTTAACAGACAGGTAGGTGCAGCAGGTGTTGATATGGACCCTAGAGGTCCATTCTGGGCATGTCAGAACATGTAGGTTATTATTGGGGTTTATAGGTGCTTACTTAGCTTATAGATACCTATAGAGGTTACTTTAAGTCTGTAGGTACCTGTAGCGATTCACAAAGTCTACAGAAACTGATAGATGTTTACTAAGCCTGAATACAGATAGGGGTTTACTAACCCTGTAGGGTACCATAAAAGTTTACTTATCCTGTAGGGTACCATTAAAGTTTACTTTTCCTGTAGGGTACCATTAAAGTTTACTTTTCCTGCATAGTACCATATAGGTTTACTAATTCTTTAGGATGATCATGCTTTTAGGTACTTTTACAGGTTAACAAAGCTTACAGATACACATAAACATTATCTGAGCCTGAATACAGATAAGGGTTAACTAATCCTGTAGAATGATCAAGTTTTTAGGTACCCTTACAGGTTTACAAAACTCCTACAAACCCATAAATATTAACTAAGCCTGGATACAGATAGGCATTTACTAATCATATAGGGTGATCAAGTTTTTAGGTTTACAAAGCTCATAGATACACATAAACATCAACTAAGCCTGTCAGTACATGTAGATTTGAATAAGCCTGTAGGTACCCATAGAAGTTTGTATAATATTAATTTTATTTATTTTCAAATTGAACGAAAAATGTCGTTACAACTTAAACTAATCACCCTTGTTGGCCCAGATGTAAGTATGCGAGGGGTACCAATTGAGATTTGCTAAGCCTGGAGATACCTATAGGTGTACCAATAGATATACTCATTGAATTAGATAACATTGTAGACAACCATAGAGGTTAATAAAGCTCATAGGTACTGTTTAAGATTAAACATAAGGGAGAGGTCTCCCCAACTTCTAATTGGTTGCACCTCTTGTTAGCACTTCCTCCATAGGTATATTGGTGTAACTATATGTATAGGTGTGGGTATGAGTATTGGAGGTTGTACAGGTGTTCTATGTAACATGGTTCTGTATTTTAATGGTTATTATATTGCCTTCTGTTTATATATTAAGATGATATCATGGACAGTCTTTGAACCAAATTGGAACATGATTGTGGGTCATCTTTGTTTGGATTTTTATTTTGGATTTGCTTTCTAATTAGTTGATAAATTACCGTTGTGTGCAATGATAATTGTTGCTGATATATTGGCACAACATAAATGTAGACTCTAAATCATAAGTCAGTATACTAATTCATTAGTACTGTTTTACAGATATGATCACCTTGATCTTAATGGAGCAGCCACATGGATATTCACCGACACTTATCAGGGAACCAATGGAAACTTCCTATTTGACACGGTACAGCTTTTAGGCAATGCTCATTTAGCTTTCATGCCTGATCCAATAACCTCATCCATTACTTTGGATATTGGAGAGTTTGAAGGCGATAAAACAGGTAACTTTTACATTCTTTGAATTCTTAAAAAAATAATGTTGAATTACAATTTGGGAAAAACATAACTGGAAAACCGCACAATTGGTATAAAATTTTATAAATGATCACTTGTGAAGAAAATTTGTTTTCCTACTACATACAGGCTACATCCATGTTGGATTCAACCAGGAAATGTTCATCAATGTATCGGATTCAGATATACCATTCAACACCCATGTGTACGAGACTGGATATGCTTTGTTTCCTCCACGGGCATTCTTCTACAAGACACACCTCCATACGTCAGGGGAGGTAAGTCTGTCAACAAATATTGTATAAGTTTGGTGTGCTCAATAAAAGGATGGAGGAAGGGCTGCTTTATGTCCCCTTGATCTCTATACCGTTCACATATTATTTTATAAAACTATACAATGCTATATCTTACAGGTACATGGCATGGAAGATATCTTCGTATTTGATGGCGGCTCTGTACGAGTTGACAGTAACGGCAGTATTGGAGTGGCTACTCCTGCCCACATATCTGCCAATACACTTCACGTACAGGACAAGGGTACATTTGCCATGCAGTCTTACAATGAGTCCAACATGTTCAACGTCTTCATCACCAACGTCACAGTAAGTTTACTCTAATACTGGGTCTTGTTATCAAGACAAAAAATGTCTTATATTTCTGTAAGTTTTGAATGAATAAAAATTGCATTCTTGGAAAGAAAAAAGTAAAAATGTCTCTTGTAAATTCTTGGCCCAGAATGTTTTATCTGGGATTTTCAAAATACTGATTTTCTTCCTTCCAATTTTCAGGACATTGTATGCATTTTCTGATACACTGAAATAAAACCAGATAATTGAAGTCATTTGTTAAAGACATTTGTTACATTATATTTCAGCTGGGTCCTAGGCATGCCTTTCCATTTTCAACAATTTTAGCTTACATCATTCAACACTTTAGAGTTATTAAAAATCACACCTGGTCTTTGTTGAAAGATAAACAGACAATATCAAACCTTTGGATTTCATTTTTGCCCTCATGAGAGTAAAATATTTCTTCCTATCATCCTTTAATATCTTTACTTTTAAGTATGTGTAATCATTGATTGATTTCATGTAGATATATGGTGGTGGAGAATTCAATGCAAACACAGGAGTGAACTTCACCTCCTACCATCTGTTGGCCATCTACTCTGGTGGTCTGATAGACTTGTCTGGAGCTGGACAGCGTAGCCCAGAAGGAGTAGGAGGAGGCACAGGTTAGCTCATCAGATACTATAGATGGAAAAGCATTCCAGTGCATATGTTCATCAACTCTTTTTTGAAACTTTGGTATTGTTAATTTTGGATAATTAAACTGAAATGTTAATAGTAGTATAAGGTACAAAATTTTACAAATGTGTGATACTGGTAATGACATTTCTCTGTGTATGTTAAAGTGTTTTGTGATGAAACTACCAGTATTGTGTCAGACTAATTTTCTACGTTCGAAATCTAATTTGACTTAAAAAAAAAATGATGTAAAATTAAAACTCTATATTTTGTATGAAAGCTTTTTGCTGAAGAAATTAAATAGCAAGATATAATCCTTAAATATTTGTTACAGGTTCTGCATCTGGTGGCAGTGGTGGTGGCCACGGTGGCAGTGGTGGCAGAGGTTCATCCCAGAGTACTACTGGATTAGGTCATGACTCTATCTACAGCCCCAACCAGTACGGCAGTGCTGGTGGCTCAGGATATTATGGTGGTAAGGCTCATGAGATGTATTTCCTTTTTTGAATGAAATACTGTTGTAGCATTCATCTAGTTTAAGAAGTTTACTCTGTCAAATTTTTCTCAAATTTTATAAAACTGCATGAGTACATGGTGTATAGCTGTTATTTTTGTTTTTGTATTTGAATTCTGATTTGATGTCACAGATCTCTTTGTTTTGGGGGTGATTGGTATGTAATTTGCTGTCACAGGTTCCCTCTACTTTGGGGATGAATCTTTGAGGAATGATATTGTGACTGGAGATGTTGGTGGAAGAGGTGGTGGACTTCTATACATAAAAAGTCGACATGTTGATATTGATGGTGAAATACGCTCTAATGGACAAGAAGCGCACAGTACCTTTGGATTAGGAGCAGGTAAAGAAATATTCAGCAAGCATTACAATTTGGCAGACTGACGGCTACCGTTATTTTACCTTGACTGTAATGTTATTGCCAAGCTTACTATAGATACGTATTTAAGGAATGCAAAATATTCTATGCTATGAAAGTGTTAGTCTTTCAAAAATATTTGATGCTTCAGGTATTTGAAGTATGATATCCCAAATGTTGCATTTATATTAATTGAACTGATGTGTAGGTGTTCTGAATGCACTAAATGTCATAGACAGGTCATTTAAAGGAAATGTTACCAGATATAGCAGAATTTTTAATTAATTGATGGTAAAAGTTAATTGTCATATTAACTTGTCATAATCAATAACTTATGTTAAATATACATACATATCTAAATAGGTGGGGGTGCTGGAGGAAGTATATGGATTGTTTGTGATGAGATTGTCGGTCATGGTGTGATGAATGCCAATGGAGGTAATGGGTTGTCCTATAACAGTATCCACGGTGGTGGAGGTGGAGGAGGACGTATCTCTGTCCAGAGTGGCAACATCATCAAAATGAATATCACTACAAAAGCATATGGAGGTTGGTGATGATTTCTATTTTCTTTTTTTTATATTGATGTCCAACAATGTAACTCTTATTTTTAGAATCACAGTCACTTTGATTTTAACCTTAACACAGAAATATTCAAAAATCAAATGAGCAAAAATATGTTGTGTTCAGTTTTCATAACCAAAGTTTGAAATTCATACATATTACTTATGTTGATCATTATTTCCACTCCCTCCCCCCCCCCCCCCCCCAAAAAAAAAAAAAAAACAGAACAATAACAAAATGTCTTCTTTGTTTCTAATAAGTTATGTCCAGTACTTTTATAATTATAACAAAAAAACAATTCAAATAATCTTTGAATTGTACAACAAAACATTAAGAGCCTTTCTATTCTGACACAATATGGGAATCAACAAAAAAGGGTCAGATTGGACAGGATGTTTGAATAAACAAGGATTCTCCAGAGTCAAATTATGGATAAATCCCAATGTATAAAACATCGTAAATGATTGTTTATACTTGGAAAAATACAAATTGTTTGTATCTTTCAGGCACTAGTTCGGCAGAAACAGGTGGTGCTGGAACCATGTATGTTGAGACATTTGACAAAACTTATGGAAACATTACAAATCGTGCCCTATCTATCGACAACAATGGTCATGCTTACCCTCGTGGTTATCAGTTTAGTCAGGGTGACCGACGAAACTTAAACGATGGTAATTATGCTGACCGTACAGAAGCCGGTGGCATCACCTGGCTGTATCATGATCTTGGGGACTATGAGTTTGACACCATGTCTCTCAGCGGAAATGCCCATGTTGCTATTCAGTCTGTGCCACCAGCTACCGCAACCATTGATCTGAACATCATCAGCGGAGACAGGACTGCTGTTTTACATTGCGGTGTTTATCAGACCTGCAAATTTTTGAAGTTGAATGAATATTTACCATTTAACCTCCAGGCATATAGGTTTGTATTTATCAGATATGTCTTCAAATTTCTCATGGATTAAAATTACTTTTAAAGAGGTACTGAAAATTCCCTCAATATGCATTATGCTGTACTTAATAGTAGACTTGAATATTCACACTTAAGACATATCTAAATAAGAGATAAAAAAAACTGTGTCTCTAGACTAGTGTTGAATTACTCATAAATACTACGATCAACAACGATTCTATTTGACTATTTCTTTTTTGGCTATCAACATATTATGATTTATATATCATTTATGTAAATATGTGTGGAACCAAGATCATTCATGGTCATTGATGGGCCTCCTCACCAGAAAAGTTCAGTTTTCTGTAAAACTTATTTTTCACTCTCCCTTTTATTATGGGACCCTCCTTGGAACATTCCAAGTAAATTTCTGTATCCACAACTATATTTTTTTTCGTCATCGTCCTTGTGGAAAGGCCCTGTGAATATGTTAATCGTGTGATTTTAAACATGGGACTAATGCCTTCTGTTTACTGCACAGACTGAGTGTTATAGAAATTCCGGAGAAGATCACGGTCCGTGAAGTTTGGTCCGAAATTAATGGGACAGTTAAAGGTTTACAAGATCTGGCAGTGGAAGACCGAGGAGAAGTCTACATCTGGTCTTATGTCAACACCGAAGGTTCACCTCTTGGAACATTTGCTGTGACTAACATCTCTGTACGTGCTGGCGGCAAGTTTGAGCCACTGACTACAAATGATACACAGATCACTGTGGAGGCCATTAGGGTCATAGTCAACGGTAAAGGCTACATCAGGACCAACAGTCTTCAAATGAACGCTGTCAATATCACTGTTGATCTATCAGGCAAGTACAAGCTGTAGATATACTTAAACAAGGGTGGCAACTAGATTGATGAGACTATACAAGTTTGGTTACTAGACAAATGAAACTACGAACCACATCTACTTAATTGTGAATAGGAAATGGTGGATTGTGAATTCAAAATAGTAACTGCTGTATTGGTCAGATAAGGTGTTAGAAAAAGTCACCAGAAAGATGTATTAACAATTTTAGGGGTAGGTATTAAGTGTTGCAGTTAATATGTAATTAGTTGATAGGCAGTTGGAGTGAGGGAGAGTCAGTTTATGTGCTACATACACAGAGCAGATATGCAAGTGGCATCAGGTATTTAAGATACATTTAGTATTTGGTAGTTTGCTGTCACTAACATTACGTACATACTAGCAGCAAGTTAGAGTCACCGTCTACAAATGATGGCCATTATGGTCATAGTGAACAGTACAGGCTACATCAGGAACAACCGTCTACCGTACATTATGATAAAATGATCGTTAGTGATGGTGTTGTTATGAATGCTCATTGTTTTCAATACAGGTGACTTCCATGCAGACTTTACTGGCTATTCCTCCGGCCAGGGTCCAGGTGTTGGACGCTCGGCTACTAGCCATAAAGGTGGATCGGGTGGAGGTCACGGAGGCAGAGGTGGACGGTCATTATATGGCTATTTCTCAGGTGAAGCATATGATTCCTTCAGGTTCCCCATCGATATGGGCAGTGGAGGAGGTGAAGGGCTTACAGGAGACCAGGGAGGACGTGGGGGTGGTAAGTAAAAAGTAAAATTAAGTAAAGTATCTTTATGCATAAAAACTCCTAGAAAGCAGTTTGCAATAGATTTTTGGTTCAGTCATAAATACAATTTAATAAACCAATGCCAAGTGACATGATGAAATCCTATCAAAAAGCAAGAATTTGAATTTGAAAATGCATTTAGAAAAGATATGCATGATTCATTACATGTTCTTTAGATCACATGTCTGTGATTTCTCATTTATAAATTTGTTTAGGTATTATACATCTGAATGTGTCCAACGAGCTTAGAGTTGAAGGCCGTCTTCATTCCAATGGAGAAGAAGGTGCTGGGTCTACAGCAGGAGGTGGTGCTGGTGGCTCCATCTATATCAATGTAGGCCACCTGGATGGTGCAGGAAGTATTGAGACCATTGGTGGTTCAGGTAAGTATCATACAAATGATGTTTCCCTTGTGGTTACATTGATTCATTCTCCCTCTCCGCATTTATACATTTATGATGTTTTCTTGTGGCACAAGTTTTTTTCATATTTGGCTGTAATAAAATCAGAAATTCCTTTATGCATTATCTTGAATAATTGGTCTTAACATGTATCTGTATGTTCAGTAATATGTAAACATTCTTCGAAGAAATTCTATGTGAAAAAATCTACTTCATATTAAATACCTGGTATTTCAGCTGATTTTGAGGGTCATAAGTATGTGAGGAACTTGGCCATTGAAAATTCAACAGTTAAATATGTATTCTGGAGTGATGGCAGTTTGTCTTTATTTTCTTGTTTTTACCAATTATTGTGTTTTCAGTGATATTAAACATCCCAGTACTTAATTAGCGAGACAGACTGCAGCATTAAAGTTGTTGATGGTTAATTTTATGATGGTCTAAGATGACTGAGCTTATGAAGGTTGCTGTTGACTGATTTTATGAAAGTTTGTATAATTGCTTTTGTTCACAGGAGCCTCGACCCAGGGAGGAGGTGGAGCTGGGGGGAGAATCGCCATAGTTCATAGTCAGGAGAATCACTTTACTGGGGAATACCTCATCCACGGTGGTTATGGCAAGGAACAGTATGGAGGATCTGGCACTGCCTACCTCCAGGATAATACCAACTCCACTCAAACTTATCGTAAATTCATTGTCGACAACAACGGACACACAAGCAGTGAGAGGATTTCGTCTGAGGTGTTGAGTATGGTTTCCCCTCACAGTGGTACAAGCAGTAGTTACAGCACGTATGGTGACATTCTCGTGCAATCTACTGGTGCTCCCTGCAACAGTACACACGCCCTGTCAGGAGTAACCAACACTGGTCAACCCTTCATCAGCACAGACAAGACAATTAATGTAACGTTCACCCTGCCAGATGACCTGTATATAGAAAAAGTCAGAGTCTACCCTTTCTGTGATGAGTAAGTCATAATTCTCTATTCTATAGTACATAGAAAAGGCAAAAGCCTATGTTGACTGTTACAACACAGTCATACATAGCATAAAGCTGAAGTCATTGTTTGATATTATTGGAAAATAAATATATCTTGCAAAATTATTAAAATTTACCTGTCATTTTCTTGAAAATATGTAAGAGTTTTTAATTGAGTCAATGACAATATATATATATTTTTTTGAAAGCCAGTTTCAGATAAGTGTTTTTGTAAGAATTGTTATAAAAACACAGTTTTTGATTCTTTTCTTATAAATATTCATTTTGTGCTTTGTAAAGAGAATATTTCAGGAGATCATGACTCCATTTCTAAATTAAAAAAAGGACTTGGAATCTTTTCTGAAAATATAACAAATTTGCTGCTTCTCTACCTGATATAGAATACTTGTTTGGCCTTTTTCAGTTCATTTGGAAGGTACCGTAGTGATTTCTGGGTACTGAGTGAGCAAGGAGGTGTAGAGGTGGACCATACTGGAGGCTATCTTAGCAGTGAGGGATGTCAGTATCCAGATACACCTCAAATATACAGTGAAGTGGACATCAGGAGAAACATTCACAAGGTATGATATATGGGGCTCCAGTTATCTCATATTCTAAGGAAGGTGACAGTTATTTAACCTGTGAAAGACAACTAACGAATGAGGATAAGATGGAACGTCAAAAATTTAAGATCACTTGGAATTTTAGTATTTGAGTATTTTAACATGAACAGTATTTTCAAAAATATGCTTAAAATTTTTTTTTAAAAGTATTTTTATAAAAGATTTTACCATTTTTGTAGACTATCCAAAGATATTTGATATCAGATTAACAGAAAATTGTCAATATTCAAAATGAAAAATTGAGATGCGATGAAGGACATTTTTCTGAGTCAAACTTGGGGTAGAATATGAAATCGATGATTGGTTTATTTCTTTATAACTAGATAACAATCAGATTACGAAGTACAGATCAGCAAGCCTCCCTAGCTGAAGTAGAGCTTGTTGTGATTGAAGATCCTGCTGCTAACACTCAGTCCCCATACTCCCGATACCAGGGAACTGCCTATATACTTCATGAAACAGACAACCTGGCTGTTTATGAATTTGAGGAGGTGAGACATGATTCTCCATTCAATTTAAATTTCTATTTTTTTAAATTTAGTTAAGATCAAGGGCTTGATATTGAATCATTTTAATAACTATAATCCATGTTTGTTATGATATAATCAGAAGTCTTTGTTTTTAATCCAGAATGGGAAACAACTGTATAGAACTTCAGCACCTTGTCGGTAAAACTGGTTTCAGTATTAGATATAATCAGTTTTGAGAGCAAATTCCTATTCAGTTATATTAGATTTTAAACAATTGATCTTAAGTATTACTGCTATTAAAGTGTGTAATTTGTTTGTGTCTAGATCCATATTCAGGGAGGTGGTAGCCTGGCTATGTCTGGTAATGATGCACACTTAAAGGTTCATCAAGTCAGTGGGGACAACACAGGACAGGTCCAGGTCAAACAGAACCAGACAATGACCACAACACCAGACAGGGCTCTGATGCAGTTTAGTGTTAACACTGAACGCAGCTCTCACCTCACACTTCCACCCACCATTGACTGTAGAGATATTGACTTTTACATCAGAGGTAAGACTCCTCCTCCAATCTCAGTCAGTAACTTCATTGCCTTTATTATCAATGAGGAAACTGCTTCTCTCATCTAAATCAGTAGGGGAGTTCACTTCTTCTTTAGAAGTGATAATCCTCTTTTATTGACATCAACTCTTTTATCACAAGTGAAGATCCTTTTCTCATCTGCAGCACAGGAAGAGGTCTACCTCACAAGAGGTTTATTTGGTGCTCTGTGTATCTCATTTATGTGCAGTAAGCCCATGTCTGGTAAAAAGCCCATCCTTATTTAAGTCAGAGATAGTGTATATGGTCCCTTTTAGTTAATTCCAGGAAAGATAAAGTTAGAAGAATCTCTTTCCTACAGTTATTTACCATCAAAATCAATGTTCCTGTAATAGAGATGCTTTCAGAATCTATAGTTGGTTAACATTCAAATACATGTGTAAATATGGTCTTTTTTATTTTCTAGGTCACTTTGATGTGATGGATAATGTGACATTGAATTCCGGCTGTAGAATGTATCTTGACCACTTTGAGGAGACAGTGAACCAGATAGAAAATTTGGACATTAAGACGTTCGGGGAATTGTATGTTTTTACTGACAAGGAAGCACTGACTACACTGAAGGGGATCTCCCTCACAGTCAGGAGTGGAGCTAAGGTACACAAGTGAAATGGTATTCTGAGACTTTGACTAAAAAAAAACTTCTATTCTAAAAATGTACAACAAATCCTTTTTTAGAATTTCCTGACCTGTATAGCTTATCTGGTAGGCTGTTTCCGTCAGATTGTACTGTAGTACGGTGGCTTTTTTTTTCTTTCCGTTATTGTCCTCTCTTTTTAACCTGACATTTTCTATAGACCCACAAGGCCAAGAAGCAAGATATTGCTTCTGTTTTGGAATGAAGTTTGGAGAAATAGTATAAATGTTTACATGTTATGTTGTTTCAGCTGGATTCCAATGATTTGGCATTGTGGTATACTAACATCACAGTGGAACCATATGGAGAACTAACTGTAGCTGAAGCGGTACCGAAACAAGAACGCAACACTGGTAATCTTATGTTGTCACAGTCCATTGTTAAGTTTATCTTCATGTTGAACTAGAGGATTTTATTACTAGGTGTCATGCATTCATATTTCTTTTTAGCTGATAGTCAAGGGGTTTCTCTTCTTGATGTGCCATAAGTTTTCTCTATAGATTTGTTTTCAAATGTCTTGATGAGGTTTGGTTGTCTCGGTCAGTCTAAAAGCTTTTATTCTTGCACAACGTTGTCAACAGAATATTACACTGCATGTGGTACACGAAGCTACGTTGACAGTATACGATATCTGAGATTTACACGTTATGTTTTTCTGTAACAGGTATTGGTGCTGGTCACTGTGGAAATGCCTGTTCTGGCGGTGGCCATGGTGGAAATGGAGGTCAAGGTGATGGTCAGGAAGTCGTTGGAGCTAGCCACGGATCTTTTGTGGCACCAACTGCATTTGGTAAAGATGGTGGTTACAATTCCTTCCCACACAAAGGAGGTAAAGGCGGAGGTAGATTATTTATCAACACAACACATACCCTTACTGTGGATGGTCTGATATCTGCTCAGGGTGGTAACTGGGGCTCGGTAAGGAGTGGTGGAGGATCTGGTGGCAGTGTCATGGTGCTGACCTATACCATGGATGGTGATGGTAAATTTGATGTCAGTGGCGGGAATGGCTATGACGGATCACATACCACTCAAGGTGGTGGTGGAGGAGGAGGAAGACTGGCTTGGTACTATGAACACAACTTCTTTGTTGGTAAATGTTTAATTTTTCAAAGTTGTTGAAGATTTTTTATTACAAAATTATAAGGCATAGTTTCTTATTTTTATTAATGTTTGAGAATGAGATAAATTTGGTGAATATATTAGGTGTCATCTATATATTTGAAAGTTGTGGGCTATACCTCAGTCTATTTCAGCACTGCTTGTATTTTCTTTGTTAATGTTACTTTGTCATTTAGAAGAAGTATACTGTTAATATACATATTTTAGCAGAACCAAATTTTAGTATATTATTTATTTTGAACAAATAAGCACCATGAGAAATTCATGCATTAACAAAGAAAATAACTGTTTTATTAACAATCTAAAGGAACTTTATTAGGTGCAATCATATTTTAGTAGAATGTCTTTCTTGTGAAAAACACTAAGATACAATTACCACTGAAAGAGATATTATTATGTTTGCAGTAACCTGTAAGCTAATTGTATGTATTTCATAGACAATGTCAATTTCATATTGAATCCTGTTTAACATTTAGCATTTAAAATTTTTTTCAGGAACTTTCCAAGGTTTTGGTGGAACTGGTGGTTATGAAAATGGTGGCCCTGGAACGATATATGCACACAAGATGCCAGACAGGGAACAACCCTTTTCTTCATTTACATCCAACAGAACATTATACTTGGACAACAATAATAGAGTACCACGTGACCCGTTCCGAAATCTCACGAGTTCATATGCTAACTACACATTAGGAAGTGCTGTAGCCTGGCTTATCCCATCTGAGTATCCTGCCTTTGTTAACGAAACTCGAAACGAAACACAAGTCGTACTGGAAGAGTTCCAGTTGTATCGTGGAGCTCAGATGGCCTTCCTGATGCCAGACAATCCATTTGGCTGGATTGACATCAGAATTGGTATCATTGAAGGGGACCGGTCTGGCCATCTCCATGTTGGATTTAATCAGTCACAGTATATTGCCAGTGGCAAGCTTCCAAATGACCTTTCAATTTACCATGGAGGGGACATAACTCTTAGAGGAGAACTACGAGCAGCAGGTGTGACCATCAGTATGGAGGGTGTTATCAACAATGTGGAGAACTTGACTGTTGTAGATGGAGGTATGTGACAACACATTGAGTTGGGTGTAGATTGTTTAAAAGCATCAGTAACAATGTTTGATTTTCAAAAAAAAGTATTCAATTTATTTTTTTGTCATTTAAATTATTAAAGTTGAAATAGTTTTAATATTCAAATTTAGATGTTAGACCGAAGATAACACAAAAATGATGATTTTTACAAAAATAAATTTTCCCAAAAATTTTGCCCAAAGATTAACAAAGGGAATGATCAAAGTAAGAGTATTTTAAATAAAAGATTTTGTCATAATAGTTTTGAGTATATTGTTTTACTGTATATTCTTTTCAGGTATTCTGAAAATTTATGAGATGATTGATGTGAATAACGTCCGTCATGATCAACTGACATTCAACACTCTGAATGTCCGTAATAATGGTAGTATGTTTGCGAAGAATGGCAACGATTCACACATCTTAATAGGTAAGATATTACAACCTTATTGGTCAAATCATATAAGCATATATCAAATAAACATTGTTCATTGTTATAAATAGTTTTTTGTTCTTTGTTTATCACTGTTATAAGAGACAGGTGTATTGAAAAATTCTTAGGTATACTTAGGTAGTTTCATGATTTTGTTTTCTTCTAATACAACACAAAACATGATGAAATGATTGAAATAATTCCGTTTAATAGCAAGTATTTCATTGAAGTTATCTGTAATTGAAGGTGATACACTGCGTGTATTCCCCGGTGGGCTGTTGGAGTCTAAATACCTACAAGTGGAGGCCAAGACGGTCATCATTGATGTGCTTGGCAAAATAAGTTCAGATTTCAAAGGTCACTGTGATGGAGGTTAGTTCACTTTTATTTAGCTAATTGATAACAATAGTTGAAACTACCATCTGTAGTCACTTGCTCTGGTTAATTACCAAATAACTCAATATTAGTCCAGTTCTACTGGTTTTCAAGAGGAGCGAAATATCAGATTACGTGATTGTAAGAAATATTTCATAGAAGGGTTGGTCTCTTAAAAATTAACCATCCGTTCTCACAATCCTATCTTCATTAATATGGAGGCAGATTAGATCCTGTACTGTTTGCTCCAAGTACTGCTGATCATAAGTTGCTGCTTGCATATGTCACAAGAAAATATTACTGAAAATAAAATTCTGTCAAGTTTACCAGCATTAGCTATTTAGTTTGTAAGCTGTTATAAGAGGAAAAATAATAGGTTTATGATACAGACCGATCTAATTCTCAAAATGATTGTTTGCACTTCAGGTACTGGGAAAGGTCTTACTGTTGGCAACATAGGGTTAGGTGGAAGTTACGGAGGAGAAGGTGGGGCAGAAAATGACAACCATTCACCAGCCACGGGTTACGGATTTTTCAATTTTCCAAATGAGTATGGTAGCTCTGGAGGAACAGGTACAAACAGCGCAGGCAATACTGTGGCAGGTGGGTGTGGCGGTGGAATCCTCAACTTCAAGCTGAGTAATAAAATACAAATTGATGGAGATTTGACTGCTAATGGACAGTCTGCTGACTCTACTTATGCTGGTGGTGGCTCCGGTGGCAGTATATTCATCAACACCACAGAGTTCGATGGCACTGGCAAAATTGAGGTATGTGATGTCAATTAATGAGTTAACCTTTCTTAATTCTTGTATAGACAATTGAATTCACTATTAATGTGATGGTATAGTGATATCCTTTGTTAGTCTCATAATCTAATGGAAGGGACATTTTTGCAGAAACAACTTTGTTTTTTTTTTCTAGAAAAGTACTATATATGTGATTTCTTTTTGTTGTTTTACCTACTCACAGCATTGTTTTTTTCCTCAATTTCGTATGATTGAGAACTATAGAAATCCCAAAGTTATCTTTATCGATTGGTACTGACACGTTCACTTCAATAATTCAGTAAGATTCAGTAGTTCATTAAAAATTAATAACAGTTCTTACAGACCAATTGTCTGTGACATTTTGAATTATTCGAAGAATGGTAATTGGTTTGATAAACTGAGCTTGAAATATATGCAGTGGTAAATCTACATGTGAGTCTCGTGTCCTGTACTCATAGAATTTTTGAATATATTTAATCTTACATTGAGTGTCCCATTGTTTTTTAGCATTCAAGTTGAAAAGGGCTTATGAAAATAAATTGTAGATTGATCAGTCATGGAAATATGTTGCTACACCATTTAGGATTTGTCTGATAGATTGTTGCTTAGCTGGTGTCATGATCGACGATCGACCACTCCCTGTTGAATAGGTCATTCTTGACCCATTTTCATATCCTTTGTAAGGTTACTGGTGGAGCAGGAAGAAATGGAGGTGGAGGAGGAAGACTGGCCATCGTCTTCAATGACAACCACTACATTGGTGACATGACATCGACTGGAGGACTGGGCGACGGAGAAATGGGAGCGTCTGGCACTGTGTACACTCGTGATATGGTTACCAGTTCAGGAGCTGAGTTCAAGCACCTTCAGGTCTACAATCAGCAAGGAAATGGGGTAGGTTCATGGGCTTTATATAGAGGGCCACAACCAGCAAGGCATTGGGGTAGGTTCATGGGCTGTACATAGAGGGCCACAACCAGCAAGGCATTGGGGTAGGTTCATGGGCTGTACATAGAAGGCCACAACCAGCAAGGCATTGGGGTAGGTTCATGGGCTGTACATAGAGGGCCACAACCAGCAAGGCATTGGGGTAGGTTCATGGGCTGTACATAGAGGGCCACAACCAGCAAGGCATTGGGGTAGGTTCATAGAGGGCCACAACCAGCAAGGCATTTATGGGCTTTATATAGAGGGCCACAACCAGCAAGGCATTGGGGTAGGTTCATGGGCTGTACATAGAGGGCCACAACCAGCAAGGCATTGGGGTAGGTTCATGGGCTGTACATAGAGGGCCACAACCAGCAAGGCTGAAAGACCATAATAGTAGATATAAAACCTGTTAAATAAATAGATAAATAGCAAGGCATAGGGATAGGTCTTAGATTGTTCAAGGTTTTTAACCCAGGTGTATTTGTATTAAAATATTAGGAACTTTCACACAGTATTACTTTTAGCTGAAAAATTTGTTTTCTCCTCAGCAATTGACTGTTGGTATGTACCATTAGCATATGTTGAATCTCACAGTCTTTATCATTGATTACATGTGTAAAGTAATAAAAACTGTTAGGCCATATTGTTTGTTCAGTACACACAGATTAAAGTAGCTCATCTGCAGTATAAAAAGCCACTTATAGAATCAGAATTAGAGGATGTGTTGACTGAACATCCATGATCTGATTTGAATATCATTCAGAGAACCTGGACAGATATTGTGATATTTTTATTTTCATGGAGTTAAATTTTAGTGTTTTTTCAAAAACATACTTTGTACTTTATTTTGTGGATACGTCTTGCTCACAAAATCCACTGGTACTATAATCCATACCTGTTGAATAGTGAGTGATGAACTAATGACACAAGAGACTCTGCTTGATATAAAAACCATACTGATTAAGCTGATGTGATATCTGGTTTAATCGTGACAATATTGGATTATTTGATAGGACTCCAAATCAAGAATCTCCATCTCCGAAGTCCAGACACCTGAACAAGAACTCGATTTGCTTGACCTCGGCCAGTATGCACAAGTTGGTTTCCTGGCCGTGGATTCCAGTGGAATGCCTGTTGTTGGGGAAAGGACACAGAATTTGACCCAAGTGGGCGGTGATCATACTGCTGTAGTCCACATCGAGCCAGGCTACAAACTGAATATTGTCTTCAATGATTCAGCCATTCTGTCATTTGATGTCCATTTGTATGAGGTAATCGTGTGATTTATTGTTCATTTATACCATATTAGTAGGGGCATGGGCTTCAGGAGTTATGGCCATATATTTAGGGGCATGGGCTTCAGGAAACTTGTCCATAACTTTAAAATTGTATACAGAGGAATGAAATAGTGGAACATTAATACTTTGTCAGTATGTTATTACAAGGGGCTGAGATAGATTAGTCATTTGAGCGTTGGCCTCAGCGACTTCATGTGAAGGTCCAAGGTGTTTGGGTTAATGCACCCAACTTGTGAGGTTTGTGTTTCTCAGGAAACTTTTCACTCGTTGCTCTGGATATCATTCAAGCTCTCTATGTTGTTCACTGAGGTAGCACCATCTACTACAAGGATAGTCTACCTCAATATGACTTTTGCTGTTAGAGCACATCTTTGCCATAGCTACTGAGCACACTGTACAGAATGTTGTGTTAAATTTTTCATTATTAAATGGTACGATTACCCAATGTAACTGGATACTACCCGCAGTACATATACACTCAATGATATACCATGTTACAGAATGCAACTGTGAACCTGCCCTACGAAACCTTCCTCCTTGACTGTCGAGTGATCCTGTTTGGTGGCATACTACAGGGCGTAGAGAAACTCAACATCTCCATGGACGGCTCATTCACAATTTACCCACCTGCTCAACTCGGATATTCCCAAAAAGTCGTTCTCAACAGCATCGACATCCAAGATGGTGGATTATTCAATTTCCAAGGCAATGCAGAAAATGATTCCTTGATAGAGATTATATTGGACGGAGGTTTTCATGTCCATGGAGGAGGTGAAATGCAGGCCAATAACCTTTATTTGGAAGGTAGCTAGTTTTTCTTACCATATTGCAACTGCTGTTTGTATGTATGGTTCATCTTGGTTATGTAGTTATATTGCAGGAATGTGCTATGTGTTACATCAAAATGAAAACGAAACTTGACCTGTAACAAAACATCAGTGACATCAACTGACACAAATATTTTACTACCCACATACTTATATGAGAAACATGGATTTGGCTGGAAATCTGACTCACTGGCATTATAGAATTGTTGACAAATTAATAAATATGAGCATCATTACATACAATCTGATTGCAAAGTGAACGGGAAACAATACCGCTGATGTTCACATACTAAAAGAAGATGATGTATTAACCTAGGGTCTTCACTAACATGTTTACATGTTGCAGTGAGAAATATTTTGGTTACGAAAGTTTACATACTGGTCTGTGTCTACTTGTAGCGGTAAATATCACCATAGATGCCGATGGTTTAGTCAACAGCAGCAGCAGAGGCTATGAAGCTGGTCAAGGCCCTGCTTCAGGTGTATACAGTCAGTCAGGAGGGTCCGGGGCCTCCCACGGGGGTCTTGGTGGTGTTGGTGCTGGGACCGCATATGCGAATTCTGCAATGGGAGACATGACTCGGCCTGTTAACTATGGCAGCGGTGGCACAGCTGCAAATGGTAGTGCTTCAGGTGGTGGCATCATCCACCTGAGGGCCGAACATCAAATGGAAGTTGATGGGTTTATCACTGCGAATGGCATGGATGCAGAGAGTGGAAGTCAGGGAGGCGGAGCTGGTGGCAGTATACTGCTGGAATCTCTCCACTTTCTGGGTAAGTAGCCTGAAGGAATAATTCTGTAGGGATAACAGTACTGCCTGTTAGTGACTGGGACGAAGTTGGAAAATCAGTTATAGTTATAATGAAAATGATGAATAATGCCTATTTAAGGCAAGTTAAAATAATACATACATATTACAAAAGGGTGGATTCTGCTTTTCTTTTCAAGCAGATTCCAGGCAGAGCCTTTCAAAGCAATTAAAATAGCCAAATTGCAAGCACTTGATAACTTATTGCAAATTAATTGAAAAATAATTTTGATTGTCAACAGGTACTGGGACCATTTCTGGAAATGGCGGTGGTGGTGGCCTTGTACCCAACTGTAACAGCCATGATAGTGAGAGACGATGTCTTCAGTGTAATTCTGGCTACTTCTGGGTCCAGTACAATTGTGTGTCAGATTGTCAGAATCAAAATAGTCGCTGCTGTGATGCATCTACATTTGTTACAAACTGTGTTGCTGGGGGCAACAGCCAATCTTCCTGTAGCTCTAGTGGCATGAATTGTCAGAGTGGATTCTCTCTCGGGAGCAGTACATTGTTCCTGACTTACTGTGGTGATATTGGCAGAACATGTGCTGGTGAAACCAATGTGCTACCCTTGGTACGCAACCTAATTCATCATTGAAACAGATAGTTAAATAGGTCAAGGAATTTATGTAAAAATTAGGAATCAAAAGTAAAATGTGTCATTACATACACTGTAATGTGATATATTGTTCCTTAATCATTACATGAGCACATGTTGAGAGTTGGTCTTGACATGAAGGTATTTAAATTGAGTTGTTGTCGGAGCAAATTCCTGTCAGATACCTGAATTATATAGATTCATGATTGATGAGACTTGATACTGTCCTTCAGTCTTGTGCATTTAACCCTGCTTCAATTAGGCATGTCCCTTCAAAGATTTGGTAACTTTAGTGACAAAAAAGTCAAATAAAAACATGTTTATTTCGTTTTTAGAAATATGGAGGTGGAGGTGGTGGTGGCCGAGTGGCTGTTCTGGCCAATGACAGCTATGCCTTCCGTGGCAATTACAAGACGTTTGGAGGAAAGAGTGGGAAAGAGAATGGTGGGTCAGGCACTGTTTACTTCAGAAAGCCAGACTCATCTGGTGGCTATGAGGACACACTCAGAATTGATAACGACGGGTCAAAGCCTCTCAATACTTTCATCACCAACCCAGATCAGGACAGTGGAAAGACCTATGCTACCATGGGAAGCACCACAAATTCAGAACTCTTCATTTATAATGTTTTGATTTACGGATCCGCTCATCTTGTGTTCAAGAATACCACACTAGATGGATCAATTCCTGTGCGAATTGGTAATCTCCAAGGTGACAAGACAGGCATGCTTCACAGCTTAGCAGACATACCTGAGATCAAAGTTAATGATAGTGACAGCCCATTTCCAGCATCCTTTGCCATTTACGAAAATGCTAACCTAGTGCTACCTGCAGGTAAAGCATTTCAAAGAGGTTTTAGTTTAGCTATACTTTATAAGTTGTTTGAAAATAGTATAACTTTCATATTTTTAACTTTTGATTAAGTATTATGTTTATTATCTATTTACATTTTTTTTATATAAAGATTTACTGTTTTAGAGTTTAATTCAATTTCTACACACATGAAATTTTATTAAATATTTTATGGTTATAAGATACACCTTTATTTCTCAGTGCCATCACTCATTACAATTTCTATTAATATTCTATAAAACCTGTATTTTACCTGTGCTATAGACAACCAATATCTAGATATTATATCAATGTATAGATGATCTTTATCTGTTTTTAACACAATGTTACAGAGGTACACCTCATCCGACTTGAATACACAACCATCAAGCTGGACGGTATAATCAGTGGTGCTGAAAATTTCCATATTGGGCAGGGAGTCAATGTCCTTGTCGGTGAACGTGTAAGTTTATTTTTTGTGTGTGATAATATTTTGGTGCCATGTTTTTTTTTTGTAAAAAATTCATATTGTATTCTGCACTTGTTATATCATTTCACATAAAAACATAATGTTATTTTATATCAATTCATGTTATATCTTGTCATTTATTATCATTTTCACTTAATCATTACATACAATTCCTATTAATATCATGTCATTTCATACCATTTCAATAAATATCATGTCATTTTACCATTTCATTTTTAATACAATATTCATTTATGTTTCTATCAATTTTCCATGAATCTCTTTTCCTCTTTACAGGGTAAGACAAGTGGAAGTGCAGACCGTGAGTTCCATTTTGATACATTGCAAGTGTATGCTGATGGTAAAATGTCATCTGACTTCATCAATGAGCATATTCCTTCCCTGGTTCTCAATTTGACTGGTCTTATACGACTTCATGCTGGTGGAAGGATTGAGGTAAATTTATATCCTGAACAGAATAACTTCTGAATCTTTGGTCAGGAAAAACATATCAAAATCCTGTTGGAGTATGAATCAGGATACAAAAAACTCTTCGGTAGTTAACTCTTAAGGTATATCAGTATGTTTTGTAAGACTTCTTTTGAAATTGAAGATGCAGATTAATGCCATAATAGAGGGTTGATTTTCAATTAAGGTATGCTAAAATTAATTCTCAGTTATTGGTATATTTAACAAAAGGTCATTTTACAAATTCTTAATTAGGTCTTGAGGAATTAGCATATATGATTTAATTCAGATGGACTCTAAGAGATGGTTTTGAAAAAATTGTTTTAGAAAATAGGCTTAATTTTTGTTATGCCCCCTGTTTCATGGTTGGGGGCATGTAGCGCTACCCTTGTCTGTCATTCTGTCATTTCATCATTCCCTCATAATTTTGGTCCCTCTGATTTGTCCTTTAACAGGTACAGATATAGAAATGAAATTTGATATGTAGTTTTGTAAAATGCTGACCGCATTCTGAATTGGTTATGGTCAGGTATTTTTTTCTATAGTTATGTCTATTTAAGTTAAAGAATTTTAATTAATATTTTTACAAAATAATAAAACCAATTTTTCAGAGCCTTGCCTAAGTAAAATGGGAACTAGAAAAAAGTCTGCTGACAGAACTTCAATGATTTTACCATAGATTCTGTAGACAAATTTATTTTAGAATCTTTACTATAGATTTTGTAGGCAGAACTTCAATTTTATTTCATGAGTCAAATATTATTAACAACCTTATTTGTGGTGCAGGCACCCTGGCTGGAAGTGACTGCAGATCAGGTACAACTTGACCCTGCTGGAGTCATTGACACTACATTACGAAATGTCAAAACTGCCATGGGCAGCCAAGATGGAATTAATGCTCCCACAGGTGGTAAGTAAAACTCATTATCTAAGTTATGGTTTTGATATCATAAAGTGTAAACAGTTGAAATTTAGAATACCATATTTCAACCATATTTTAAATAAGATATCAATATTTATGCTTTTTTTTCGTTTCAATGAATATCAATATTTTAATTAGTTTTCATATCTTTAAAAGATGTTTTTGTTTGTTAGCGGTACTGCTATGAGATATTATGAGTTTGTGTTTTCAAAGAAGATGATTTTAAGGATTTTTTAAATTTAAGGTGGATCTGGTGGTGGAGGTGGTGCTTCCGGTGGGCAAGGAACAAATCAGACTGTTGTAGGAACATCCCCATCCTATGGTGATATGTATTTCCCAAAAGAGTTTGGTGGCACTGGGGGAGATGGTGGTGGTTCTAGCCTCAATCTTGGCTGTACACCAAATGACGCCCACACCGGAGGCAACGGTGGTGGTATCGTCCAAATGACCATCACCAATGACTTGGTGTTGGACGGTGAGATCTTGTGTAAAGGGTCTTCTGGGTCTGGACCTAGAGGAGGTGGAGGAGGAGGTGGCAGTATCTTTATAAAGACTAGGCAGATGACTGGAACTGGACTTCTGAGTGTTGAGGGTGGCAGTGTGGCTAGTGGCACCAACACCTGTCATGGTGGTGGTGGAGGTGGAGGACGTATTGCCATTCACTATAATGGCACTTTTGATTTCAATGGGGAAACTCATTCCCACGGAGGAAGTGGTGGGTTGGAGTGTGGCGGTGCAGGCACTGTATTGCTAAGAGACACCTTCACAGAGTCTGACATCCTCAAGATTGACAACAAAGCAGTCTGCACACCGCTGGATGACTCGATTGACTTCAGCGTATTGTCCGATACAAGACGAGGGGAACACAGCTGTCAGACATGGTTATTTGACCCGACATCTCCTGTGTCTCACACACACAACTTTAGTGAGGTCTCTCTCAAGGGCGAGGCACAACTAGCAGTTTATCGACGGAATATTGATACCTTCAATCAGTATGTCACTATCAACAAAGGCACTGGTGACAAAACTGGCACATTCCATGTTGGAAATCTACAAGTCTTTTCAGCTACTCTGCATGTTGATAGTCCTGAATTGGATTTTGGTTTGAGAATTTATCAAGGTGGAACTATGAAGGCAGAAGAAGTGCTACTTGTACAGGGTATAACTATCGAATTCCAGGGGACGCTGGAAGGAGCTGAACACCTTGTCATTGGACCCAGTGGACGCATCATTCTTAAGTGAGTGTGCCAGTTACTGACGATATCTTCTACAATTGAATCCATCCTCATATCAAAACACAAGAAAATTGATGAAAACTGTTTATTCAGATTTTCCCCAAAATGTTAAAACATCAGTGAAGTGTAATATTGATTTAATTACTGAAAAATGAATCCAAAGAATTCAATCATTTTTTTCAGATAGAAATTCAAATATATAAGTCCTACAGAGCTAATATTCTAAGTCTATCCCTCGTATTTTGTGATTTTGAACACCAGACAAGTTTCTCAGAGGGTGGCATTGCTTTTACTGTGTATAATCTAACCATTTAATGTATAATTCTAGGCCATATACCAACACCAGTGTGTCCACAACAGTAACCAACGAGATCACATTCACTAGCATCACCATACAAGGAGGCGGAGTCCTGGAAATTAACAGCGATGCAAACGGCATGGTTCTCATTGGCAACACATTCCATGTCGAGAGTCGCGGAGTATTGGATGCTGATAAGATAGAAATCCGTGTTGCTAACCTTATTGTGGATGATGCTGGTGTCATTCGAACCGATAAGAAAGTGAGTGTTTTTGAGAAATAACACATATATGTCGTATTTCTGAAAGTGCACCTCAGACATTGTGATAATAACTCAGAATTCTACCTTTGATTTGATGAGTGTTGTGTTTATATAAACTGTATTTATCTGGCAAAAAGCCACAGGATGCCAAAACATTGCTTATAACTTATTATTGGAACAATGATTTATCTGTTATGGACGTATTGTGGGACAAATATGGTAATATTCACATGTATAAAGCATTCATTTGTTCAGTTAGAAAGCCCAATGACATTTTCTTTAACTTCATTCCAAGTACTTGTTGTGATTGCAGGCTCCTGTCGGGGTGGATGGTACTGGTGTAGGAAGAGATGGCAGCGGTGCAGGACATGGCGGTATGGGTGGAACTGGCACTATATCTAGTGCAGGTGGTTTGTTTTATGGAGCCTTAAAACTGCCGGAATCATTTGGTAGCAGTGGTGTGACTAATACAAGTCAGCAGACCTACGGAGGTGGTGTCATCAAAATTGAGGCTTCAAACTATACTACTGTTGATGGTAAGTCTAAGCTAGCTGCCCTTGGTGAACTTTAAGTCCCGAGGTTTGCTGTAACCTGCATGCCATATTTCAATTCAATCAAATAGTGCCATGATTCAGAATAAACTCATGTACTTGATGCACCTCCCTGTCTAGATTTTGATTTTTTCTTTCGATCATTTAGACCCTGAGCATCATTGATGAGTCCTAGAAGGACAAAACAACTGCATGATGCAGTTTAATTCTCTCTCTACTGTATCTAACTCTAATTTGTATTAATAGGTACTATTAGGTGTCTTTTGTACAATCCCAGAGGTGTAGGTTTTACTTTTATTGTTAGATCTTTGGTTAAAAAATGTTCAAAACACTTGCCCATCTTAAGCATGCCATTCAAATGTTTTGGGACTGTTTGTGTCATATGTTAGTGTTTCAGTACAAACCATATAAGCAATAGGTAAGCTTTGATGTTTTCCAACTGCTCCTGTGTAGATGAGCAATAAGTTGGTGATAGTTAGTATTCCAAAATCTTTGAAAAATTGTTTTTAGTCTGAATGTGTACCTATTACAATCTTTCATAGCTGTTACAATTTATCAATACAAACCTATTATATTGCATTAGATCTATTACAATGTATGTTAGTTGTTATGGTGGTTGGTTACAGGTACTATCAGTTGTGATGGCGAGGCTGGTGCTTCTGGTGCAGGAGGCGCCAGTGGAGGATCCCTGATATTGGTCACAAACTATCTCTCTGGTTCTGGCACCTTCCAGGCCAATGGTGGAGATGGTAAGTATAAATGTTTCAATGACTTCTCCTTGACAGGGTCAAGGTCACCATACAGATTGAAGACATAACCTCAACTGAGGCGCTAATTAACATCATTTGATGAAGCAGATCTATGTTTTAATGCTGATGTTAGCTGTGGTTTTATATACTCTATGTGATGGTAAAACATTGCCATAAAACATTGCCAAATGTAATACAACTATGGGATATTATATATCATGGTTATCAATCATATAATGCATGGTGAAATCTCATAGATCTTGGTGTATATGATCACAAGACAGAAGAGTTTCTTTGAAACCTGAAAGATTAGGGTACCTTAAATTTTGTTTGGTGCCTCAAACAGAACATTGTTTTTTTGGATATAAAAATATGATGTGACATCCCTAGCAATCAAGCGAAAAAAGTAGGTAAGAATGAGGTTGCATTCTTGTATTAATACATATTCTCAATTTACAAGGGGATGCTGTCAGTGGAGGAGGTGGTGGGGGGAGGCTCTCAATAACCTACACTACATCCGAGTTCACTGGGAAACACCTGGCTTACGGAGGCAGGGCAGCAAATGGCGATGGAGGAGCAGGAACTGTTTATGTAGAGGGCGCTGGCAAAAAGATGCTTTACATTGATAATAAGACACCCAGCTCCAACATTAAAGTAGGTAGTTCATACAAAATAATGTACATGATCGCTGTTGTGTATTATACAATTGTGCTATATCAGGATAATTTTGCACTGTGCAATTTTCGCAAAAATAACAAATGGACCTTTAAGAATATTTGCATATTCCATTTGTAGCGATTTTGTGGTCTTAGAAATTTAAAAAGCCTCTTTTGAAGACTTTCATAACTTCAGAATGGAGCTTACTTTTATATCAGTATAAATTCTAATATCAATCGGAGATCTAACTGACCAGTCATACTAGACACGAGATGCACCTACCCACTAGTATTTATTTATCATGGAAGTATTCAAGGCTAGAAAGTGTTCAGGTGCATGTCTACTCAATAAACATGTTAATGATGTGTTTACTGGTACTATAAAAAGAAATTTTGCAATTTTGAAAGAGATGTTAAATTCACAAAAATTAGATGCACACAAAAAAATTAAGATATATATGGTATCTAGTCAGTTCTTGCCCATTTTTTTGTTTTGAACAGCTCACATATTTTGTTTTGATTTTGTTTCTTGCAAAATGAAATAGGTTTATGATATGTTATATCATAATTTTCATGTTTATTCGCACAGCCTAAAATCTCCAGCATGGATATGACGTCCATTACTGCAGACGAGTCTAGCCGTACCTGGGTGCCATTTGATACAGCATCCATCACCCTAGATGAACTGCATATTTTGAATGGTGCCCACATGGCTCTGGAGCCCAGTGCAACTGTGACAACACATACCTTAACCATACAAAATGTCTATGGTGAAGACTTTATAAATAATCCGGAAAAGAAAGGAACAATCCATGTCGGCCATCACCAATCCGTGTCGATTAGTCAGTCTAATCTCTACCTTCCATTTGATGCCAATGTTTATACCGAAGGTGTTTTACAATTGCCCTCAGCTGTGAAGATGTATAAGGGTAGTTTTCTGTTTGAAGGCATACTGTCTGGAGTTTCTACCTGGGACATGATTAATACAAATGTAGAGCTAAAGGGCACCAGTAAGACACAGAACACTCTCACTCCTGCCTCCTTTACTATTACCACATTAAACATTCTGGCAGGCAGTACATTGACCATGAGGGACAACAACACTAACTACAAACTCGACCTCAACTCCCTCTTTATAGGAGCAACAGGAACCATCCTGGGAAGGAATCTGGAGATTGAGGCAACCACTAGTTTTGTTACAGAAGATGGAGCTAATATTGACCTTGATGGTCAAGGGTCCTCTACATCTGGTTCAGGTAAGTTTGAATTAGTGTGTAAAAATATTTATTTGATTGGTTTGGATAGTTTATTAAAATGTATTGTTCATTAATGTGATAATGTTTTGATTTACATTAAAATAATTTTGTATTCATAGTTGTGTAACTTTGATTTTATTTTTTGTTCCCTCAACAAGGAGAAGTGCATTACACCAGAACCATCACTTTTTTGCATGATTTAGGAGTTATCGTTATTTTTCATACTTAAATTTTGTCTGGAGCATTACACTAAAACAGTAAGAGTTTTCAGCATGAAACTTCATCAGTAGATAGATCTTAACTAGAAGAAGTGCAGTGCACAAGAACCATCACTTTTTTTGCATGATTTAGGAGTTGTTGCCCTTTGTTTTTTTTTTCATATTTAAATTTTGTTACATTTGGGGAGCATAACCTGTCTCTTACAGCCCTTGCTTTTTTTTGCAGTGTCTAACACATTAGGAACTAGTCATGGTGGCCAAGGAGGAAAAGGGACATCAGACACTATATATGACCCCACTAATGATGATATGCGGAGTCCCTCATTGCCTGGAGGTGGTAATGGTAGGGCTGCTGGTGGGGGAGTCCTCAAGATCACCACTGCAACCTTCACCCACAATGGTATCATTTCTGCTAAGTAAGTAATAAAAATACATGTATGTTTGTAATTGTTTTCTCTATTCTTTAATCTGCTATTCGTAATATCCAGGAAATTAGTGCTTTGATGGTTAGCTGCTGGTACTATGAAGGACAATTGAATGTCATGCAACTTTGATAAATGAGTTTAACTATATATGTTGTTTATTTGTACAGTGGACAAGACGCTAATACTACAGACTATGGTGGGGCAGCTGGTGGCAGTATCCAGATCAGTTGTACATCCATGCAGAATGGAGGTGGGTCTCTCTCAAACATATTAATCATAAGTGTGGCAAGCACATTATCTGGTTCAAGTTACAGATTTAGTAATTAAGCATACATGTCACAGATGTGACAATCAAATATACAGGTCACAAGTGTGACAAATATACAGGTCACAAGTGTGACAAATATACAGGTCACAGGTATGACAAGTAGATATACTGGTAACAGTGGTGACAAGCAGATAAATACATGTCACAGGATTTGCGACATCAATAGGTACAGATAAACATATTATAGGTACTTGTAGCAATAGAATATACAGGTATACATATTGCAGGTGTTTATGGGTCCCAGTTATTAGTTTAAAGAAAAGGTCTGGAAAAAAGCCTTTGATACAAGCTCTGTGTTATGTTATAAAAACTACATATAAGTTTGGTCCTAATTCTTATGGTCCTAAATCTCAAGTTGCACACTACATTTTATAATAATGAAAGGATCCCTTTATTTTTCAGGTATCATCCGAGCCGATGGCGGACAATCAGGAAGTTCTAATGCTGGTGGAGGAGGTGGTGGTCTCATAGCTATAACATACACTACCACTTTATACCTTGGAGACGGTGTCACAGTCTATGGTGGAGATGGAAACCAGCGAGGAGCTGCAGGAATCATATTCCTCTCATCAAACAATGCTATATCTCCAGCCACATCAGTAAGATCTTATATGGTCAAATGTACATGTAATTCTTTCTACTTATATCAAATTTTTCATTGTTACCTTTCTTCTCTGACATACATTGAAAATTTTCTTCATATGTTTACTGTACATATCTTTCTTACACAAAATTAAAATTATGTGTAAATCTGTTAAATTTTATGTAAAATGTGTGTTTTTTGTGTTCAATACACTCTGGTGATTTTGTTTTCCTTTATCAAATCTGCATTGTATATGTTTATCCTTGTGTAGAACATGCACATTTCTTTGAAATTTGTTTTCTAAGTTTTGCTTACATGCCGAGGTATTATTTCTCCATCTTGTTTCAACTGAATTTCAATGTTGACATTACTCTATTTAATTGCATTTGTATGTGTTCACTCAATAATGTTGATGTTGTTTTGTTTCTGTAGGCTGTCATCAAGAACAGTGGTGAGACAGAGGCAGTGTCACAACTTGTCGTGCCAGATAATGTTCTTGTTTTGGAGGTGGATACAATCGAGGTCCAATCAAAATGCGTCTTTGGTCTACAGGCCAGGGCTTCTGCGTCTGATGCTGTACAGGCTAGAATTGGTAACATCATCAGTGTGACCGGCTCCACTTTTGTCGTTGAGGAATACACAGAATTTTATTATGCTACAAAATCTTCTGTTAATAGAAACAATGTTGTTCTGCCAAATGACATCTATGTGAAAGAGAGAGCAAAGATAGAACTTCCAGAGACCACGGTATTGGAGAGAGATGTCACTCTAGAATTATGTGGAGCCTTGCTTCTTAATACTAAACACCTTACTATTAGAGACGGTGGTTTACTAAAGATGGCATTCCCGGGTACTTCTGGAACGAATCTATCCCCGTCACAGAGTGTGCTGTTGTTAGATACACTGGCTGTGGACTATGGAGGAGACATACAACGGTCCAGCAAATGTGAGGGATCCACAGGAAGCAAGAAAACAACAGTACAAATTACTGACTATCAGGTTGTCTCCACCTTTAATATCCCTACATCCTCGTACACTCTTCAGACAGGATATACAACCTCATACCTGAGTCAAACAACCAATCTCACCTGCACTGGTGATGTGTACATTCCACGGACCCAGGAATGTAATCTGGCTGCTGTATCTCACACATTCACATCCATTGTGATTGAGGCAGGAGGGAAGTTGAATATTCTTGGTGATCCTGATGGAGTTAACATGACTACCATCAACACTGATTCTTTGGAAATAAAATTTGGAGGAGAGATCAATGGTGTTGGAGCAGGGTACCAGACATCTGGTCCTGGAGCAGCAACATCCTCTTCAAATGGTGCGACCCATGGCGGTACAGGAAAGGACAGCACAGCAGACCCTTATGGAAGTGTTACTGCACCCAGGACACATGGAAGTAATGGAAACAGTGCCACAGCTACAACAAAGCGTGGTGGTGGACAGGTGGAGATAATTGTGACTGGGTCCATGGTCGTGAATGGTGATATAAAGATGGATGGTCAGGACGGTGCCAGTGGAGGAAGTATCATCCTTAATGGACAGTCACTGTCTGGGAATGGTGTCATCCAGGCCAATGGAGGAGCTCGAGGTGGTGGAGGACGTGTGGCAGTGATCACCTCTAATACCTACACTTTTGATGGGACAATCACAGCTTCTGGAGGAGACACAGACTCAAGTCCAGGTATTTTGTAATTTCAAGTCCATATATAGGGGTCCTCATTGTAGGTTAATTCTTTATCACTTTGTCCATCCATTTACAGGGAACACTATAGCAGACAATTTTGACATTTTTTGTGTTCACCTCTTCAAACTCTTATTGGTTTATATCATTTGGTTGTGTGCAGAAGCTATGTTATAGATCAAGACCATCTATTATGCTGAATTAGATACTGAACTTGCTAATTCTGTTAAATTGAAATTGTCTTCATTGTTAAATGATTTTTGTTATAGGCACAGTGTATTTACAGAAACCTCTGGCTGGGGGCCAGACAGGAAAGGAATTGATAATTAGTGGTACAGGAACCACAAGATTGTTGAATGCACAAAATATAGCCAGTACTACATTTACCAAGCTGAGTCTGGACAACAGTAACACCATGAAAGTGGAGACAACTGTGACAGTCACAGAACTGCTCGGAGATGGGTCAGCAACAATACACATTACTGGCGGGAAAACTTTCAGTGTCTCTCAGTTCCTGGATGACCATACAGGGAGTCAGTGTAGCTTTATTGTTGATGCATCAGGTACACTCAGTGCGACAGCTGACTTGTTTGTAACTGGAGCCAGTCCAGAATTGGTGGTGAGAGGATCAGTCACATCTTCTACATTAACCATTGGGAAAAGTGGAGCCTTTACTTTGTATGACACTGGTGCAATGGAGTTAACCTCTCTTGTTCTTAAGGAGTATGCCACAGGTGAGATTAAAACGGGCGGAAGCCTCAATCCAAGTGGAAGCTCTCTGACTCTGCTGAGATTCGGCTACAACTCCTCCATGACGTACAACGAAAATTCCATAACCATTAAGGCAACTGACTTAGAAATGTATCCAGAATCAAGACTCTACCTCGCAAAGGACACCAAAGAGTTCATTTTTCAGGGTGATAACTTAAAAATAGAGGATGGAGCTAGTATATCTGTTTCAGGAGGTGGATCAACTGCTGGCCAGGGTGCAGGTAGTACTACCAAAGGTGCTAGTCATGGTGGTGAAGGAGGTAACAACCCGAATGTCCAGTATGGGAGCTCCATATTACCAGCAGCTGCAGGAAGTGGCTGTTCTAGTAACAGAGGTGGTGGCATCATTAAAATAGAGGCTTCGTCTGGTACAGTAACGATAGATGGAACATTGGAAGCAGATGGTGATGTGGGTACAACTGAAGGTGGTGCCAGTGGTGGCAGTATATACATCAACGCCAATTCACTTGAAGGTCATGGAGTCATCAGTGCCAATGGTGGCAACAGTGACACACAGGGCGGTGGTGGTGGAGGCAGGATAGCCATCATTGCAAATTCCATTACAAACTTCCACGGGAAAGCTCAGAGTTTTGGTGGCGAAGGTGGTACTGAGCACGGTGCAAGTGGAACTGTCTACAAACAGTACACCAAATCTGGTAGTGCCCTGAAGAAATCCATCAGTATTGACAATAATGGCCTAGAGACACCCAGACAGACGTGGATTAGCAGCATCACTTCAACACTTTCAGAGCTGATCCTCAATGGAAAGGCTAAGGCTTCTTTTGTTACCACAATCACAACGGCCACTATTGAGATTGTTATCGGTGACTACACAGGCACCTTGTTTATTGATTCCAGTCAGGACTTTGACATTGCCACATCCTATGGTACACAGTATCCATTTGCTCTCGAGTGTAGACTTATTATTGAAGGAATTGCCAAACTGCCTGCTAAGCTGTTAATAAAAGATGATGACACAGCAGATGATACTGTCAATTTCCAAGTTCAAGGAACAATCATTAATATGCGTAACTTCATTGTGGCAACAGGAGGCAAGGCAAGCTTTTCTTCCACAAGTCGTAGTGGGTTGTCGTCAGCAAATGTTGGCGTGGCCTCAAAATTATCCTTGACAACACTGGATGTAACTACCGATGGTGTGCTAACTCTCGGTACTGACTCTGCAACTGTTTTCACACTATCAGTGCTCAATGACCTTAACATCAAATTTGGCGGCACACTGGAAGGAAAGTACCTTACTGTCGAAGCTCGTAACCTGCAAGTGGCATATGAAGGAGAGATCAGCACAAATGGACAAGGCTCATCGGCAGGAACAGGGACTGGAGCTGGATCTGATGGTTCAGGGGCCTCTTATGGAGGTACAGGGGGAAATTCAAGCTCAGTTTCTACACCTGCTGTAGAATACTATGGGAATGTGTTTGCTGCTGGAGATATAGGCTCCGGTGGTGGTGACACTAATACAGGAGGAACAGGTGGAGTAGGAGGTGGTAAGATTTCTATTGCTGTCACAGATAAGTTCACTCTAAATGGAAATATTTCAGCTAATGGCATGGAAGGTGCAGATGGTGGAGGAGGTGGCAGTGGAGGCTCCATTGTTGTAACATCCACTGATCTGATTGGAGGTGGTGTTTTGTCTGTACAAGGTGGGGGATCCAATTCTTCTGGTGGTGGTGGAGGTGGAGGAGGCCGAGTCTTCCTCGACATCTCTGGAGACTACAACTTTACTGGAGATTATAAGCTTCAGGGAGGCAATGCCTCATCAGGAGGTCATGGAGGAGGTGCTGGAACAGCCTACATCAAAGCTATAAAGAGTAGTCTCCTCTTTACACATTTAATGGCTGACAACTCATTTGTGACAGGAGACGAATTGTCTGGAACTGTCATCGATATCTCTGGAAGTTCAGAGGTTAGAGTTGACCAGCTCACTGTAGGAGATGATGTGCTTCTACATGTGACTACTTCAAACCTTCATTTCAAAGCAAAGGAACTTGATTGTGGAACAAGAAGTACACTAAAGATTGATGATGATGTTATATTCACAGCTGATGAGGACAAGACCTACACCCAGCTGAAATGCAGCCTTGTACTGACAGAGAGAGGAGAGGCTAGGTTACCCTCTACAACAGAATTTAATGGAGCAGGAAATATATTTGATGGTAGGTATTTGTTGATATTTTTCTGTTTGCATTAAGAACAATTACATCTTTTAAATGATGCCTAGCTTAAATGGAACATCCATTTTCGATAGTCTTAGATTTGGGTCTGCAAAAGGCTTTTGTACATAATGATACAGAAATTGAGCTCTTGCCATCTAAATACTGCCAAGTCATTATCATTCAATGTTATCTTATCTGAAAGTATAAAAAACTATTAATAAACATATTATTAATACATTTAAATACTTCATTTTTTCCAGGTACACTAACTAACATCAACAATATGATCATTGCTTCCCGTCAAACTGCAAGTTTCTCAGCGAAGACAAGGACAGCCAGTTATTCCAGTGGAGCCCACGTGTATATCACTGATGCTGGGGCCTACAGGTTTAGCTCGCTGGTCATCAAGAGTTATGGTACAGGGATCCTGCCTAAGACAGGAAAGAAACTGTTAATTAGCACCCTGGAGATACACTATGCAGGTGTACTTTATGCTGAAACCCTTGATATGGAGAGTAACAACATCAACCTTAATCCAGGGTCTGCTATTGATTTAAGTGGCGGAGGCCCAGGAGCTGGTCAAGGCACAGGAGCTGGATCAGATGTAAGTTATGTAGTCGTGTGTGTAGGTGTGGTACCTTCTGTACCAAACAATAAACCCTGGGATGGTTATAAGCCTTTCCACCTGTATTACATTTGTAGTAGAAATTCCATTAGGTTCTGTATCATTGTTCTGCTTGGAATCTTTATTATATGTTTGCCTCCTGTACTTATTTCAGGGTAAATACATTGCAGGATATATTTAAAGACACCTTAGTGTGTAAGTGTTCTATAGGATCAAGTAAAGGTTTTAGACTTTAAATGTGATGTAGGAGCATGTGTAAGGCATTTCAGGCTGAAGATGTGTTATAGGATCAGGTGAAGATGTGGTTAGGAAACATTTAATGCTGTTGTATGATCTGTTCATGTGAATTCACCAACAGGGTACTGGTGGAGGTCATGGTGCTGAAGGAGGATCAGCTTCCTCTGGTGTCCCAGGAGGTGCTGCTTACGGTTTAGTACGATCTACCAATGAAACAGGCAGTGGAGGAGGCAGCAACACATTAGGTGGAATAGGAGGGAATGGTGGGGGTCTTCTTACTCTCCTTGTACAGGATACACTGAATAATGAAGGTAAGTGTGTCACAGGCAGTCTAGGAATCTGACACCAACTGAAGACTATTTTCTCATCATATTGAAGATTGAATAATACACATTGTTGTGATATAGAATTTATCTAAGAATCGTAACCATCACTTTCAGGATCAATAAAGGCTGATGGTAATCCAGGAAATGGTACAGACGCTGGTGGTGGCAGCGGTGGGACATTGTATGTACAGTCAAAATACTTTACAGGACACGGCACCATGAGTGCCAATGGAGGAGCTGGTTCTGGACAAGGAGGAGGGGGTGCTGGGGGCAGGATTGTCATCACCCTCACAGAAGAGTAAGAAACATCAAGGAGAGAAAATATGCTTCAGCCATAGAAATAAATATTCTATTATCATATCAAATAAATATCAAATGTTTATATTTAGCTGTTAAAAATTGGCAGGTTTGATAAAAAGTATATAAAAATGAAATTTTATGTCAAGGAGGAAGACAAGTCTAACCCACCACAAGGAAGTGTTGATGTAAAAAGAAAAAGTTTGGGAACTCGATTGGGGATTTTTTTTTATTTCCGTATTGGTAATTTGTTTTTGCAGTGTTAGTTAAATCTTCACTGTCAGTTATTCTGATGTAGGAATAAAAACCTCTCTGTGTATGTGTTTGAAGTACTTTATTTAGTAAATCATCAAGGATGACAAGTGTTTTATAATGAACATTTCAGGTATACATTTGAAGGCACTTTGACGGCTTATGGTGCCGGAAATGATGATGATTTTAACACTGTGAAGGCTGGCCCCGGTACTGTTTTCATCTATGATGGAACAACCACACTGTCAAGTCCTAATCGTCGTTTGTTGGTGAAGGGAGATACAACAGACCCACTCCAATCACAGACAAGGACAAAGATTCAAGGCACTTCATCTGACCATTATATCTTTGATGAAATGACTCTCAATGGTATGTTCAAATTTAGGGCATTTTATTTCAAGACTTCAAATCATGAATTAAAGGAGAGGTATGCATGATTAAAAACTATTGAAAGTGGAATTATGATGTCTACAAATTTAAAAAGGGTTTCAATTTGGCATAATGAACAGCTATAAACTGAACAATAAGGTACTTCTTATGTGGTTGGTAATAAGAAAGTTTTCCAACAATCCTGTCAACTTTGAGATGATGAGGTTCGACTTGACATTATTTACCAAGTAAAACCTGGTAGGTTCCTAGATAGGTGTTCAGATAATGTATGTTTGATTTTTAAGACAAAAATCTTCTATTATATTTGAATTAGGACCAGGGTTTTGTCTTGTGGCTTACAATTTTACTTGAAAAATTAATATGCTTATGGTTTTAACCGATTCTATTTTCAGGCTATGCCAACTCCGAATTTGGAACCACAGATACTGTCCTGAGTGTGAAGAAGTTTTATGGTGATAAGACAAGCTGGTTGTTTGTTGAAGATGAACAGATACTGAAGGCAGAATATGTGGAGGGTGTTGAAAGCAGTCTGGTATTGGTTGTTAACATGGACATAGGGGAAAATGCAACACTTCATGCACCAGTTAACATGACTGTTGCTGGTGTTACTGCAGTATTGAGAGGCCAAGTAACCTGTAAAAATATGATTGTGGAAGAGAATGGCAAAATTTACCTACACAACACATCCTACACTGCCAACTTTGAACAAGGTGTATACAAGGCAACAAGTACTGCAGGCAGTTACAATCTTGCTCTGCTCATTCTGAAGAAAAACTCCTACTTCATACCTGTAGTCAGACTTGACCTTACCGTAGCTACCTTCGATATGAAACGGTTTGTAAAGCTGTATGCCAACTCAATAAAATTAACAGTGGGTTCTTTGACCATTGAAAGGGAAGCAGAACTCAACGTGGACGGAAAAGGTTTAGTGGCAGATGCTCCAGCATCGGCACAAGGCAAAAATAAATCTGGAGGAGCCTATGCTAGTTCTGGTGGAGTAGGTGCGTCCTTTACAACCAGCGATACACCAGAGGCTTTTGGTACCATTTATCAACCTCTTACTGTGGGTACACGAGGAGGAGATGGAGGCTACGGTGGAAGTGTTATACAAATTACAGCAGTGACATTCTCTCTTAATGGTTTACTGTCTGCCAAGGGTGAGGGTTCTACCACAGGAGGTGGAGGCAGTGGCGGCAGTATATATGTGATTTGTCTTGAAAGTATTACTGGTTTTGGTACAATGTCTGTCAATGGAGGGGATGCCACAGGATCGGATAGCGGGGGTGGAAGTGCTGGTCGTATCGCTGTCGAATCTCTTTCAGAAACATTCTCTCAGACAGGGACATATAGTGCTCAGGGAGGGAACTCTCCAGCTGCAAATGGAAAAGGAGGACCTGGTTCTATATATCAGAAAATTGGAAGTACAACTGCCAACACAATTGTTGAGACCTTGACCATTGACAACAGTAATGGGCAGCAGGACTACTATATGACTTTAGCTGAAAGTGACTTAGACCTTGAATTTGACAGGGTCAATATGTATAATTATGCAAAGCTTCAAATTGCTGTTGACACATCTGTTAATAAAACCATTAACATTCTCAAGGTTAATAGTGATGGAACTGGAATACTGCGTCTCCGTTCTAATCAGAAAGGCACACTGGAGAGAACTGTTACATCAACTGTGTCAAAGCTGGAGATCAACCTTGAGCTGCATGATGGAGGAGAATTTGTGTTGTCAGAAACTTCAACAATTCTTGGAAAAGCATCAACGGCCCTGGATTTGGATGGTCTATTAAGAGGTGTAGTAAATTTGATCCTTGGACCAGGACGACACATGAGAATGGGTGAAAATGCCATGATTGTGCCATTCCAAGCCACAGCTCTCTCCTCCCAAGCCAGAGTGACCTTTGGAACATTTCAGATGGACCCAGCCAGTGCTTTGGATTATGATAAAAACACTGGAGCTGACATGTTAGTAAGCATCCTTGATATCAAGTATCAGGCATGCCTGAGAGCAGATTACTTCAACATCTCCTCATCCTATATCCTTATAGAACAAGAAGCTTGTCTGTCTGCTGCCAGCTATGATAGAACACTGTCAACAACCATTGACACAGACTCCGGAAATGCCACAGAGGCAAATGGCAAGAAGGGTGGAGCTGGTCATGCTGGCAATGGTGGAGGTCCAATGGCTATTGCTGGAGGCTACTATGGCTCCTTGTACAATCCCATTGAATCGGGCAGTAGGGCTAGACCAGCAGGCGGTAAGGGAGGTGGAAAGGTTTACCTGAAAGCTGGTAGTCAGATATACAATGATGGAGAAGTGACTGTGAGTGGTAGTGGCAGTGTAGAAGGAGGTGGCAGTGCAGGTAGTATCTGGATAGACACAGTTGATATTGATGGTTATGGCACATTCTCTGCTGTAGGAGGAAATGGACTTGCCCAGAACGTAGGTGGTGGCTCAGCAGGCCGAATAGCAATCAATTGCACAAAAGAAATTGCATTTGAAGGTGAATATTTGGCAAATGGTGGCTCAGGATTTACAGATGAGGATGCTGGAGGTGCTGGAACAGTGTACCTTGAGGACATACGAAACTTCAAACCATACAGACGTCTTCTAATTGATAACAAGAAGCGACCAATTGACAAATATGCCACTATAAAAGAATCCAATATGAACGACTTTTTCTTTGATGAACTCCACCTTATGAATAATGCTGCACTGCAGATTATTGGTAATGGAGTGACAGTAAATCTTGATGTTAGGCAGATGGTTGGCGATCGAAGTGGCCTCCTACATGTTCATGGGGACCAGAAATTTGTTCTGGAGTTTGAGGAAGCCAAGAGAAAGGCATTCACATCAGGTGTTAACTTCATTATTGATGAAAATGGAGAATTACATTTGCCAGGCATCGTTTACATATATGGTTCAGGTATCAACATGTTGGGAGCTTATCCAGAGGATAGGTCTATTCAGGTGTTTGGAACACTAACAGGAGTCCTAGATCTGGTTCTTGGATTTGAAACTTTAATGTACCTTGGCCTGAATGCTAACACAGCTATGCTTGCAAATGGTGCCTATTTATATAAAGACACCAGCGGCAATGCTCGTTTTGGAACTGTTGATCTGCGTGCTTTGTCCACTCTGAAATATGCTCCAAATGTTCCCATGAATGCCACCTTTGGCCAGTTGGATTCGAGATACAAGTCTACCGTCTCTGCAGAGAGTGTCTTTTTGATAGTCTCAGTGCTAAATATTGAAGCTGGGGCCAAAATGACTTCTTCATCTACCGACAGACCTCTCGACACACAAGATGAAATGTTGGGAACTGGAAGCTCGTATGGCAGTTATGGCACAGGCGGCGGTCATGCTAGTCTTGGTGGTGGAATATATGACCAATCCACCAAACTGCCTCTCAGGGAGGGTGGGGCATACTATGATAGTCTTTACACTCCAAACAGACGAGGAAGTGCTGGTGGCAGTATCAGCAATAGTTCACCTGGCATGGGTGGTGGCATCATCAACCTCCATGTCGCTAGAAGTCTCTTGGTTGATGGATCGGTCTCCTCAGATGGCAGTGACGGCGATTCTTCTGATGCTGGTGGTGGCAGTGGTGGGACAGTTTATATAGCCTCACCCAACCTTGAAGGCCATGGGTTATTTTCCACTAGAGGAGGAGCAGGTTATACAGGAGGCGCTGGTGGCAGAATGGCATTTTATCTTGACTCGGAAATCTACTTCTTTGGCAAATTCAACAGCACTGGAGGTTCTGGGCAAGGAGCACATATGGATGAAGGTGGTCCTGGAACAACATTCATACAAGACACACGCTTCAAACGACCTTACAAACAACTGTTTTTGGACAATCATGAGAGACATTGGGACCATTATGTAGAAATGGATGAAGAAAATGTTACTTTATATGAATTCAATGATGTTCATATGTATGGTAATGTCTCCTTATCAATGAAAGAGGACACAAATGTAACAAAAACGCTCAGAATTGACAAATTTTATGGTGACAAAACAGCAAGACTTCACATGAAAGCAAACCAGACCGGTTACCTTGAGGAAAGCCAGTCACTAACCAAGACACCTATCAACCTTTGGGTAGACAGTGGTGCCAAGGTATTCCTGTCACAGCTTGTTTACATGCTAGGAAAGGGTGAGATAGCCTTCAAGTGGAACGGTGAGATCATCGGTGTCCAGCACATGAGAATAGTTCCTGGTAGAATCATCAACATTGGTCCCGGGGCTCAAACAAGCTCTTACAACAGTGGAGTGTACACAGCCGGTGTGCCAGGCTGGTTCTTGTTTGGCAGTTTGGAGCAGGGCTCAGGATCCATAATGGAACTGCCCCCTCCTATGGGACTTAAACTGACAGTGGGCTACTTGGTAAGTTGTATGGATATTTTGGTAATCATGTTCTCGCAATAATTCATAAGAGACATATTAAAACTCTGAAGAGCTTTTTAAATGACCATGAGATCCAGAGTCATGATGTTTTAACTTCACAATGTACAAGTGTAGAGCTGTCAATATTCAGATGAATGATAGGTATGAAACATATGCTTTGATGTTATGTTGATCAATTGATTAAAGTATCTTAATATGTACTACCAGTAGGCTTGTCTCATGTAGATGTGTTACAACTTCTGGCGCTAAGCACAATACATTTTTTAGATTATTGTTTTTAAAGGGTGAAATATTTTACTGGCAATAGGAAACAGGACTTACTTTTCAAAGTCCAATATTGAAATTGAATTGCTAATATTTTTTTGAAAAGGAAATGATTTGATAACAATTTTATCACCATGAAGCCTCTAAGTGACTGCTTTATTTTTTTTTTCAGGATGTGAAATATGAGGCACTGTTTAAAGCAGATACATTTGAAATTGAAGCTTCAGACTTCATGCTGGAACCATTAGCCATCTTCCTTTGTAGTGGTACAGCTGTTGTTGGTGGCACTGGTCATCCAACAAATGCATCTACTGGTGGTGGTCATGCATCAAGAGGTGGTCACAGTAAGTCATTTTAATTGGCTAATTAATAAAAAACAAAAAAAGTTTTAAACAACTGCATACCAACTTTCTTATGTGCATGGTCACAAATTTTCTAAACTTTGAACCATTGTGATACAGACTATATTGTGCAACACTGAATTATTGTTTATTATCCCTGTTTGAATTTTGGCCACAAATTATTTGTGATCTCTGATTATCTGTTAAAAATTATCTAAAAGATTATGCTCAAACGATGCATGCTGTGTGACAATGGAATCAAGCATTTTATACATAACCTTTAATTTGCCCAGATCAAAACCAATAAACTGTTGATAAAATTACTTTCCTTATAGTTTTGAAATTATATTGGAAGTTTTAAACTAGATGCTACAATGACTGATTGACAGGTGGACTGATAACCTTCTGGAATCTGGAAATGAAGTGCATTTTGATGTTTCCAGAGTTCACAGTGGCTTTCTGTCATTTCATCAACAGTCCAGCCGAATTTGAAATATTTGGGGCTAGTATCTCTCAACCACTGTTGGATATCTAAGCCATATGCAAATACCATTGAAAATAGATGATAAATCAGCATTTGAAGAAATAATTTAATTAATTTACTTTAACCACTACTTCTTGTATTGTCAGATACTGCTTCAGAACTTGGTGGCATAGCTTACGGATCTCTTTACGAGCCAGATGAAACAGGCAGCAGTGGTGGTGATAGTGCTGCAGGTGTATCTGGTGGTCGAGGTGGAGGCAAGGCCAAGATTTCTGTTGGTACTCAGTTCCTTTTGGATGGTTCAATAATGGCAGATGGTGCTGATGGATCAGCCAACAGCGGTGGTGGCAGTGGTGGGTCTGTCTGGGTTATTGCTGGTAAGTAATTTTTGGAGAGGGAGTATAGGAAACTGAAGGCTTACCACAAACAATAATGCATTAGATATCAAATCTGTTTTTACAATTAATTGCATTGTCACAATTACACTTAAAGGGTTGAAAGTAAAAATAACAGAAAATTATAGGAAGTTGGTGATATTCTGTATTAAATAATGTTTTATCCAGGACAATTCAGAGGCCATGGAACAATCAGCACAAGTGGAGGTTCTGGTCACGAGACCGCTGGAGGAGGTGCTGGTGGGCGCATTGCAGCCCATTCTGTAGAATATAATCAGTTCCGTGGTCAGTTACTGGCCATTGGACAGGATGGTACCACCACAGGGGATATGGGCGGACCAGGTTCAGTGTTTATTGAGGACAAGGTCACAGCCTACACCTATGAGAGTCGATTGTATATAGACGGAAACAATTTGGCTACTCCAAAACCACTGGTGGTGTGGGAACGCAACCCTAGAATCGTCAGTACCAATGAATCCATAGACAATGATGCAGACCTCAACTTTGATCATCTCATGTTGAATAAAAAGGTTTGAGTTCATTTGTTTTTATCAATGGAGTAAGTGATAATTGAATTTATGACATTAGCTTGTTTTTCTTAGTTTGAACACGCTATATGTATAACAAGAGCTGGCTCAAGTGTAACAGAAAGGAAATTTTTTCTAATATCTTAAACTGACTAAATGTACATTTTAAAAAAAACAATATCAGGAGGTGTGATTTCTATTGAATAATTGTCAAAGTTAATTGTTGATGTTTATAATTTCCAACATTATTTTAACAGGCAATGATCCAGATAGCTGATCAAGGAGGCTCTGGTATAAACTCGATCAACATTGGTCTCGTCCTGGGAGATATGTCGGGATATTTACATATGCGGAATAACCAACACTTTTATGTTGAGTATGACAAGTACAGTATCATCCGGTCCATTCCTCCTACAAACTTCATCGTGGATGAGAAATCAAACATGTATGCATCAACTGACCTAAGACTGATTGGAACCGGTCATCCTACCCTAGATTTACTTGGCCATCTCGTCGGGGTTATGAATCTCACACTGGAATACAGCCGTAGCATGACTATAGCCACAACAGCCAAAAACAGCCGATTTATCAATGGGGCTTACCTAGCTCTGCCTAATGGTAAATAATATTGTTATAGTAATTGTGTTTATTTACATAGATAGCATAACATTTACAGAAGATTCTTTGATGGTGTAGGTGAATTAGTGACAAAATGGTATTGGATTACATATATGACACTGAGTCGAGAGAGGGAAAAGCAGTAAAACAAAGTGTGGTATACGTTAAAGGTTTTTTAAATAATTTTTTGTTTGCGTGAAAATTTATTACAATAGAAGAACTTTGTATGAGGTTGACATAGTACAATTTTTACAATGAAATCTAGTGTCTAACACTGTACTAGGGTAGATGAAGTGGCTTTGAATTTTTCAACAGACAGAAACTTAATTCTGAGATCGTTTTTCTTTTTGTTTCAGGTACTCTGGCATTTGATTACCTGTCTCTCCAGGCTCAGGCAGAAATCTCACACAGTAAGGACATCAACCTGGAGGTGTCGGATGTGATGATGCGGTACAGCTCAGGGATCTATGGAGACTCTATCACCATTACAGCTGGAAACATGCACCTAGAGGGTGAGGCCCGTCTGGATACTGGAGGTCGCGGTCTGATGTGGACAGGCACTGGTGATGGTGGTTTGGACTCCTCAGGATATGGAATAGGTGGTGGATATGGAGGCTATGGAGGCGGTGCTAACACTGTCAATTATACAAACGGAGGTAAGGTTACACTCTGTCAGGGGGAGATAATTGTGCTCAGTTACGAAAAGTTTGGATAAACTCAGTTTGTTATTATGGTAATAATCAAATAGTCTATCTTAATTTGCCTCACCTGAAGTTATGCTTTACGACTGATTTTTGTTTTACTTCATCCTAATCAACTTTTGTTTTTAAAATTCGTTCTTAAGATTATAAAGATCTGGATTCAGGATAGTTACTCATCACTTGAAGATATTTCTAGTCACTGGAGTTTCAGTACAAATAACTTTAAATAACATTGTCTCAAAATCTGTTTTGCTGAGGATGATGATGTTTATATTATATCTTCCTGGGGTGAGTTTATGTTCTTATTGAATGCTTCAGGTGCATCCTATGGGTCTTACAAGGCACCAGTACATCATGGCAGTAAGGGGGGTGGAAGCAATGGTGGCCGGGGAGGTGGAATCATTGACCTAGAAATCACCAGATCCATCCATCTTGACGGTATCATCACAAGTCAGGGCGGTAATGCATCTGTAGACAGCAGTGGTGGAGGAAGCGGTGGTAGTATCTACATGAGAGCTGTCAACTTCTCCGGGCATGGCCAAGTCAGTGTCGAAGGAGGGAATGGAAATGATTGGGGCTTTGGCGGCTCAGGAGGCCGAGCTTGTGCCCATGTGTTCTGGAACAGAGAATTCAATGGTGACTATTTGACCTATGGAGGGTATGGAGGCTCACAACGGTCTGATGAAAGTGCTAATGGTGCTTCTGGCACTGTATACTTCACAGGGTCTGACCAAGGCCTGACAGGTAGAGAAGTTCTTAACAGCACCAATGGGACAATTGTATACAAGGATGGGTTCCGAAAGCTTATTATTGACAATGCTAATAGAAATCACTTGCTGCCAACTGTCATCATGGCAGAAGGTGGAGTTTCTGCGGAATTCGAGTTTGACCAGCTGGAAGCAAATAGTCATGCAGTGCTTGAGATGCATGGTAGCACATCACAGCTGATAGTCCATGACTTTGAAGGAGATCAAACAGGTCTCATGTATTTAAAAGCACAACAGACAGTTCATGTGGAATATGTGGAGTCCACAGCAGGTTATACTGTTGCTCCGGTGAGCTTTAATGTGGAATCTGGTGCTGAGATACGTCTTCCATCCACAGTTATCATGTTAGGAACACGGTCAGAAATGAAAGGCCGCATGACCAATGTCCAGAATCTGACCATTGCAGATGGAGCAAACACAGTGTTTCATTCTACAGCCAGAACAGCTCTGATAGAGGCTGGAAAATTCACACATGTAACCCAGCCTGGAAATATCAGTTTGACATTATTCAAGATACAGAGAGGTTCTCAGGCTTTCCTACAGGAAACTCAGACAAACCTCGTCATCACTATCACGAAGCTGCTGATCCAGTATGAGGGTCGCATGTGGATGAACACGGGTATGATTGTTTCAGACATAGGAGTTATAGAAAGCTTGGCAGTGCTCAGTCTGGCTTACGAAGGTTATAAAGCAGAATTAGGACCTGGCAAAGGAAATACTGTCGGTAGCTCTGGTTCTGGGGCTGCTCATGGTGGCCATGGTGGTGCCCCAGAACCAGATACTGGTGGAGTACCATATGATTCAACCATGAAAGCATTGGAACCTGGCAGTGGTGGAGGAAATGGTTTAGGTACTGGTGGAAGTGGAGGTGGGTACATGGTGTGGGATAATGGTAAAAACTTGTGGATCGATGGTGAGCTGTCCATTGCAGGACAGTCTGGATCTGGAAACGGTGCTGGTGGAGGAAGTGGAGGTGGACTTTTCATGAAAACACTCAACTTTACTGGGTATGGTGTAGTCAACGCAGCTGGTGGAAGTGCGTCTGGCATTGGTAATGGGGGAGGTGGTGCAGGTGGAAGAGTTTCAATCCATATTGACTTTGCTAACAAGTTCACAGGTTTGATAACGACTGGTGGAGGAATAGGGTCAGGAACTTACCCAGCTGGAGCGTCAGGCACTACTTACATCCAGGAAAATAATCGAGGACCTCAGTATGCAGAGATTAAATATGATGTTGCAACAAATACTAACATTAAAGTTGCAACACATAGACGTGTGTTAGTAGATAACTTTGATACTGATAAAGAACTGTATGCAAATCATGGAATACCTTGGATTTACACAGTTATTGAGGAGAGCCAACAAGCTGAATACACATATGATGAACTTGAATTGCGCGGTCACTCAAATTTACAGATAGGATATGCAGATCCATCAGTTTCGCCAAATGTTACTGTGGTCGTACACAGAATGTATGGGGACAATACAGGTCTTATAAATATTCGTGAAAACCAGACACTGTATGTGGAAGTTGTTGAGTCTCTCACTAATGAAACATATGCACCATGCAGCTTCAAATGTGATAGCGGTTCTGAAACATTGTTCCCTGAATGGACAAATATGTTTGGATCAAGATCATTCATCGCTGGACTGATAACAGGAATTGAAAAGTTGATGGTACGTAGAGGAGCAGATCTTCTGTTTTACTCAACTGGTCACACTGCCAAGATTGAAAATGGTCAATACACTACCATGACAGATCCTGGTAACTTTGAGTTCCCACAGTTCCATGTAGGCAGATTCTCTGTAGCAGAATTCCAACACATCACAACATCTATGACCTTGACATGCGCTGACTTCCTGGTCAAACATCAAGGTTTATTCTATATGAACTATGCCAATATTTACTCCAGTTATGCCCATATTGAAAGTGAAGCCATACTTTCCTTGGATGAAAGAGGGAATGGAGCAGAGACAGGTTATGGTAAAGGGACTACAAAGAATGGTATTGGATGTGGTGGTGGACATGGAGGCTGGGGCGGCTGTCCCACACCAGACTATGGTGGTGAACCCTTCAACTCTGTCTTCTCTCCTGGAAATGGTGTTTTATTGGCAACTGAAGAATTTTCTGGAAGTGGTGGTGGTAATGGTGGTGGACAAGGTGGCTCAGGAGGAGGATTCCTCCTCTGGGAGGTTGGTGACCTTCTGGAACTAAACGGTTTGTTGTCCCTTAACGGATCTGATGGAGTAGGTGGAAATGCTGGTGGTGGCAGTGGTGGCAGTGTGTTGATAAAAACAATGAATATGTCGGGACATGGAGGCATATCAGTAAAGGGTGGCAACGGTGTTAGCTCTGGAGGTGGAGGATCTGGTGGACGTATAGCCATTCACTGTAAGTGGAGATATCAATATGGAGGAGCATTCGACAACTATGGTGGTGACGGTGGCTCAACTCAAAAACAGGCACACACTGGTGCGGCAGGAACCTCTTTCAGAGAGGAGAACCTCCGGGAACTTGAGTACAGGTTAAAGAAATATGACAAAGTACACAACACAACATTTTTGGAGGTAGACCACAAGTATGTACACTCAGATAACTTGCTCAAGTACAGTCCCGCACCAACTCTTCTGATGGCAAATGACACTTACGATTATGAATTTAACGAAATTGACTTGACAGGAAGTTCCAGAATGATGATCTATCATCCAAATACTACGGACAGAAATGTCACCGTTATTGGCCACAAGTTCCTGGGTGATAAAACAGGTCAGCTCCACACCCGATCTAACCAGCATGTATACGTGGAATATGTTGAATCGGTTCTAAATAGAACTGAGGCTGTATGTAGCTTTATCATTGAACAGTACAGTGAAATCATCTTCCCCGAAGAGGTTCATGTTCAAGGTACTAACAGCACAATAGCAGGAGAGGTGACTGGAGTTCTGGATCTGAGTATTGAAAGAGACGCGTTTATGGAGTTCATGTCAACCGCTAATACTGCCAATATAAAGAATGGTGTCAAAGTTAATATACAGGAACCTAGTTACTTCGCTTTTGGAACTGTCACTGTCAAACAAGGTGGGTTGATGGGTTTCTCAAAAATTGCTGACGTTATGCATCTGGAGGCAGGAAAAATTGAAGTGCGTTACCAAGGTGTATTATACATGAATGATGCAGATCTAGAATCGGGATTTGCCGAGATAGAGAGTCAAGGAACGTTCCATCTGAACGGGCATGGACATACAGCTGAGAATGGCCTAGGGGCAGGACAGACTGTTGGTTCTGTTGGCTGTGGTGCCAGTCATGGAGGCTTTGGTGGCTGCTCTAACCAAGCTCAGGCTACACATCCCTATGGATCTGTTTACTCACCAAAAGAACTTGGAAGTGGAGGAGGCAATGGCCAAGGCACAGGAGGAAATGGAGGAGGCAGATTGATGTGGGATGTTGCCGTTCACTTCGAGCTTAATGGCTTGCTTGCTTTACAGGGAAATGATGGTCAGGGATCCAATGCTGGAGGTGGCTCAGGGGGTAGTCTTCTTGTAAAAACAACCAACTTTACCGGCCATGGTGAGGTAAATGTAGAAGGAGGCAATGGAGTAGGTTCTGGTGGTGGAGCTGCAGGAGGCAGAGTCGGCATCCATTGTCAATACAGGTACACCTACGGAGGAAAGTACACCAATCATGGAGGTACTGGTGGAACTGGAGCCCCAGCAGGAACCACATTTGTGGAGAACAACATGCGTCCACTTGAGTACAGAATATTGAAGTATATGCCTGGTACTAATACAACTTACTTCCAGGTAGATCATCGGTACCTACACATGGACAACATTGGCAATCTTGTAGAAGGTTCCACTCTTATTATGGAAAATGAAACAATAACTTACGAGTTTGATGAAGCAGAAGTGACTGGAGCATCCATAGCCCAGATCTACCATCCCTTAGACTCCCAAGTTACTGTAACCATTCACAAAGTCCTAGGGGACAAGACAGGACAGCTCCACATGAGAGAAAACCAGACAGTGTACTTGGAGTATGTAGAGTCGGAATCCAATGTCACAGAAGCTCCAGTCAGCTACTACATTGACTATGGTGCTACTATTATTATGCCTACTGAGGTACACATGCATGGTGTTCGTACAAATCTGTCAGGTTTATTGGTGGGTGTACACCATCTGTACATAGAAGAAAATGGAGCAGTCTCTGTATTTGCCACATCCCAGACTGCACAGCTTTCCAGTGGAGTAAGAACTGATACTACAACACCAGGAAATTTCTCTCTACCATCCATGAAGATCAATGCCTATGGTAGTATTGAATTTAGACATATATCAAATGATCTGTTCAACTTGGACTTTGGAAGGGTGGACTTAAAATATAAGGGTGAGTTGTTAATGAATTATGGCACGCTGGTAGCAGGAAATGCAGACATTGAGTCAGAGAGCTTGTTAGACTTACAAGGAAGAGGTCACCCAGCACAAACAGGAAGTGGTGCTGTGACGTCCAGTTATGGAGCCAGTCATGGTGGTATTGGTGGTAGTCAGTCTGGAAACACCTATGGGTCTGTCTTTACTCCAAAGGAACTTGGAAGTGGAGGTGGTGGAACCAATGGCGGAGCAGGTGGTGGATTTATCAACTTCAAGGTCGGAAATCAGCTCCACGTTGATGGTGATGTGAAAGCTAACGGAGATTCTCCCACCTCTGGTCACTCTGGTGGAGGAAGTGGTGGTTCCATAATGGTAGAGGCTTACAATGTTTCTGGGCACGGCTTATTTGATGCCAGTGGTGGTGATGGTTATGCTTCAGGATGTGGTGGAGGTGGTGGACGTATAGCTATGCTTGTCGATGCAGTAAATACCTATGGAGGTATCTATAGTGCCAAGGGTGGAAGTCGTGGTTCTAGCTCCTCTAACGTAGCTTGTGATGGAGGACCAGGTACTATATATAAATATGAGTCAAGTCGTGGGCCAACTTACAGGGAACTTAAATACAATCCACGTCTTAATACCACAGGACTGAGCCCAGAGCATTCCAAGCTTACTGTGGACAATGGTGATCTACTGACAGAACAACCAGCAATGGTGATGGAAAATGCTACTGTGTATTACGAATTTGATGAAGTTCAGGTTGAGGGTCACTCTTACGTTCATTTTTACCATCCATCTAATGCAGACAATGTCACTGTCATCATCAAGGAGTTGACAGGTAACAAACAAGGCTTTGTCAGAGTACAGAGCAGGCAGCAGGTGATCGTAGACTTCGTGGCATCTACTCACACCTATTTGGATGCTCCATGTGGCTTCCATGTGGATGCTTACGGTGAACTTGTTTTACCAACGGAAGTTTTTGTGACAACAGAGAAAGTCATTGTAGGGGGAAGATTGATCGGTGTAGAATCACTTACAATTGAACGAAATGCTGAACTCGTTCTTCAGGATGATGCACACACAAAGGATATTCGGTCTCTGGAATTTTCCTACCTTAACACGAAAGGAAGTTCATCCTATACACCTGGTGACATCTCTTTTGGTACGCTGAATGTAAACAATTTGGGTAAAGTGACTGTATCAATGGATCCATTATTTGCAGAAATAGCTACCGGAGACTTAACTGTTAAAAACGGAGGCACTATGTCTTTGGAAACTCTACGAGTCATGTTGAACAGCACAAACCTGATAGTAGAGAATAGTGGTGTGATTACAGGAAGTGGCTTTGGTTTTGCCAAAAATACAGGAACTGGAGCTGGCTCACAGGGCAGCTATGATGGATCAGGAGGTGGCCACGCCAGCAGAGGTAAGAACTACTATACACAGCACAACACCTACTCGCAAATAATCATATACAAGAATTTAAAAAAAAAAAAAAAAAAAGGATATCTAAAAAAACCTACATGTAGTGATTTTTTTGATTAAGATAATTAATTAACACATCGGGAAAGGAACCAAAGATAAATTATTTTAAATTCATTTTGTTATTAAAGTCTGAAAATTTCATAGATGTGTGGGACTATAACTACATATTACACAGATTAATTACGGAAAGAAATACTTGTTTAAGAGAAATGCTGGCTTCAACAAACTAAAAAAACTTCTAAATGCTGGTATGTGATCCTGGTTCAAATCTTAATTCTTTTTCTTTCACAAAGCTTTCAAGCTCTATGGTTCTATTATTTTTCAATACAGTATGTGTTATGTTTTTAGTATTATTATATTAAATATTTGTTCTTGTCATTGACACCAGGTGGCACCAGTGAATCTAATGCAGCAGGTGGTGCTTACTATGGTGAGGAGATGATGACTACTGATCCTGGAAGTGGAGGAGGTGGTAGTTCAGGGACCGCTGGTGGCAGTCATATCTCCATCAATGTCGGACAGGTAACTATTGTAACCTATAGAGATGGCTGGTGGCAGTCATATCTCCATCATTGTCGGACAGGTAACTATTGTAACCAATAGGAATGGCTACTGGCAGTCCTTTATGCATCAATATCTTAATGTTACCTATTATAATCAGTAGTGACTACAGATTGTAGAAATACAGCCAGAAATGTTCAGCATACTTCTTAACTGTTTGCTGTCTCATATTTACTGTAGAACATGATTTTACCCTTAATACAAAGTGAGGTTTGGTTCTTGGAAAAATGCCTATTAACTCCTACTGTTTTTTAGTATTTATTATAAATTTGGAGATAAAAAATTCTTGTTGATATTGAAGGCCTTTGCAGTTCATCAGAGGACAATATTACAATTTTCTATAAGTCTCTATGGTATTTACTGATGTACATTTCTAATTGGCATAATGCACAAAGTCTATGTGGAAGGTAAGACCAGAAAAAAAAAAATTCCACATGTTAGAAAAATTCTAGATTTGTGAAGATAGTTACAATTATCTAAACAGTAATATGCTGTATTGAATTTGTTTTCAAAATGATTTTAAATAGGTTACCAATTTTTTTTTTGGTAATATAAATAAAGTGTGCGATGTGCACCTTTGCAGGGGAAAAGAATCTCCTGACCAAAATATGTCGATTTTGTTATATCTATGTTTACTTGAGTAATTACAGTAACTAAGCTAGTCTTTGCTAGATTCAAGGAGTATGATGTTTGAAGAAGTCTATGGTCTTTGTATAATTGACATATATTACTACATACTAGTATTTCATTTTGAATGTCTTGTGAAATGTCTTCATTATGTGTGTTTTTACAGACCTTTAGTGTTGAAGGGACCATAGAGAGTAATGGTTTAGATGGTACAAGTACAATGTATGCTGGAGCAGGGGCTGGAGGAAGCATCTTCATCACATCTAACAAACTTCAGGGATATGGCACCATCTCTGTGAACGGCGGCAGATCCTACGAGGGCTACTACTCTGGTCACCATACATATTATCGTAAGTAACCACTACTGGTCTACAACAAATTTTATTACAGTAATAGATCTCTAGAAAGACAGATAAACACAATAATCTGATGGAAGATCCTATCAGCTAGGAGAACTGTATTGATATTCATAATTAACGCTTCTACTCTGAAGAATTGTTTGAAATGATTTTTCCAGAAAATGGTGCTGGATCTGGTGGAAGGATAGCTATTTACTTGGGAGAACTGCCAAATTTCCGTGGAACATTAGTCGCACAAGGTGGCCTTGCTAACAATGGTGGTTCAACGAATCAGCACGGTGGCCCCGGGACAGTGTTTATCAAATCTTCCATTGGAGACAGTATACACCGATATCTCTGGATTGATAACCAGAACAGGGGCACACTGCTGTCATGTTCCTTCCCAACTTATATCAACTCAACCATCCTACATACATTATACCTGCAGAATCAGGCTTGTGCACGACTTTCTCAGGTGAAACTGACATTCATTTAAATAATGTTACAGAATTTTGTCTAAAATTTCAAGTTTATATTTATATGGACAGATATCTTAGAAACAAGTTCTAGTCTTTTTCTGAATCAGTCAATGCTGGTTTGTTTGATGTTTCTGTATTTAATGTATTTCTGAATTATTGATATCTATAAAACTACTTTTGATAAAGCCTTTTCTGTTTGATCCATGTTCTGTGTGACTGAGACTTTTAAACACTGAGATTAAAAATTTTTCTTTCAATAATTGCATTACTGGTAAAAATGTAAGAAAAAAGTTCAGTTAACATTTAATTACATTAACTTCATAATTTGCATTTGCAAATTTTTGGGGTTGTGTTATGAACTTGAAATATGCATATGTCATATTCAATAATTTGACAAGACATTAAATTGTAAATTTTAAACCAAGATAATAGATTCAGTGTAATTGAGTATTTTAAAAGTTAGATAATATTGAACAACCTGCCTAGTATGAAAATGAGTTTATGAAGGTCTAATTTTGTTCTTGTGTTGGTTTCAGTCAAAAGTTTTGATCAGCTACCTGCATGGTGGATCTGGTTTGCTTTACTTGGAAAATGAAGTTGAAATGAACCAAGAGGAGCGTGCACACTTGAGGGCCAATTTACATGTACTAGCAGGGTCCAAAGCCGTGATGCCACCTACTCTGTTTGTTGAGGAGACTTTGACAGCAGAAGGTGGCCTCATTGGAGTGGAGCATCTCTACACAAGAGGAGTGTCAAATATTATCAAAACTGGATTCAGCATTTGCTCAACGACAATCACACTGAATTCTGAATTTAATTTCTACACGGTTACAATCATGGACGGTGGGCTTCTGAAGTTGACTGATGATGACATGACAACTGCCTCTGGACTATCCTTCAGAGCCTATCATGTTCACCTTGAAGACTCCGCCAAGGTAGAAGTTGAAGGTGGTGTTGAATTCATAGCAGGTGTGTTTGATATGGAAAAAGACTCAACCTTGAGTGGCAATGAGTATGGATACGAGACTGCCTCTGGACCTGGATATGGCAGGAAATGTGGCCCTGGTACAGGTGCTGGCCATGGTGGCACTGGTGGCAGCGCTTCCTGTGGTTGTTCCTGTGGTTCCTGTGTGAGAGGGGTAGCCTATGGTGATGCCTGTACACCGTGGTTGGCAGGAAGTGGTGGTGGTAACTCTGTATCTGGTACTGGTGGTGCTGGTGGGTCAGCAATACGTATTATTGCAAGCCACGCAGCTTTCATTGAAGGTGCTATTTCCAGCAATGGTGGGTCAGGGACCAATGCTGCAGGTGGAGGCAGTGGAGGGTCTATTTGGCTTGACAGCAATATCATTGAAGGCTGGGGGTCTGTTGATGCTGATGGTGGGTCAGCAGGATCATACTGTCAATCAAATTGCTGGAATGGAGGCTGCTGTTGTAATAACAGAGGAGGTGGTGGAGCTGGTGGAAGGATCAGAACTGTCACAGGCAATTACACACAGAAAGTTCTCTACTACAACCGTGACTCTGGGGCAGGTTCTGGTAGTGGCGGTGCAGGTGGTGTCGGCACCCTCTGTGATCACAGTGATGACCAATGTAGTGGTCATGGAAACTGGACAGCTGGAGTTTGTGTATGCAATACAGGCTACTATGGAAATGACTGTCAGTACAGCTGTGAATGTGGATCACATGGCTCCTGTAACAGTGATGGCACCTGTGTATGTGATCACGGCTACATTGGCTTTCACTGTGAGAGTACTTGTGATGACAACACCACTTGTAGTGGGACAGGACATTGTACCACCTGTGGGTCATGCCTCTGTAATGCCTGCTACCATGGCAACGACTGCTCAAGTCTCTGTAGTGGTCATGGAACTTGTGATGCTGATGCGTGTCTCTGTGACGCCTGCCACTTAGGAGAGTACTGTGAGTCGGAGTGTAATGGACATGGAACCTGTAATGGTACTGCTTGTATTTGTCAGTCAGGATGGTATGGTGCAAAATGTACAATTAAATCATGTGGTGGCCTCAACAATATACCCTGCTCTGGACATGGAACCTGTCACGCCGCCAGCCAGACATGCTTCTGTGATCCTGGATGGGAAGGTAATATCATAAACACTTATTTACTCTCTATAATAATTAATTTAATCTGAAGTAGTATAATTTTTACAAATTTGATATTTAATATTTTTTCATCAGCTATTCTTAGCCTGAATACTCAACTTCACAAATGCAGTATGTACATGTACAAGCAAGAAATGTAACATCAAAATTTTTTCAAGAATTTGTTACAATTTTTGAAATGGCTAAAGTTATTTGGGAGAAAAAATAAGACTTTAAGTTGTTATATACTTGAATATCATTTCGAAAGGGTAGAGATATTTAATCATTAGAAAGCTGGTTATGTGATTTCTTGTAATCTGATACAGTATGTTACAGTGATCTTATATTTCTACCATTTATATACGATTTAATTGCAGTGTTAAATTATTGACTCCTCAAATAAGGAATTTTGATGTTTCAAGAAACCTGATTTTCTTTTTGCTAATTTTCAGGCTCTGAATGTGAGAACCCTGACTGCCCCGGTGATGTTAACTGTAATGCTAGGGGAATCTGTAACACAGCCTATGAGCCTCCCCGATGTACTGACTGTGATGTTGGATGGATGGGACCTGCATGTGATGATCCTTGTGTCCATGGTACAGCAAATGCTGACAACACGAATTGTACTTGTAATAGTACCTGTTTCCACGGCAAAGGCTGCAACATTCAGTGCTCTGAGCATGGCACATGTGACGTTAATTACGACTGCTACTGTGATCCATTCAGTGGATGGTCTGGCACCTTATGCGAGATTCCAGGCTGTCCAAGACATCCAACCACCCTTGAGGAATGCAGCGATCACGGCACATGTAACAGCTTCAACCATATCTGTGAATGTGATGCTGCATGGAAGGGTGCTGCTTGTCACATAGCAGACTGTCAGGGAGAACCAGATTGCCAAGGTCGAGGCCATTGTGATGACACACTGAACACACCTCGATGTATCAACTGTACTGGCCCTTGGATGGGCGTTGGCTGTGACGAGCCATGTGTCAATGGCACAGAGACCCCATTAAATTCAGGCACTTGTGTCTGTGATCCTGGATTTGCGGGTGTTGGATGCGACTCGGAGTGCTCCGGTAATGGTATAATTGTTGGTGGAGCCTGTGATTGTGACTATGTTACTGGATGGAAGGGACCCTTATGTGACATACCAGGCTGTCCTGGTCTTTTCAACCTGGACTGTTCTGGAAGAGGTAAGTTGCAGGATTGTCATATTTATGGCTCTTTCTAGAAAATCTTGATTTATTCTTAGTTTTCTTGTGCTGGATAGAGATCTTGAACTGAAAATTATATGTAGTTGTGTTGTTTCACCAAGTCAGCCATGTATTTTAGTCTTTGGTCTTCGGTGAGCTAATACAAATTTAGTACAGTTTGAAAACTTATGAGCAAACCTCTAAAAATGCCAATATAATTAAAAAAGCTTCACCAATATATCTAGTAGATACAAAGTACAGATGTTAAGGAAAGATCTTTAGAACCTGAAAGATGAATGCATTAGATATATACTTGTCAGCTCTTCAATGGCAACTCTAAATAGTGTGACTTGTAGAATTTACTCTGTCTTTGATAATCATCTTAATGAAGAGAGAGATCTTGTTATGACTGGTTTCAACCCAACTTACCACGTTTATCCTACATTTTGCCCTACTTTGTAATATGCCATCATAATCCAGTTGGACTATTTCATTGTTCTGTAATATTTTATGTTAGTGCCTTGCATTGTTTACCTGGTATATGTTTGAATTACTCACTATAGGAACCTGTAACAATGCTCTACACTTGTGTGACTGTAAACCGGGCTGGATGAACATTGGCTGTGAGGATGCTGACTGTCCAGGCTCTCCTGACTGTAATGGACATGGCACCTGTAACTCGACTCTTGACCCACCTGAGTGCATGTAAATATATATTGTGGCTTATGTACTTCCTAACTGAACTGGTATTGATCACTGAGAATCTTCATTTTCAAAAGCATGAAATGTCTGGAAACACTGGGAAGGAAATGTGAACAATACAGGCCTATTGGACCTTTTGTTATGGTATATGAAGGCATCATATTGTAATTGATATAAAGTTGTGAATGCTCAGGTAAAGCTCTCCTGCAATAGATTGGGATTTACCTTTTCAAGAAATCAAATTATTTGACTTTCAGTCAGATCTTTTCTTACTACATCTAGATATGTGTGACATAAAGAAAATCATTAATATGTTCTTTATATTACCAGGTGTACCAGCCCCTACTTTGGTGCTGACTGCAGCCAGAATTGTGCTCACGGCACCATCTTCCCCACCTTCAGTGATAACTGTACCTGTGATCCAGGCTGGGTTGGAATTGAGTGTGATGCGGAGTGTTCTCTACATGGAACATTCAATGGTACCATGTGTAACTGTGATGTAAACTGGCGTGGGGTTGTTTGTGAGATGCCTGGATGTCCTGGAATCGGTGAAGACTGCACAGGGCATGGTGATTGTAACACTGCTACACACATATGTACCTGTAATGCTGGCTGGACCGGATCTGGATGTGAAATTCCTGACTGTCCTGGTAACCCTGACTGTATGGGCCGTGGAACCTGCGATACAAACTTTGACCCACCAAAGTGTATGAATTGTGAAGTGGGATGGATGGGACCAGCATGTGATGACCCTTGTGTCAATGGTACACAGGATCCACCCAATAGTGGTTTTTGTAAGTGTGATGCTTGTTACTTTGGCAAGGGCTGCAACAGCGAATGTGCAGGAAATGGACAGTGCATGGCAGGTGTGTGTGAATGTGACACAAGCTGGCGAGGATCACTTTGTGAGGTACCAGGCTGTCCAGGAACAAACTATGACTGTTCCAAACACGGAGAATGCAACAGTGCCAATCATGAATGTACCTGTTTCCCAGGTTTGTGATACTTGTAATTCATTTAGATCAAATTAATGTTTTATAGCAATACAATTTGTATGGAGCCTTTCATCCAAATAAAAAATTAAATATGTCTTTTCTAAAATAATTCAGAATGAATTATGCAGTAATTTATCATAAATTCAGCTCCTAAAACCTGTTTTTGAGGGTTGATGCATTGTCAGTCAGACACATGCAAGTGACTTTAATCAATTAAGTGTGGATTGACCAATAAGTAGCAAGTTTTGACAAGCTGATAAAAAAAAACTAGATCAAATATAAATCAACTGTTCATATTTCTGTTTAGGTTGGACTGGCTTGGCTTGTGATGAAGCAGACTGTCCCAATAACTGCACACAGAATGGAATATGTAATACTACAGACGTTGTAGTCCCAGAATGCTCCTGTTTTGATGTATGTTCCTGCATTAGGACCTCAAGTCATTATAACTGATAAGTAAAAGTGAAACAGAAACAGTCCTTTCGAGTTAATTCTTAGAACAAAAGAAATGTAAATTGGTTTTATCAAACTACTGGTACCTTTTACACACATCCAAGGTCATAGGTATTAGATATGGCATCAAAATCTATGCATGACTTCTTCTTAAGAACCACAACTTCAACAGTACTGGTATGTGATCTGTGTAGCTTGTTGCTTTGAAGGACTGAATTCATTTTCTTGATTAAAGTGGTTAAATGTGTAAGGAAATTGAAACATGTTATATGTACATGTTTTTGTCATTCATACATGACTGGTATTATGCAGCCTGTGGTTTGCTGTAGCAAGACACATATGTATCATTTCTTTTGTCTGTTTTCAAACATAGGACTGGATGACATTTGACTGCAGTAAGCCATGTGTCCATGGTAACAAAACTGACAATATTCGCTGTGACTGTGATCCTTGCTACACTGGAGCAGGCTGTGACCTTGAGTGTTCTGGCAAAGGTCACTGTGACAATGGAGCATGCAACTGTACCAGACTGCCAGGTAGGCCTTATAATGTATATTGAAGGGAGCTAACTCTGTATGATCAATTTTTATGATGACTATCTGTTTATTGACAGCTACTGTGCAATATATCATCATTTAAGATCCAGATAATACACTGTACAATTTCTTTATCACTTTCTTTTAATGTGGCAGATTCCAATTCTTCTGAAAAATGTGTCATATTTCAGTTTTGTGTTTTGATTTATAATTTCCTCAGTATGATATTTTAAGAAAAGTGTTTATTTTATTTGTTAATGATTTGAATAATTTAATACAGAAAATTTTGATAATTATGTTATTGGCAAAATCAACAATGGCATTATTAGTTTTGTTATAACATGTTTTTATTTCCTATCGTGTTAAAGACTGATGTTGCATTGCTGCATCGCCAAAATGACGAGATCTTACTTATCAGTTCATTAAAACAACATTCTGTCTTGTTTAGGCCTGTATAAGCAATGTCTTGCCAGTAATCTGTCAGTGTGGGATGTGTGTGTCTAAGGTTAGGTTGGTGTGTGGGGAAGGATTTCCAGCCACATAGTGGAGTCCTTGCTGACCTGTCAATGTTCTAGTTTGGTCAGCCATTCTATGAGAGATAAATCTATTTCACTGAACATGTTTCAGGAAATGCCTATGTGGGTAGCTTGTGTGAGGAAAAAGGCTGTCCTGGTGCTGATGGTGCTTGTAACCAACATGGCAGCTGTAATTCAGTCCTACAGGAATGCACCTGTTTCCCTGGTTATAAGGGATACGACTGTTCAGAACCTAGCTGTCCGGGGACACCAGAATGTTCAGGTAACTGAAACAACAGAGAAAATACTGTCATGTCATAGAATCTATATTATAACTAAAATCTGATGAAACTATGGAAATAGGAACAACAGAAAGATTTAACAGAAAAAGTACAAGAACAGTAAGACCTGGTGCTCCAGAAGGAATCATGAAAAGTTTTTAGTCTTTATAGCTACTAGGCCAACCAGGAAGAGCATTTGTACATTCCATACAAACCAGGTTTCATTCTGAAAGTTTCTTCTTCAAACAGATTGGTGAAAAGCAAAACAATGCAAATGAGTCCCTCTCTTAAAGAAATATTTTCTTTTGCAAATTAAATTTTTCATAACATTTACAGAAAAATGTATTGAAATTAAGTTATATAATTCACTCACTTATCACAGTAAATTCTCCTATTGAGGCTTTGTTTTTGTTAAAGACAAGATCTATACTAGAAAGGTGAATCAACATGCATGTATGTCTCAATACTCAAGTACAAGAAAGGTCGGATAGATTTTGTATATTGAAGTAAGAATATTATACTTTAGGAATCATTGCATACCTGTATTTTTCATTGTTACAGACAAAGGTACCTGTGTTGCTGGAACGTGTATGTGCGATTCAGACAGAATAGGGGACTATTGTCAGCTGCCTTGTTATAATGGCACCAACATCAATGGAGAGTGTGTCTGTAACAAGACCTGTATCACTGGCCCATTCTGTCACCTCGAATGCTCAGGAAATGGGTTATGTGATGCCAACGGTGACTGTGTCTGCGACTTCAACGCTGGCTTCAAGGGTGACAAGTGTGACAAACCTGGCTGTCCAGGATGGCCCGAGAACTGCATGGGGCATGGTTCCTGTAATGAAATCACTGGAGAATGCCAGTGCGACTCCAACTGGAAACAGCCTGCCTGCGCTGTGCCTGAATGCACAAATGACTGTAACAATGACCCTGATGCTCAGTGTCTGGAGCCACCTGGTGGTGGTATACCTCGATGCTTCAACTGTTCCTCCAACAAAATGGGGGATGCCTGTGAATATGACTGCTTCAATGGTGTGGGTGTGAGGGATGCCAATGGTAACTGGGAATGTCAATGTGATTCCTGCTACAGTGGAACAACTTGTGACATGCTCTGCAATGGGCAAGGTTCCTGTACATTGAGTGGAATATGTGACTGCGGCTTCAATGGTTACAGAGGAATCTTGTGTGAAACTCACGGTTGCCCTGGTTATGATGTTGACTGCAGTGGACATGGAATCTGTGGCGGGTCTCACAGCTGTATCTGTGATGCAGGTTGGACTGGAATAGGTTGCCATATTGGAGCATGTTCTAACAACTGTACTGGGCAAGGGGTCTGTATCGACACACTCAACCTGACAACCCCCTACTGTTCTTGTGATGCTAATTACTTTGGCTCAGCTTGTGAGTATATCTGCACAAATGGTTCCATGGCCAACGGTACCTGTGTTTGTGACCCATGCTTCGATGGACTTGAATGTGAAACAGAATGCTCCAACAGAGGCACATGTACAAATGGTGTGTGCGAATGTGTAAGTAGTCGAGGCACCCTCTGTGAGACCAATGGATGTCCCGGGCTGTACAATTTAGACTGTTCTGGTCATGGGTCTTGTAATACGGCCACAAGTTCTTGTAGCTGTAATACTGGCTGGATTGGCACCGACTGTGCAACCCCAGATTGTCCATCAAATTGTAACAACCGTGGCCACTGTAATACTACTTACACTGTGCCTGTATGCACAGACTGTGAGAAGGGCTGGATGGGAAGTGCCTGTGATATCCCATGTAACGGTACACAGTCTCCTATGGACAGTGGCATTTGTGTGTGCGACAGCAACTGTCAGCATGGTACAAGCTGTGACTTAAGTTGCAGCAATGTCGGAAGCTGTGTCAATGATAGCTGTGTCTGCACTGACTCGACTGGCTACAGTACAGGAGCCTGGGGTACACACTGTGAAGAAAGTGACTGTCCTGGACGTAATCTGCCCTGCAGTGGTAATGAAATATTCTGTCTTAAAACTCTACCTGCACCTATGTGCATGTGTAAAGCTGGATATTTTGGTTTAGGCTGTGAGAATGTGGACTGCCCAGGCACGCCGGACTGCAGTAATCAGGGAGTATGTCAAAGTGATGCTACTTGCCTTTGTAACAACATGACTATGGGCTTAATGTGCGAGTTTCCATGTGAGATGGGCACTGCTGTCCAGACTGGTAACACCTTCAGCTGTGAATGTGACAACTGTATATCAGGGACTGGATGTGACAGCGTCTGTAACGGCCATGGAACATGTAATGCAACAGGCTCATGTATTTGTGATTCGGCATGGTGGGGTAAGTTTATACACCTGTTTGGTGGGAGGTGTTATTGTGCCCGTCCTCTTATTATGTAGATGTTCAACTAAACCTTGATAGAACATAATGCAATGAGGTAATTTCTGGATAATTACTCCAAATTCTGAAATTAGTTCTACACCTGTGATCATTATTTTAAGCATCAATATAACACTTTGTTTCATTTTGATGACATAATATATGGGAAAAAGGACAATTCTGCATGGGCTGCAAGACATTTCCTTTCTTAACTATTTATAGAAAAACTTCAACCAATTCAATAACACCTAAGAAATTTTATATTTCAAGGTTCTAAGTTCAAGGCCAAGGTCACCACCACTATTTCTAGATTATGATCAGTTGTTCTTTCTAAGCAGGGGTCATTTGAATGCTTTACAGACTTTTTACTTAAGTAAATGATACTTGACTAGCTATATAGCAACATAGTGCCATTCTTTGACAGTAGACTGTACAGATGACATACATGTTATACAGGAGACCGATGTACAGTACCTGGGTGCCCAGGTATTGGGTCCAGCTGTTCTGGTCATGGTAACTGTCTGGCTGGTTCCTGTTCTTGTGACCAGTACTACAAGGGAGCGGGATGTGAGGAGGTTTACTGTACTGATGACTGCAACAACAGAGGTAGGTTCATATTCTACCTAGTCAAGGTCACTACTTCATTTCTGTCTCTAATGATGTTCCTGTGTGATAGTTTGGTAGCTGTTATAAAGATATATAGGTAATTAATAATAGATTATACTTTTGGTATTTTATAGAAGCGTAATTCATTGATGGCCCATATTATTAGTGTAATCCTAGCTTTATAGTTCTTGAACATTTAGGGGAAATAGATTATTGTTTAACCAATATATTCAGTTTAAAGTACTTTTATAAATCTTATAAATTCAAACAGATGATTGCATAACATGTTACACTTAACAATTTAGGTACAATGCAATTTTCATAATAATATTATCTGCCAATTCAAATAAAAATTGTGAGCTTTTCATCAAATACACAAACAAATATTATATTATTTCATAAAACCATCCATTCTGTGCTTAAGTATTTACATTTAACTGTAGTGTTTTTTGTTTTGTATTGTATAGGTACCTGTGACTACACAAACTACTGGCCCCCAAAGTGTATCAACTGTAATGACTCCATTGGACCTAAATGTGAGAAAGACTGTATACACGGGACAGAGTTATCTCCCTTCAGCACTGTCTGTGTATGCGAGAGCTGCTACAGTGGGTTTGACTGTTCTATACAATGTTCCAACCAGGGGTTATGTAACTCCACCTCAAACAGCTGTGATTGTGAAACTGGCTTCAAGGGCAGTATTTGTGCTGACTTGGATTGTCCAGGTAAGTCTACAGCCAAATAGAATTCAAACTGTGGGGAAAATTTATGCAGTACCACTTCAGAACAAATTTGTTCAAAATGAGGATGAAATCAGTTTTGATAATTTTTGTTCCTTAATATATTCCACTATAAATTGATTTTACAGGAGAACCTGACTGCAGTAATTACGGTACATGTATGAGAAGTAACAATGAGTCTATCTGTTCCTGTAATGCTGGGTTTACTGGAGCTGACTGTTCAGACTTCATCTGTCCTGGTACACCAACATGTAGTGGTAATGGTAAGTATGCACTGTAGGTATACATCCATTGTTTTTAATAGGTTCCATTTGACATCAAATACTGGATAAATTTTTATGACTTTATAGAGCTGTTAAAATTAGCATATTTATTACCCTGTTAACTAAAATGATCTTGATTCTCCCTCTTAATTTAATCATTAGAATTATGTGCTTAGCTCACAGCCTGCCTAAAAGGCTGAAACATAATGGTAAATAGTTCTACATGTGAGCTCAATTCTGGCCATACTGATATTGTCATTGCTTCATGATGTTTTTATTGTCCCATTAGCATAACATTGGACTTTTTACTTCATTCCTCTGCAAATCCTTTAAATATTCTTTTCACACATTGTAACACTGTCCAAACAAATGACATTAATTCCTGTCACATACAATTGCCAAGTATTGAATGTGTACATCTTTTGGGATTCAGTTTCTGAAGAATTTGTTGTCTTCATTGCCTGTATATCACTTTGCTCAAGATTTATCATCTTTACATGTGTTACTGATGTAAATATATGCCAACTCCTGTTTCAAAGATAAATATTGAAAACTGATATTCTATGAACTATTTGAAAGTAAATTTATTTCACATTTTTTTCCATTTATTTTTGACTTACAGGTGCCTGTATATTGGCCACGGGATCTGTCGCTCCTTCTTGTGATTGTAACCATGGCTTTGGTAGTCTGGACTGCTCCTCCTGTCTGACACATTTTGCAGCTCCCAACTGTGATAAGTGCGAGTCAGATTACATTGGCTACAATACGACCTGTGGCACTCTCTGTAAACATGGCTATGCTACAGTACCAGGTATGTACAAATCAAACATACAAGTCCCATGAATTTCTATCATTACACAGATTAATAATTAGTGATCATTTAGTCAGCTAATTATTCTATTGAACCATAAATTTGTCAAACATGATGCATTGTTTTGACCTTCTTTTGTAGGTGGCGATGTGTGTGAATGTTACGATGATGATGTGAATGGACACTGGACTGGTCAAGCTTGTGATGTATGTCAGGATGGATGGGCACTTCCTTCTTGTACCAGCTGTTCCCTCAGTGAGTATTATCACTATGTGTGAAATGTTGATACCAGGAATGGTCTGATAAAAATTGAAATCTTTGGTCATTGTTTTCTTTACTAAATTACTATTTTTTTAAAAATATTCTGTTATATTTCTTGTTGTCTAAGATTGCTGGAAATGTTTTTACATAAATTATGACAATACTTCAATAAAGATAAGGTTTGTTCTTCTAGATATGGGGACACTTTCAGGTTCACAAGAATGTGATTTTTAGGCCAAATTTCCAATAATGATGAATACGTTTTATGTGTGAAGTACATACTGTATCCCTGTGGTATTTTATTCACTTATCTCTCCTGTTTTTCCACAGACTATGTTGGGCCAGGCCACTGTAGTATAACATGTGTCACTGGCCAGGGTGTGTACGCAGACAAGTATGATGGCAACAATATCACGACCGGAGTACAGCCTGTCTTTAACTGTTATACAGAAGAGAGTAATGGACAGAAAACAGCCTGGTTTGGTTACATCAACACCAATATGCACAATGTGTATGTCACATCTGATTCAGAAAACTATCTAATGAAATCAGACCTGACCAAGTACCAACCACTGACAATGTTCAAGGCCAATACTGCTGTGGATTATGTCTATTCTGAAGGGTAAATATTCTACTTATTCCTTTTTTCGAAAAAGTTTAAAAAAAAAACCCCAAGATTTTTTAAATGAATTTTTATTGGAATGTCATATAAAAATCTAATGTCACTTTAGTGTACATATTCTTTGTTTAATGTAAATCTTCAGTTTTTGTGCTTTTTATGTTTCTGATAACAAGTTTCAGATTTTACTGAATAAGAGTTCTACCTTAAGTTTTGTGCAAATATCACATTTATATAGACTAAGACTGAAATTTTGTCTAACAGACCCTTCAATGCCTCTGAAGTACTCACCTGGAATCTAAGAACAACTCTGGCGAATTCAGATGCAAGCTTAACTGTACCTCTGGCAACAGCAGCACTCTGTTCCTTTACTCCTTCACAGGTAATAGAAGCAATACATGTATACCCCTCATAGTCAAAAAGTAGACATGTTCATATTTTACACACATGGTTTCTGCTTCATTGATTTGTATGATTTCTTAAAATGTGATTTGATTTTTATTTAGCATCTTATACACTAAACTTAGATCTCAAGGAATTGTCCTATATGCAGAGTTATGTCCCTTTTATAATTATGGCAAAAATAGAGTATATGTTTATTCATAATTTCAAGCTGATACAAATGAGAATAGAATTTTAAAAGTAGTTCTGACTACTTATTTGTATATCATACACACTTTCAGGTTTTAATGATTATTTTTGTATGTTATTGTCTTATAAATTTATTGTATATTAAATTAAGTAACTTTTTTTTTTATATTTTTTAGCCAATATTTACAGATACCACTGGATACTGTAAATGTGTTGAAGGCTATTGGGGACCTTCCTGCGAATATGATTGTCCAGGAGGTGGATTGAACAGTTGTTTTGGTAAAGGACAGTGTAATTCAACAACTGGAGATTGTACATGTGTGATTGGAGCTCAGGCTAGCACCAATTGTTCTGTTTGTCACACTGGCTGGACAGGAGATGACTGCAGTATCGCAGTTATTGGAGGAGGAGGAACAACAGGCTCATCCTCTAATTCAAGCATATTTTACGAAAGTGGTGGTGTGAAGACTTTTGATGGATCCGTGATGACTGTACAATCCCCAGGAGAGTATATACTAGCTGAAGGGACATTAACTGGCACAGGTGAAGCACTGGAAGTACATGTTGTAATGTCACCGGGCACACTAGGCATAACGTCCACATTAATGGCAAGTGTGTCTGTGGGAACAGATACACTGGTGGTAGTTGCTGGTGACGGAAACATAGACGATACCAAAACTTACTTCAATGGTGAGGAAACAAGCATTGGTTCAGGGTTGCCGATAGGATCAGTCACTTGTGTGAGGAGAGCCACCACCAAGATTGACTGTTCTGATAACACAGAAGTCAATGTCACTATTGATATTTCAACCTCTTCCCTGCCTGTGGTGAAGGTCGATCTGGATCCTAGTACCTGCAGCAGTACCAAAGGTCTGTCTGGTCACTGTGATGGAGACTCTACCAACGATTTCAAAACTTCGTCTGGAACTGTTTTGACAGGAGTGTCATTAACACAGACTTCTCTTCAGGATGAGTTTGCTTACTCCTACAAGGTTTCATCAGGAAACTCTGATGTATCTGATGTGGCCCCTGTTCCAAGCTGGGGAGGAAACGGTCTTGCAATTCATGGCAGAAGTGTGGAAATTGAGTCTTTGAAATCTTTTGCAGAAGATGTATCCCTTGAGATTAAGTTCTACCTAAATGAAGTCACCAGGTCATATCAGACAATTTTCTCGTACAACTCGTATGACGGTGTCAATGTTTTCTGTACCTTGGTCAAAGACGGTGCATTACATCTTTATACTTATCACAACAGTGACTTCCGTACATTCCCATCACTTATCGTAGAAGCTTATACATGGTACCATTATACTTTAGTATGGAACCATGCATCCAAGAGACTGAGTCTTTATTTGACAAAAGAAGACTTGAGTCAAACCACAGACTTTACTGTCTATGACCAGAGCTATCCTACCCCGATGGAACCTGGTGGCACTTTGTCGTTAGGATTTACTCGGTCAGATGTTGAATATGCTGCATGGGTGATGCGAGGAAAGATAGATGACATTCGGCTGTACAAGAAGATGCTTTCCTCAATTGAAATCCGGAATACTGCATTCACTGTACTTGGGTGCTCCACTGTATCCATGTTGTCCAACCGATGGACATTTGATGAAGGAAAGGGGACTGAAGCTGTTGATGCGGTCAGTCATGTCTATATGAAATTTAATCCCTTTGATCTACCAGAGTGGGTTCTTGTTAACTACACAATGTCATCATGTGCAAGTGTCAGCTCAGAAATATATGAACTACTGGAGACCAACACAGCAGATCCTGTTCTAACCAGCCAGTGTGAAGAAGTTTCTACCCAATTCCGTACATCTTGTGAAAGCAAAATTGGAAATGCTGCTTTTGAGAACCTTTTAGAAAATTGTTTCTTAAATTCATTGTTAGATGATGAAGCTCCTCTTAAGCACTTGGAATCACTGAGCGTTATATGTGATACTCCAGTGAATGACATCAACTGGCCTGGAAGGACATTATGTAACTCTTTCCCCATGGAAAAGTTCCCTCTGTGGAAGGGCTCATCGTGTAGCATGCAGTGTGAATCAGGAACTTGGGACAGTGTGACCAGCACTTGTCAATGTCGTGATGGATTCTGGGGAGAACAATGCGATGGTGTATGCCCAAGCTTCTTACAAAAGACATGTGGAGGAGGTACATGCAACATTACGAACGGTGTATGTACATGTCCACCATTCCTGGACCCAGCTCACAACTGTCAGAGATGCATTTCAGGGTTTGAGGGCTCGGACTGCTCAGTAATGTCTGCCACCATTTCTGGGGGTGCTACTGACGGAGTGTGTAGTGCTTTTGGAAGGGCCAACTTCATCATGTTTGACGGTCAATCATTCGTGCTGAAAGCAGCTAGAACAATGAAACTTGTGGCAACGTCCAACTTTAATGTGTACATAAAGCTTGCATTGTGTGGAGGTTCAAATGTCTCTTACTGTGTAAAACAGACGTGGATTGAATCACAGAACGAAAACTTTACTATGCAGTCTCCATTAGGGGATGGAGGTAATTTCAACCTTTACCATAATGGAACAGCACTCAGTTTCGATCAGGAGTATGATTTCACTGGATCTATTAAAATAGTCAAACATGACAAAAACACTCTCCGATTAGATGTCCCAGACGGAACTATCTATCTTAGAGAAGATACCGATTTCATTTCTACTACCATTTCTTTGAAGAAGTCTTCATATGCCTCTCAAACGTCGTGCTTGTGTGGGAACTTCGATGGTAACACCAACAACGATTTTGAAACAACAACTGGTACAGTATCTCTTACTGACATTACCCAGAAGGGAATTGACGAGTTCCAGGAAATAAATACTATTCCACCAACATCAGACACTGCCTTTTCTGACAGTTATGATGGGTTCACTCTACCCACAATGCCAAAAGGGTTTGGATTGCTGGTCAATGGATCTGGTGCAATTTCACTCCCAATGACTGACACCTTCAGCAGTGGTGGCAGTGGTTGTGTACAGCTGAGATTCAAAACAGAAACTGACAAAGGAATGATATTAGGTTACAAGGGGACAACATCTTCAATGTCAGTGAACCTCAACGGTTCTTCTATCATTGTACGCTGGGGAGGGAAAATCATGGAAACAAACTTCAGTGTGAATATAAATCAGTCATATGACATCTCACTTTCATACGATGACACCACAGAATCCCTTCGTACAGATGTGATAACTGGAGGCATCTTGGAGTACACTGAAACCTTCCAAAACTGCACCGCCAGAGTGTTTAGTGACGATGGATTAGTTCGGATAGGCAGCTGGAGTGATGATCCTCCCACGTCGATGGAGAAGGAACCTTTTATTGGAGAGGTGGATGATTTGAAGACTTTCAACACTTCTCTCAAGATTAACGAGACCCTTTATACTGTAAGCCATGACCTGGACAACAGCTTCTATGGTCTTAGCACTAAATTCACAATGGGGGAAGGAGATGGAAATCTGGCCATTGATAGCATTCAAGGACATAAAATATTTCTCCTTGGAAGTACGGTGTATTTCCCCAACGATAACGAGGATGATGCTAGTTCCTCACCCAACCTTCCAACAACATTCACAACTACTGCTGAAGATATTTGTGCCAATTTGACAACCTCAGTAGGAAAGACTTGTTCAAGCCTGGGTACACAAATGAAGGAACATTACTATACCATTTGTGTGAATGACATGATCGAAAGTGGAGATTCTGAAGCATATATCACTGTTGTGCAAGCATATGCTGACTATTGTGACAATGCCTTGAATCCTGTGAAGTCATCTTTGGAAGAAATTTGTGAGGACAAGACATCAGACCACTACCTGCATCTGTGTCTATATCAGTGCAAGATTGGGTATTTCAACCCAATAACCAGAGAGTGTGTATGTGAAGGATCGTGGGGCGAATACTGTGAAAATGTCTGCCCAGGAGGCGTGGAAACTCCATGTTCTAACAACGGTAATTGTGAGAGAGACACCGGAAAATGTACCTGTAAACCCAGTCATGACAATGCCACTGCCTGCTCTACCTGTCTTCCTGAATGGACAGGTACACACTGTGACATTATGGTGAATCCACCAGCCCCAACGACTACTCCAAGTCCTCCCACTACTACAGTTCCTGGAGCTACCACACAACCGCCTGTCATCACCCCTTCAAGGTCTACATTTGGTATATCAGATCAGTGTCATGTGAAAACATTCCAGAACATCAAATATAACTTTGATACTGTTGGAGAAAATTATATCACAAAGAATGTCAATTCTGCTACTCCTGATATTGCTGTCCGTACAGTTTACTGCGAAACAGAGGCAGTCTGTGTTGATGCAGTCTCGGCGAAATTTTCCACCTCTGAAGTAGTGCTGCAGGCTGGCGTCACATCTACTGACGACATCCAAGTTTGGATTAATGGTCAGAGGCATTCGTTTGATTTGAATGATACCAGTATACACCCAGATATCACCATCAGGGAAGTGTCCAAAAATGAGTTTGTTATTGAGAGCATTACTGGGAATTTCACCAGTATTCGTGTCAGACAAGTAGACCAACGTCTAAGTATGGTTGTGACTATGGACGATACACTATGTGACACACAGACTTATATGGCTGGAGGAATCTCCACTGGCCCATTAACCCAGACATACAGTACAGACTGGGCAGTCAATGCATCAGATAGTGCTTTTAATGTCTTAGCTGCTAGTAGCTCCTCCTCGTCCTACAACCCCTCGGGATACCAACAGTCAGTACCAACTGCAGGAAGCAGTTTGTATTTCAACAACTCTGTTATACGAAGCAGATTTTTGCAAGATGTCATCGATCAGGATAAGGATTTTACAGTTGGCGTATCTATTCGTCCAGAAGATGGAAACGGAACTGTAATTGTAATGGAAAACAAAGCCCCAGTTTCCGTGTTCATGGAAAATGACATATATAAAGTCCGTATGGGGGATGAAATATATGACACTGGTATTCTTGTTTCACAAGACGAATGGCAATGTATTTCCATTGCATTTGAATCGTCATCTAGAAAGGTGGACTTTTACAAAGCTACTAGTTCAAACGTGGAGCAAAAATCCTTCTTCAATACAAATGAGGATGTATTTGAAACAGGTGGTTTTATCAGCTTAGGGCAACCTACATTAGTGGATGTGCCCAAGTCAGACGGCGAGAGTAAATATTTTACTGGAGAATTGGACGAACTGAAAATTGACAACAAACCATTAACATATAATGAGATAGTAGCTACAGCCTTGTCTCGGGTTCCAGACCCTGCTCCTACCTTGGTAACCCACGTAGACTTCAATGAGGTTGAGGGGAAATACATAAATGACAACATTGGCAATACTGACTTTTTCCTAGTAGATTCTCCCGTGTCAACAACTGCACCTAAGCGACAGACATCAAGTCTGGTGCTACCAGATATAGCAGTCAAGTCATCACACATCAATTCTAACAGTACAATCCAGGCTGAAATAGATTCAGCTTGCAGAGCTGCTGTTTATGTTTCAGCATTTAGTGCCTGTGAAAATGCCCTTCCAGGATTTCTGGATTATGCCTTCTTTATGTGTAGAAGTGATATGGCCTCCACCGGGAAGAACACAACAATACTGAACACTGTTATTTACATGGCGGACATGTGTGAGCCAACTGTTGGTACCTGGCCAGCGAAGTCTTTATGTAACGATTACCCAGCAGAAGAGTTTCCAAACTGGTATGGCCCTAATTGTGATGTCATGTGCAAAAGTGCAATTGGTGTAGATAGCAATGGGGTTTGTATTTGTAAAGATGGTTACTATGGTGCTACCTGTGATAGAATCTGTCCAGGAGGAACAATTAGTCCATGTAACAACAGAGGTTTGTGTAATCAGACGACTGGAGCCTGTACCTGTCAGTTTAACTGGGAAGGACCAGGATGTACCAGCTGTATATCAGGTTTCTACGGGGAAAGTTGTGCTATCAATGTTCAAGACACTACCTTCTCAGGTTCCAAAAATTATGCTAGTTTTTCAGGAAATGGTCATTTACATGCACTTGATGGAGCTAGTGTCCCATTCCACCTGAACGGTCCCTACACCTTTTACAAGGATTCAACCATCAACATTCAAACCCTCACAGGATCGTGTAAGGATTTCTCAACCTGTGTTGGTAAAACGGCTATCAAAATTGGTTCAGATGTTGTAGAAATAAGTCCAACACAGCCAAATAACATCACTCTGAACGGTAACGCACTAGAGGTTGTGACATCGCAACCAATTGGTTCAACAGGTTACTCGCTCGTGAGAGATGCCAAAAACAAGGTCAAAATCAGGTCAACATCTGGGGACTTTGATCTTGGTGTTACAACCAATGATGGTTATATCAACTTGGATTTGGAAGTAGAGACTTCAAATTGCCAGTCAAGCACTGGATATGTAGGTTTCTGTCAGAACAAGAACCATGCCTGCTCATCTACAGACCATGCCTGCATTGTGAAGGGCATTGGTATAGCAAAAGCCAGTAAAACCGTGACAAATTTGAAATCAGAAGCAGTGATTGAATACTTTGACCAATTCAAAGTAGATGATGCAGACTCTATATTCACAAACAAGATGGGAAGCACTGGCTTTGGTGTGGAAATCACTGAGAATGGCTTCCTGTCTACAGCACCACTTGCTGAAGACTTTTGGACAGAGAGTACAACATCAGATTATGTCAGCATGGAGATTCAAACAGTACTCTCAAACATCGATCGGACTGGGAGCAATGGCACACTGATCTCTTATGGAGAAGACCAGACATTTGCTATCACCATAGTAAATGGCTTTTTCATGATACGGTATGGAAAACTGGAATTCAATACCTCTGTGAGTGTTCAGGAAGATGTCTCCAGCCAAGTGGCAATAGTCTACAACAATGCAACAGGCAAACTTTTATTCAACTATGTGTATATTGATCCACCTAAAGGGAGAAACGAGAGTGTTTCAAAGCAAGCGTTTGTTGACATACCCCCAGGAGCCTTTACAAAGGAAGGATCTCTAGCAGTGGGTGCTTGGATGCCGACTATGGGTGATGCAGGAACACTTCCCACTGGAACATTTTGTGGGGTTATTGACAGTGTGTATTTGTTTGAAGAAGAATTGTCACCAACAGAAGTGTACATCGACTTTCAGACACCAGTAGACAGAGACAAAGATAGCCTTGTTCTTGGATTTGAGTTCCCTGAAGGATCCGGCAAAAGTTCTGTTGACTTTGTCCAAGGTGCTAACATTGGATTTAGTGACATAGGAACAAAATGGGTTGATTCAAATACAACCTTAACTACAGCAGTCCCTACAACTCTAGAGGTGGCAAGTACAACAAATGTGTCAGATGACATTGTCAATATGTGTAAAGACCTTATACTGTCAAGTTCAATGGCCCAGGAATGTTCGTCCATGACCAATAGTTTACAGTCACATTTCCTTTCCTGTGTTGATGACTACCACTTGTCCTCCGACATTTCTGCCACACTTGATAGCACTTTGGACATGTCAGAATTGTGCCAGACAAAGGAAAACCTTGCGACACCACCAGCACAACAGCTCTGTGGAGTCTATTCGAACACAGATGCGGAATTCCCTCTTGGCAAAGGTCAGTCCTGTTCTACAATGTGTATGTTTGGATATGTCAATGATACAACAGACCAGTGTGTCTGCTCTCCCGGTGCTTATGGGGAATCTTGTGACAAGGAATGTACAGGTGGGTTCTCAACCCCCTGTAACAAACACGGCATCTGTGACAAGACAACTGGAACTTGTTCCTGTGAAGAAAACTGGAGTGGTAGTAGTGACTGTTCCTCCTGTACCTCAGGACTCACTGGGGCCAATTGTGACTCCTTCATCCCTTCAATACCAAAAGGGAAACCTGTCTGTACGACCCGGGGAGCTGGATCATACCTTAATTTTACAGGCTACAACAACAAGGTCACAGAGACTGGAATTAGAGACCTGTATGTGATGGACAACCTCAGAGTTGCTGTAAGTATATAATTTAGATATATAAGTAAAATTTAGATAATTATTTTATCATATTTTATGTATTTCTTTTATGTATACATTATTTTACTTAAAAAAAATTTGTTTTAAAAAATATGGTCTAATTGCAGAAATATAAGGTACATGTGTTTTGATAAAAGTTATATATGATATTATTCAGTATATAAATTGCTCTAGTGATGACCTTTCCCCTGTTTCAGGCCTACTATTCAGTGTTTAAAAATGCTAGAGGACGAATGCGAATTCGTACAGAAAAAGTTGCCCTCGAAGTCCATAACACCACTGTTGTGTTCCTCCTCAACACAACAGCTGTTGTTACAGAGACAAACAAAAAGCTCTGGAATTCAATATACATCAACCAAGAAAAGGCAGTAGTCTCCAAAAAGAACAAAAAGAATATATTTGTCAACAACGGAGACTGCAAACTCAAAATAAGAAATCCAAGAAATCGCAGATATGTGGTCAAACTGGATGACATTGGCTTCAAGATGGTAGTGCAGCCACGTAAAAACAACATTCTTACTGTCATTAAGATTGCGGAGGACTACTGTTGTAATGCTATAGAACGAGGTATTTGTGGAGATTGTAATGGCTGTATGGAATCAACTACTTGTGGTATTGGCAATACAACAGCTATCATAGCATCAGCAACAACAACACCAACGCCAGCAACAAGTACTGCCAACCCGGTGAGTGGCTCCCAGTCTACTACCTCTGACTGTGTGTTCGAAGTTTCTGATGTTGCGGCATGTTCCAGTGGAGAGAGTCAGGGTGGAGGAAATACGGTGTGCTTCAATGATTCCTCTATAATTGCCAGAAACTTAGATGTATTCAATTCTAGTTTCATCACACTTGAGTTCCTGGTCAAGACCTGTGCATCACCAGAATGCTATGGAACAATGTTGTCATTCACCAAGTTTGAGACATTCACCATAAAACACCTTGGTACTGTAGTGTTAGGATATGGAAACTATGTATATGATACTGGTCTAACACTGGAAGATGACCAGTGGAATCAGATATCTCTTGTTATTGACAGTAGAAAGTTGTGGAAGAGACTCTTTATCTATGTGTTTAACTCAGCTGGCATGATTAAATATGACAAGATGATATACAAAGGAGTTACCCCCCTTATCAATGACGGTACCATGGTACTTGGTCGCTGGCAGCCATCCTCTGATGGAGGAAGTGAGCAACCATTAGACGAACACTTTGTAGGATGTATAGAGGAATTACGAATTTGGAATTCGTAAGTATTTATTTGTTCATCTGTTGAATCATCTGATTTACTGAAGTGTTGGTTATGTTGCTGTTAGCCATCTTATAAGGTTTTCCAACAGAATGATATTTGTAATTAAACAGACAGAAAATTGCAGAACCTTGCATTCAAGTTTTTGATTGATTTGGAAAATTGTATGACTTTTTTCTGGCATTAAGACTTTTTATGAAAACATAATTAAAAAAGTCATTTGTCAGCTGTCTTTTAAAATTGACACAGTAAATTTATGTTCTAAAGCTACATTGCACTTACTTGATCATTTGGTTCCTGCGCAGATTGAGTTTAAGCAATTTGTTATTAAATTAAATTGAAGTATTTTTTATTTTGTATCCTTTTAAATAGGTACTTTTCAACGCTGAGCATCCTTACCCACTGGAACAGGGCTTATGATCCTGTTACGGAAGATAATCTACAAATTCTTTGGAAATTTGACAGAGAAGAAGGTAAATTCTCTACAAACTCTGTGATCTTAATTGAATTTAATTATTTGAAGTTTTTCAAAGGACCACTTAAATACACGTTTTTTCTAAAATCACTAATTTATCACTTTGGTTTATGAACACAGTTTGATTGACACTGAATGTTTGAAATATTACATGTAGAAGTGATGTTAATGATTTCTAGCAGTATCTTGCCAGAAGTTTCATGTTGAAATTTAAAATCTAGTTGTATGTAGGAATGGACAGCAAATGTTGACATAATGAAAATGGTTAAAAAAGCTGTAGGGTATAAATCTGACACAAAAAGTTACAGAAGCAAATTTTTTTGTTTGAAGAATGTAAGTTAGTAAAAGATTGAATAATTATGTAGTGAGTTAATTGTCCAATTATGGCAGAAATTTGCCTCTTTGTTTATCTTCATATTTGTCAATGTTAAAAAAGATAAAACTCAATTTCCTATTAGCACCATGAAATCAGTGTGCTCTAGAAATGAATAAGGGTAAGAATACATACAATAAACATTATGTCTTGGTTGTAACCAAATAATACAATACTGAGTGCAGAAAAAATTTTGTATATGCAACAATAGTCAAAATTATCTGCACTGCATCTCTGATTTTGCTTTGTTTTCTGTATCTTGTTATATATGGAGATATGACGGATTGCTTTTTGCTGCTTCTGTGACCCAAGGTCATATACATAATAGCAAATCAAAGTTGTGCTGGCCAATTTTGGAAAGTAGAATGAGGGAAAAATTTTTTTGAGAATTGTCATACAGGTTGCTAAGGAAGTCCATGTGGCAACTTCTGTGTAAATGCCTACCACAACAAAAATTTGTATACACTTGTGATATGTGGGTTTACTTTCCATTCATAATGGAAGCATGCCCCTTCTCTCTATCTTCATATTGTGGATGTTTAAAATATCTACAATATTACTTTTTGCCACATCTGGCAAGGCATAACTTTTTGATCAATAGATAAAAATGACCTTTGATAATTACAGAAGGTCATTAGAAGGCAGTTACATACAATAAGCCTCCATTAGATCTCCTTGTAATGAAGAGCAGAAAACAAAGTGAAATTAGAAATTTTTCTTTTTTTGAATTGTCATTTATTAGCACATTCATACCACAAATGCATTAATTAAAACGATGCAATTTTACACCATTGTAATTTCCACCATCACTTGTTCAAGTTATTTCCATGGTAGCAGAAGAAAGATAAATTTATATCACTAATGTTGGCCTTGTGAAACTTTATTTCAGATCCAGGACAGAGTATGTTTTACACTAAATCTACTATATATTCCACTAACTGTGTGTCTCCTACATCTGACATAATCCTATATCTTAATCCACATGAGGATCTGACTGCTACATGTGACCTTATCCTTTATCTTAATCCACATTAGGATCTGTCTCCTACATCTGACATAATCCTATATCTTAATCCACATGAGGATCAGACTCCTACATGTGACCTAATCCTATATCTTAAATCCACATGAGGATCTGACTGCTACATGTGACCTCATCCTATATCTTAATCCACATGAGGATCTGACTGCTACATGTGACCTAATCCTTTATCTTAATCCATATTAGGATCTGTCTCCTACATGTGACCTAATCCTATATCTTAATCCACATGAGGATCTGACTGCTACATGTGACCTAATCCTTTATCTTAATCCACATGAGGATCTAAACTCCTACATGTGAACTAATTCTAAACCTTAATCCACATGAGGATCTGACTGCTACATGTGACCTAATCCTTTATCTTAATCCATATGAGGATCTGACTGCTACATCCACATGACTGACTGCTACATCCATATATCTTAATCCACATGAGGACTGCTACATGTGACTCCTACATGTGACCTAATCCTATATCTTAATCCACATGCTACAGGATCCACTGACTGCTACATGTGACCTAATCCTGATTATATATCTTAATCCATATCCTACAGTGATCCACATGAGGATCAGACTCCTACATGTGACCTAATCCTATATCTTAAATCCACATGAGGATCTGACTGCTACATGTGACCTCATCCTATATCTTAATCCACATGAGGATCTGACTGCTACATGTGACCTCATCCTATATCTTAATCCACATGAGGATCTGACTGCTACATCTGACATAATCCTATATCTTAATCCACATGAGGATCTGACTCCTACATGTGACCTAATCCTATATCTTAAATCCACATGAGGATCAGACTACTACATGTGAACTACTCCTATATCTTAAATCCACATGAGGATCTGACTCCTACATGTGACCTAATCCTATATCTTAATCCACATGAGGACCTAATCCTTTATCTTAATCCATATTAGGATCTGTCTCCTACATGTGACCTAATCCTATATCTTTATCCACATGAGGATCTGACTGCTACATGTGACCTAATCATATATCTTAAATCCACATGAGGATCTGACTGCTACATGTGACCTAATCCTTTATCTTAATCCACATTAGGATCTAAACTCCTACATGTGAACTAATTCTAAACCTTAATCCACATGAGGATCTGACTTCTACATGTGTACTGATTATATATCTAAATCCACATGTATCCTACATGTGACATAATCTATATCACATGAGGACTGCTACATGTGACATGTGCTACATGTGACTGATTATATATCTAAATCCCTTTACTCCTACATGTGACATAATCCACATATGAGGATCTGACTGCTACATGTGACCTAAACTTAATCCACCTATACATGTGAACTAATTCTAAACCTTAATCCACATGAGGATCTGACTTCTACATGTGTACTGATTATATATCTAAATCCACATGAGGATCTGAACTCCTACATGTGACATAATCTTATATCTTAATCCATATGAGGATCTGACTGCTACATGCACAAGAAGTCCAACTTCTATGACTTAATCAGATTTCTACATGTGACCCTTTTGATTTTGAGATTAGACAAAAATATTTATATTTTTGCATACATATGTATATATGCTTTCTCTATACAAATGTGTGTTCTTTATTTAGTCTATTTTTAGTTTGCTTCCCTTAACATATAAATTGTATAGCTGTAATTTCAAATCTATCATCAAATGTTTGGATATTTTGATTGCTTTTTGCCCATTGATCTGTCGTCAAACAGTCCGTAGCAATTTCACCTTTTATCTGGAGAAGCACAGGATGGATAATTCTCAGATTTATTATATAGGTTCCTCTTGGTCCCTAGGTGTGGTTAGTTTGTTTTTAAGATATTAGAAAAAAAATGGCTGACTGGTGTCTGTCTTAGATTTTGAAAATGTTGTTTATTGTAATTCCTTGAGAAGAACATCATGAATCTTTTGTATGTAGATTACTCCTAGTCCTTTGTTAGGCCCATTTGATTTTAGGACTGATAAGACAAAAATAATTGCTAACAGGTACCCCTTGATTGCTCGTTATGCCCTTTTGACTTTTGGACTGAGGCCCAGCTTGTGGATTTTCAGAATGAAAATTTGTTATCGCTATAATTTGAGAATTTCTGGTTGGCCTCTCTCCATTTTCAGTTGTTGATTACCCTAACTCCTTAGATGTGGGCTATAGATTTTGGGACTGATCAGAATGAACAAGCTGGTCATCATCTTGGACTTGAGAGTTAAAGATTATTATTGTAATTTCATATAATTTAGAGCAAAAATAATGCAAAGTAAAGAAAAGATGGGAAATGATCCAACTTTTGAAGGGAAATTATAGATCAAACAATGGTGGTTGCTAAGATCCACTAGGGATCTTGTGTTATACTATTTCTCACTTTCGTTGACAATTGTTGATAGATTTGTCGTATTTACACATATAATAACTGTATAAATTTTACATATTTGTTCTTGATAAACTTATGTATTTACTCTGTTATTTGTACTTAATGTAAAAGTTTTCGTTGAAGTTGTAAATCTTGCTAGGCTGAACATTAATGTCGCTATTATATTTATTATGTATCTAGGTAAAAATGAAACTATTTTATCAGGCAGTATATAATGTGATGATGTTTTTTTGTAATATTTTAATATGTGTATGAAATTTATAATGGAGGTGAACATTATATTCCTAATGGTGATAAAAATATTTCTTTTTGACATTATTTTAATCAAACTTGATCTTGAATGACTGCATACAAATATGTATAAACAGTCAGTACAGATCTTATATCAGAACATTTATTTATCATACAGAACTAAAGACCTATGATGAGAGTGATACTTACTACTTTGAAACCTTACCTAACCCATTCCAAGGAGGACTTCTTGTAGCATCAACAGCACCAGTACCATTCTACGAATCCTCGTACGAAGTTGTTGGAACTGCACGCCGCAGGAGGAAACGATCAGTGACGGTCAATTACAACACATTCTGTGATCGTGTTTTCACATCCACTGCATTCTCCAGGTAATTACAATATTCAAATATTCAATGAAATACAAATTGTTAGACCATATTACTCATCACTGCATTGCTGTACTTCATTAAATCTAGATGTTCATCAACTTCAAATTCATTTCTTAATTCAGACTGACAGTATGTTGTATACATTTCCACTACAAAATTCGTGAGCTGTGTGGATCGGTAAAAAGAATGACAAACTGAATTTAACAAATGATAAAGAGCCATGATTATGTATTCCATTCATTAAAATATTTAGTCATGGAATAAACAGAAACAGGAAAGTCATTGGATACTGTAAACATACTTAATTTGGCACAATAAAATTTATCACCCGTTTTCACAAAGTGGTGTACAAGCAACATGTAGAAACCTCAGTTTTTAGAATCATGTTTAGTGTGTAACTTTCAGGGCAAAAAAAAAATTTATTGACATTTACAGTAAGCACATATGAAATCATCAAAAAAATGATGTAGTGTCTTGATAATTAAATTGATTCATGGCCTTATCAACTTAACTAACAAGTTGTTAATATGATTGATTCATTATTTGAATGAGTGATTTATCACTTGAAAATCTTTACTTCTAATCTGGACCCCTCTCCCTCTTGTAATTTTGAATTCATTAATATCTATAATTCAATGATTAATTCACTTCAGATGGTATTGAATCAATGTGAATGATATTCAATAATTACGGTAATTTTGAGAAATCTTCTGATAACAGACTATTGACAAAGGTTTTGCGTTTGTTTGCAGTATTTGTGCCCCATCTGGAGCCTCTGTTCAGACTTACTACCAGGGTCAGTGTTCAAGCGCTGTAGATGATGATGAACTAGAAGATGTTTTACTGGACTACTCCACCTACTGTGAAAATGTCCTGTCTTTGAGTACCTGGCCTGGCTACACCCTTTGCAATGACACTGACTTCAACACAATGTTTGGCAGCTACTGTAATCCAGAGTGTTACTACGGGACCAAGTCAGGCACAGATTGTGTCTGTCTCTATGGCTACTGGAACACTACATGCGACACAGAATGCCCTGGTGGCGCCACTAATCCATGCTCTGGACATGGTACGTGTGATGGTGATACTGGCCTTTGCACATGTCCTGTAAACTATCAGGGAGCTGCAGACTGTTCTTTATGTACATCTGGATGGATTGGAACTGATTGTGAAATATCCGAGAACCTTGCCATGGTAACAGATACACGACTTGCCTCCTCTAATCAACTAGGATATATGTACAACTTGGATGGACTTGGTTTTCTTGTCAGAACCATTGGAGAGTATATTTTACTGATGATCAGTGACAATGTTCTTGTTGAAGCAAAGATGGTGAGCTGCTACCATAACTTTACGTGTACCACCTTTATGTCCTTCAGGATTGGTGACAACACTAACGGTTACATGCAAGTTACCATTCAAACTCCAACCAAGCCATTTACAAATCCCACTGTTTACTTGAACAATGCTCTGTATTCATTGGATTCTCCAATCTATTACCAAGGCTTTTCCATGGAGAGAGAAACAGTCAATAGTTTGAAATTCACAATAAACAACGATGTAGTTCTGTTGGTTCGAGTTCAGAGTCGGTTCCTGACCCTGCAGGTTACAATGCCTTTAAGTCTTCTTCCTGTCACACAAGGATTACTGAGTGGGTCTGGTTCTACCTTGAGCAGTGACAAGTTACAGCACTTGCAGCAATCACAAAGTGTACAGCTGGGTGTATGCAACTCCGTGGCTGGTACCCAGGCCTACTCATCCACACCAGTGGGAGGAAGTATCACTTGGTCTAGTGTGAACATCAACAGAACAGCCTCTGCAAATACCTTCACCGACATCAGCAGGTATCAAGTCCAGACATGTGACAAGATCATCTACTATCCCGATGCTTCTTATGAGGCACAGATGAATGGCGGATACAGTCTGAAATATGATACCTCTATTGCCATGGCAGAGGTTATTGACTTCAACACTCTTGCTGGAACAGATATTACCTTTGAATTTGTGGTCAAATTGTATTCAACAAGCACTTACGGCGGAGTTTTGTTTTCCTTTGTCAATGAAAAATCTCTAGTTGTTCAAAGCAGAGATACTATCGAAATAATTTATGATGGCACAACGTATGCCTCCAATTTAACCTTGGAACGAGATGTGTGGATAAAGATGGTGGTAGTGTACCAAGGAGCAAGTGGACAATTTGATATTTACCAATTCAACAGCACTGGATTTGTTTACAGATATACTGATACACTTCCACTTGGAGTGTTTACCAACTCAGGCACTTTGTCCTTAGGACAGTGGATTCCTGCAAAGCTGACAACAACACAAACACAACCAGTGAGTCTTTCTGGCGAATTGGATGATTTTCTGGTATGGAGGATTAAGATCGAACCTAATGTAATTGTAGATGTCTGGAGGATGCATCCACTTGATGTCAGCCATCTACTGCTTCTGATGTGGACATTTGATGAAGGTTACGGGTCAACCTCATATGATGGATTACAGGGCAAGACATTCACTTTGCCTGAAGCTCCCTGGTCAGTACCAACATGGGTTCCTTCTGACTTGGTTTACGATAGACTGTCCTACCCAGGCATTTCTGATGTTTTCTACACCAGTGATGCTCAGAGGTTGCAGGGAGAAGAAATTTGTACAGAAATAACCAATTCTACATCTCAGTTAGGAGCACTGTGCAGCGCCATAACAGAGTCAACAAAGCAAGTGTTTTACCTGCAGTGTCTCCATGCACTTACCGGCAGTAGAGACAGTATTCCTGCGTATGATGTTGTGGTATCCTATGCTGAGATTTGTGATCACTCACTGAACATAACAACTGCTGAAACAGCAATATGTAGCCAGCTGGACCATGATTCCAAGATAAACACTCTCTGTGACACCAGTCAGTCCTGTTCCTTTGGAACACCACTCTTGAATGGATCATGCATCTGTACTTCTGGTTACTATGGTACAACCTGTTCTAGCCAGTGTCCTGTAAGTTCATCCAACCCATGCAACAACAAGGGAGTATGTGACGCCTTGGGAACGTGTACATGCGACTGGAACTGGGGCGGTACCACTTCCTGTACTTCCTGTAGTAACGGAATGGATGGTCTTGATTGTCAGGTGTTAGTCACTTCAGCCATCACTTCAAGTGGCAGTCCAGTTGCTTATGTGAGTGGATCCGGAGCTTTCATGGGATTCAATGGCAAACAAGTAGCACTCGAAGATTTGAACGGTCTTTACACTGCCTTTTACAAGGCAGGAAAGATAGACATCCAAGTGTACAAAGTTAGCTGCCATGTTGGTTCATGTATTGCGGCAATTGGTATAGCAACAACCGATGACGAAGTTGTTATTGTATCCGGAGGTGCTGATGCATTGCCACTTGTTTATGACAACAATACACTAGTTACATTGACAACCCTGTCAACGGACCTTAGTTCAACCTTCAAAGTAGAGGTGAAATCTCTCCGAACGGTAGAGCTGACAGTGAAGACACCAGAAACTACAACAATTACACTTCTGATGCAGGATTATTCTATTGATATGACGATTAAGACAGTGACTGCTGTCTGCACGGGTAGTTCAGGGATCATTGAAGCTTGTGGAGCTACCAGTGTCTACACAAGTATGAACAACACCGACCTTGAAACCCATATCAATACCAACTACAGGGCAACCTCAGGGCCAGTTGTCAACACACTTGGGTCAGGCATTATTGGGGATGCCGGATTTTCCCTTGCATTCAACAGGACAGCAGCCACAACATCGGAGATTCAATATGGGTCCAGCTACTCTCTGAATGGAAGAAACTTTAGCATCAGTGCTTACTACAAACCAAATGCAGATGGCGGTGTCATCATGTCTTATGGCAGAAATACAACCTTTGCTATACTCAACACAAACCCACTTGCTCTACAATGTGGAACCACAGTTGTTGAGAGTTCAGCTTCGTCAACCATTGGTTCCTGGAACCAACTTGTACTATCCTTTGACACCAGCTCTAGCACATTAAACTTGTACCACTACAGTACAAGTACAAGCATCATATATCAAACCCTGTCCTTCAGCTGTTCAAATGTATTTTCTGCTAATGGAACAATCGCTCTTGGTGCCTGGACACCTTCAGTCGATGACATAAAACATACGGTGAACGCTTCCTATGAGGGATACATCGATGAAGTTTCGATCTGGACTGAAATAATTCCTACTGAACTCATCTTCCAAGCCCAGAGTTTAAACGTAAAAGTATCTGGATTTGCCAGTAAAGTGTCATCTCTTTACATGTTCTCAGCAGGAGTTGGATATAGCGTCTACGACAGCATCCATGGTAACACCATTGATTTGCCAAGATCACCATGGCAATCTCCCACGTGGACTATTTCCGATTTGTACCTTAGAACAATAACATCAGAAAGTACAACTGCTTCTACAACAACGCTATCAACTGCAGAGCCCTTCTGTGCCCAGTTCTTCGGATCTGGTACAGTTAGCTCCAACTGTGGTGGAATGTCTTCACAGAGTCTTTGGTGGTTCAAACAGGAGTGCATTGAAGTTGTTACCAACACTGGAAACTTCAGTTTAGGTATCGTCCCAATGGCAAGTTTCATAGCTACATGCACTGCAACTGGTGGATCTGCGACCAACCTGTACAGTGTCATCGACTCCTTAACCAATGTAAATATCCCAAGCTGGATAACAGACGAGTATAGGACATGCTACTTTGGCGTCTACACCAATGGTACCTGCAAATGTAACTATGGATTTTATGGATCTCAGTGTGACAACACTTGCCCCAATGGCTTCATCAATCCTTGCAACGGTTATGGTTCCTGTGACACCAGTGGAACCTGCCAATGCGCTGGGCATTTTACTGGAGCAACTTGTGACAGTTGTGCAACCGGATGGAGCGGAGACGAATGTATCATACTCTCAACTGGACAAACCACCAGTCAGGCAACGCTGGTAGCACAGGGAACAACACTCGGCCAGGTTGTGACTTTGGATGGAATAGCATTTGACGTTACCAGCATAGGAATCTATAACTTGCTCACTGATGCAGCTGTAGCAAAAGCTTTTTACGGTTATTTCGCGCAGTGCGATTCATCGGTTTCCGGAAGTGGCTTTTTATGCATGAATGGAATGGTGATAGAACATGCATCAGTCTATTATGGAATTAAGACAGATAGTTTCCAAACCACACAATTGGTTGTATACACCAATAGCCTGCCAATCAATGTGTACACTTCCCAGACAATCGGCACGATGACCATAACCTTTGTTACCTCTACTCGAGCTGAAATCACGTTCACCGACTCTGAAATCAGCGCAAAGGTGTCCCTGATCAGTGGCCGTCTTTTAACAACAATATCTGTTGAACAACAGACTTGGGTGTTACATTCAAACGACCTGAGCGGACTTCTGTCATCATGCAATACCACTGAATCAATCCTACTGGGTACATGTGGGGTGACCAGATCTCAGATATGCAGTGGCACTGCCGGGTTTACATCAGCCTCCGGATGTGCTTCTTCACTTACCATGGCAGCTTTATCCACTTTTGCTAAAACATTCACCACTAATGACACCACAATCGTTAGTATGATGAGCAGTACATCTATTCCCACTGATTCCAACTGTCTTCTCTATAGTGGGAGTGGCAATAGTGTAGAAGGTCTGTTGTTACCTGCAACCTACATGACTCTTGAGTTGTATGTAAAACCTACAGCAGTTGGCGGCATCATTTTTGCCTATGGAGTGAATGGGAACACTTTCCTTTTGGCAGACACCAGTGCTGGACTACAGATACAAGTTCAGAGTACAGTGTATCCGACAACACTGAATCTAGTGCTTAATGTCTGGAACCAAATCAGCTTGGCATATAGACCAAATGTTGGACTTCTAGAAGTCTATGTTATTGACAATGCTGGTGTATCCAACGTGAAGGCAGTGCCTGTCGATTCAGCTGTTCTGGCATCCGGAGGAACACTGACATTCGGTCAGTTAGGCACTGGTATGTCTTCTACACTCGCGGGGTCATACACTGGATATATTGACGAAGTGCGGATATGGGAACGAGTTCATAACCCTACAGTGGTAGCCAATAACCCGAAACTGACAGTTTCAACAAAAACACCAGACCTCTACCACGCGTGGTCATTCAATGACGGAACAGGTATCAAAGCAACCGAACTGAAGCAGAACCAACACATATATGCTCTAGATATTGCAAATCCGCCGGTGTGGGTCGAATCGGATCTGGATTTAACCGAGGATCCTGCTATCTCACTACCAGACTACACAACAACTTCACCCCAGTCTGTTGTATCTACAACCATCTGTAATACGCTAATACAAAGTACAGAAATGACAACTGCGTGCACAGGACTCGCTGATTTACAGACTTCTGCCCTCCAACAGTGTGAAGCACTCGTGACAGCCACTGGAGATCAGACTGCTGCTGAAACAGTTGCGCTTAATACTGCCGAATTGTGCCAGGCAACCAACAATTTGACTCAGTCTCCTGTAGAAACACTGTGTACTTCTTTCAGCAGTAATACCAACTATCTTTTATCCTATGGGGGTGGATGTTCTTCACAATGTGTCTTTGGATCAACCAGCACTGGATCCTGTGTATGTGATTCGAGCCATTATGGTGCTAGCTGTGCTAGCACATGCCCTCTTGGAAATTCTGGAGCTTGCAATGGACAAGGTACATGCGAGTCAAGCGGCAGTTGTTCATGCACCTATCGCTTCTACGGAAACACTGTCAGGACTTCGGCTTACTGGGATGGACAGAATACCAATGTTCCTGTGTCAGGAACTTCTGCATCATGTTCACAATGTTCCAATGGATGGGCCGGGAAGGAATGCACGCTTGCAATAGAAGCTGCCAGTGCAACCGCTTCAAACCGTATTGGATTTATATATGGACCTTATGTAACAACTCTCGACGGCGCCTCATACCAAATCAACTCGGTAGGAGTCTACAAGGCTCTGACTTTGGCCGGAGTAGACGTACAGATTCTTTTTACTCCATGTCCAGGAGACATCAATTGCAGAGAAGTGAAAGAAATTGCATTTGGAAGCTCGGTCAGTATCACAATCAACAATGGCACAATGGAACCAACAATAGCAGGTGCCTTGCAGGTTTTCCCTGTTACAACCGAACATGGAAGCGTTACACTGAAATGGATCAAGGAGCCTTATATCAGAATATCTGTTGGAAGTAGTAGTGCTGTTGTCTCTTACAGCAGCATGGGTCTCATCTGTAGATTCAAAGTAGTTTCGTCAGACGCAAGCACAAATACAGGGCTTTTAGGCAACAGTGATGGTTCTTGGTGGAAAGATTTCCTATCTAGTACTGATAGTTCCATAACAAACACCACGGTAGCAGAAGACCTTCTGACCAAAACGTATGTCGGGACAGTATTTCAAACGAAAGCAGGAGAACAAACATTCACTCCAACCGTTCTTGATCCAGCATATGAGGCTAATATTACAACAGCAGGATATGTCATGCATGTTACTGATCAGACAATTGCATTTACGTCTGTCCACACGACCGCAGATATCACTTCACTTACAATTAGCTTCTGGCTTCGTGTCGAATCACATTCGTCTAACAGTCACAGCGTGATAGTGTGTAACACTGGAACTCACAATCTGGAAATAGTGATGTTGAACGGTAACCTCCGGGTGATATGGCAGAACACGTCTATCGCCGACTCCATAACATTGACTACGAACACATGGACGTACGTCGCATTGGCCTGGCAGTCCTCGGACGGAAGTCTAATGGTGTACTCGATTTGCAACAATGCACTGCAATATAAAGCATTCAGTAATGTTCAACTTGGAAATAGCATCAACATGGACAGCATATCAATCATAGGAAATTCCGCGTCATTCGTAGACGTTGAAAATTTGAAAATGTGGAATAAGGTAAAAACAATTCAAGAACTTATATTGGACATGGAGAAATACCAGAGCTCAGACATTGATATGAATGGGTTGTTGATCCTGGCACAGTTTGATGAAGGTACTGGAGCTACCACAGCTTTGTCTTACTATCCTACGGCAGGAACGTCAAACGTTGTTTCCGGATCGATATCCGGCGGCTCAACAAGCACTGTGTGGATGGCATCATCGGCTCCTATTCCTAGTTTTTATCCGGCCCTTGACATACAATCAAGTATCCAAAGAAATGATACGTTGAGTACTTGTTTATCAGCATTATCCGACCCTCTTTTTTCACAACATTGCTCTGGTGTCGACAACCTGAAGGATTTCCTGTTGGAAGTCTGTATCACTGAATACGAAAAACTCGGTAATTTAACAACAAATGAAACTATCCTGTACAATATGATCTTTTACTGTCAGGGAACTTTTGACGTGGATGAATGTGAACTTGACGGCTATTTCGACTTCTGTACCGATGAAGAATCTCCTGATGATGGAGCTGGTATGATCATCATCATCATTGCAGGAGTCGGCGGGTTTTGCCTTATCCTCTTTATCATTATAATAATTTGCTGTATCAAGAAGAAAAAGAAAAAGAAGGCGGTCAAAGACATGTCGGAGGAAGATTATGAAAATGAAGGGTTTGACACGTCATCTGATTACATAGGAATAGGAGGCATATCTTCCACTGCCAACTTCTTCCCTAGCCAGCCACCATTAAGAACTGATCGACGTTTCAGTAGGCAGCACTCTATGACATCTATATCAACTGCTGCCTCTGCTTCGTCTATCGTGTTTGGCGAACAATTTGGACAGTTAGATTATGATGGCAGACCGCCATCAGGACTTAGCGATTTGTTCCGTCCAGACCCGCGAAAGAGTTCATTCTCTCCTACTCCATCATTTGATGGAAGACGTGGTTCCTCAATTACCGTTGCTAGTGCTGATAACTCGTCTGGGATGCAAACAAGCTCTTTCATTTTGCCCAAGCCACCAAAGAAATCCTCTGCTATCCGTCCAGAGAGAAGTAATAAAAGCGGGAGACCGTCAAATAGTCGTCCTAGCTCAACAGCGAAAACGCCTGATCCTAAAATTCTGCCTGAGGATCTTCTAGAAAGTATGGCTTCTCCAGGTAGTCCACCGCCTATCCCAGAGACTCCAGATTTAATGTCATTCCCGGAGGATGGCATGGAGACGCCAACTCCATTTGTAAGAGGGCCTCCTGGAGAATTTATGATGAGTGCAGAAAAAGACCCATTCGAAAGTATTTCTGAAAATCCAATGCTAGCTATGCAACAACGAAAATTCCAAGACGATGACAAGAACGTACCAGCTATGTCGACTTTATTTTCTAAGAAACCAAATGTCCCTGTCAATCGCTTGCCGAAATCAAACGCACCAAAACCAACTTTTAACAAATCTGTCAGTAATGTCAGTAGCTCGAGTAAAAAGGAAGCACCTACACCAAAGCGTCAAGCAACACCAAAAAGCGTAGCATCTCCAAAAAATGAAGCAACACCAAAAAGTGTAACATCTCCAAAAAATGAAGCAACGCCAAACAGTCAGGCAACACCAAAAAGTGCTGCAACACCAAAAAATGAAGCAACACCAAAAAGTGTAACATCTCCAAAAAATGAAGCAACGCCAAACAGTCAGGCAACACCAAAAAGTGCTGCAACACCAAAAAGCCAAGCTACACCAAAAAGCCAGGCAACTCCAAACAATGGCGTAACCCCGAAGAGCGAGGCAACCCCTAAAGCTAACGTGAACTCACCATCAGCTAAACCAATGATTGCTAACACAGCTGCACTTCCAAAAGACTTTTTTGGAAGCTCAGAAGCCCCATCAGCACCAAGACCTCCACCTCCAACAGAACCGGAAGTTGATTATTCTGATGAGGATTCAGAGCCAATAAGTCCAGGAAGTCGACGCCCAAGTCATTTTCTTAGTGGACCAGAACCTACCAATCTGGATAGATTCTCTGTGAATCCCTTTTCATCAAAGTAACTGAAACTGTGTCAATAGTCAGCCTCGGACATTAATGTTTCGCTGGGAATGACTTCCATTTTTTATTGGAAAATAATTCCATGTGCTCTTATGTAATACTAATTGATTGCGATACAAATGAAGAGCTTGTTATTTAATGTTTTGTTTATGTTTGTTCTACTTACTGTCCATGTAAATAGTATATAAATCAATACAAAATGTGTGATGATCTGTCCTTATCATGTTAATTAAGCATTCCCTAGATAAGATATATATTTTTAGAAATATTTACTGTATGTACAATTTTATGAATGCATGTTTTCTGTTGTGATATTCAATATATTTCAAAACATTCAGAGATGTTTTTCATATATAATTTCGCATCCACGAAAGTCCTGTATGAATGTCTTGATATAATGCAACTGTATGTATATTCTTGTGTTTGATGCAGATAATTTAAATGGAGTAAAAAACGAGTCCAGTTTAATCAAAATACATTTCCGTTATTATTTCAGTGTTAATAAAGTTTTGTAGGTAGTGCTTCTCATAATCCGTCTAATTCTCGTGCCAAAATTCCTAACGAATCGGTTACTAACATTCACATATTAGTGTTTTTATATTTTATCAGGATATTTTCTGTTATATGTCTCAATTCTAGTGTGGGAAATTCCCCTTTTTATGCGTACATCTGTTGCTGTATTGTACCTGTATACCATGACACTCTGTTACTGTACAGTTGCACTTTTTATATCTTTGTAGTTAAAACTAAATAAATGTAGTTTTACAAATAACGAGCGTACTTTTTCGTTTTCTTTGAAGTAGTGTCTAAAAAAAAAAGAAAAAAGTTAACATTTCAAAGAGAAAATGAAAGGACTTATATGATTTTATATGTTATTTTCATCCTGAAATTTATAATCCTGTCCTGTTTGCTAAAACTTTCCTATACCTTTATGTAATGTCCATAATATTTGTCAGAGGTATTTGTAGAATTGTACTTTTTTGTCATTGTTTTATAGAAAGAGATAGGTCTTGCAAAGATACAGATGTATAAAATTTAATCATATGAAAGATAAAGGATTGTGTTCAGTTATGTAAAAAGATTATAGAAGATGCACATCCTGATTTTTAAAATAAGTATTCTCGACAGCAAAATAGGTCAACTAACAGGTAATTCTAACTAAATATCCACAACCGGAATAAAATGCAGTGTTCCGGAAGGGCAAACGTCTCCAGTTTTATCGAAGTTGAACAAAAATAACTATCACTATTAACATCAATACATTTGGATCGTACTAGGAAATTTGTGTGTCCCAATGTGACTAGGATGGGTTTTATTCCATCGTCTCCTTCATTTCGTATCCTTGGAAACTTGCAACGAGATGTTTTCATCAGCTCTGGACATATGCATCTAAACTGAGAACAAGGTGTATTACCACAAGTAAATACCAGTTGATGAGATGTCTGTACACGACCGTGTCCTGTTATTGATATCTTGTATTTCCCGGTAATATTGATCTGAATATGTAAATTTCTTATTTAAAAACTACAAACCAATTCATGTGAACAGGAAGCTGGAGAGCTCTCTAAGATACCAAACGACAAGCTGATGAAGACGTTGGGACTGCTAATTCCCTAGAATCATAAATGATACACGAGTTGGTAATATAGATAAAGCTAAGCACATTCTTTAAATGCCCATAGTCGAAGTAAGCCTATATTATAATCTATCATTCTCGGTAAAAACGCATTAGCAGCTGTGAATTCATGTACAGTAACGGTAAAGTGCACAGCATAACGTTATGTCGTGTTGACCCCCAAAATAATACTTTTTTGTTATAGCTTATAAGAAAACAGCACTTTGCTAACAGATGACATTAAATTTTCAAAATGCAATATATGCATTCGTATGGACACGTACAAGAATGCAGATGATGTAAAGTGATAGGAATTTATAATTTACAATTATTAACTCGAAGTCGAAATAACCAGTGATACCGGTCATAGGCTGTTCTTAGGTACAGCACATGTCATATTTACATTTAAAAGTTCTAAATGAAACGGAAAAGTATTAAAACTGATATTGTAAAACAATGAATCAATGTTTCGTGTCTTAATGGTGCGAGTAGCTAAACGTGGATTAAATATACATGAACTTTATTTTGGTCCAAAAATGAACCAAGACAATCAAATACATGTTATATCTAAACGTTTTTAAAATTCAGAGAAACCGGGGGAAATGAAAAGAGTGCTTAAAGATATAATATTAAAAAACACTGAGGCTAGACATTTTCAGTAACACGTGTACACAACGTATGCTGCTGACGTCAAAAAGCACATTCGAGAGATAATGACCTTTATAATATTTTTTGTGATTTTGATATTTTGTAAGAGAAAACATAAGAAACCGTGTTCTATATTGTAATACGGTTTAAAAATGTGAAAATAGGTTTTATTGCCATTTAAACCATAGATTCCTCTTTTAAAACAATGGTTATCTTGACTGATCAGAGAAGTATAAAAAATCGCCCTTTGACGAAACCGTTGATGTTGAAATCGCATGTGATGTACGACCTATCCCTGGACGTGTAATTCCTAACACGTATATTATGTACTATTAATGGCTTTACCGTAATATGCAGGCGGCTCATTAACTAAACATACACATTACGGAAATATTTCCCATCTTCAGTCAGGTATCGATTTCCGTTTGTTTGCTTAGCAATAATTGTTTTCTGTAATTCCTATAATGCACGAACCGATACAATAAAATGAGATGAAAAAAATCCATTCAGTTGACAATGACAAGAGAGCTTTTATTTCATACATCGTCATAGCATTGTTATATATCTCGTGTATTGATAATATCAGCTTTGGATAGCTAACATAGAGTGTGTTTATTCCTATGATAGTAGAGTGTCATCATATTATAGCTTCTCTACTTATTTAAATGATCTTTAGATCTATTAATCACTATTTGTTTTACTCAATCATCCGTTGAATCATATTTCAGCTGTTACACATTAATTGATTTCTTCAAATATAGCTAAACCAGACATAATAAACTAAATTGCGTGTCATTGATGGTATATGAAGCCTCGCAGGATGTTTTATGGCATAATCGAAACTACTTTACAGCGGAAAGCTTTGAATACGAGATTCGTTTGAGTATAATCGAGTCTTGGAGAATCTTTTTTTGAAAAACCGATATCTGGAATTTGGCTTTACTAGAAGAACTTCAAGGTCAATTATCCTGTTAGGAATTACCGAGGCACTATGAAGAAAATCTACAGCGACATTTTTATATGTCTAGTTTGCATTATGACATGCCTTGTGACTGAAAACCGTGCCTTCAACGGTAAGTACAATATTATGTCATATATTAAAATCAACTAACTTTACCTTAAAACATATTCATGACAAACAACTGTCGTCTCAAGAGAATATGATTTTTCGGTGTCGTCTAAGTAAAGTTTTTTGACCAATCTAAAGTGTTCCGTCACGTCCGGGATAGTTTTGTATTTGTCTCATAATTACCATTGAGTTGAAGTTTATAACTATATTACAAGCTCAGGGCCTGTCAACGGAGTAGGAATATTGTAGGTAACGTAACAATATAAATCAAAGTACTGAAAGTACTGAGAGGCTAAACGTATTGAAAAATGTTCACAAATAACCGCAAAGCTATATTACTTTCCCCATACTCCTACACTTTGGAATGCAAAAATTACTAAAATAAGAGAACCAGAGGCTATTTTTCTTAATTTTAAGCGATTTTATATCTTCTTTAATTCTTATTTCAAATTTGACGACAATAATGTGAATAAATCAAAATAGGTAAAAAAAAATAAACAAAATACACACAACCATATATCTATCGCCAACAAGCCAAATGATTAATAGCTCTATGATGAAGTTGACTAAATGGTTAGACTTTTCTTCCAGTAATTATGTCTATAAAGGCATAGTTCTATGAGATTAAACCAGACTTCCATATATATACAAAATTTACAATATTTTCACTATAGCTATATATATATGCAAAATTTGACACGCTAAATGAATAAATATGTTCGGAAATACGTTTTAGTTAATTGATAATAATAAACATGAATATTTTGGGTTTTTATACGCGTTTTGTTTGAAGGAATATTTTCATTTCAAGGAACTTTGATACACATTAACAAACATTGAGAAATCAACACAATCAACCTTCATCAAATAAAACTAAAAGACAAAAAATATAAGTTATAACAAAGTCAGCATCATGATCAGTACAGTATTAAAAATGTATCATTCATAAATCACGAGCACCAAATGTACCTTGCCTACGAAGCGCAAACTTTTTATCTTCAAAAACTTGAAAAATTGTCGTGTCGGTGGATGTAAAAATCCTGAAAAAATGTCATATGGGCGGGTATGCGCCAGTCCAATTTTGTGACGTCTAATGAGGTAAAGTGATGTTATACATTAAGGCGATCTTGCCACAGCGACAAGGATTAAAGCAAAATTGATGTTTTGTTTGTAAGTTGTGTTTGTTTATAAGTGTTGTTAGTTGATAATTCAAACCAAGCCCCTAGACTAGCTTCTTATCATGGCGCCAACTCGCACGTACCATGTTCTGTACGCTAACGTCATGTCGAGAATTCCGTAAAATATATTGTTCAAAAATTATCAATAGTTCAACCACACTGTACTTCTTTTTTGAAATATATAGAAATCGTATTGTTATTAAAAAATAAACTAATTTTGGATGCTTTTAGAATAGCGATTTGAAATATCGCGGCATTATTTACGCAGAAAATTGCCGCTAGATGGCTCTAACTCTTTTCGATATTTCAGCCTATGAGAAGGTCAGGATCGGTAAATTTTGTCTGAAAGGCCGTCGCAATAGGCTATGCGTACTGACTACGTTTAGCCTAAAAACTGAAAAAAAATGCTCATGTACTCTTGGCATTCATATACCCATGAATGCCAAAAGAAAGTGAGTCCGAGGATGCTATTTTTATCTCACATCAAGGTTT